AAAGTTTCACGTGAAAAAACGTGAAGGGATTTATGTTGTCAGATGACCTAGAAACAAGTTTAAAAAGTTTAGAGAAAGTTTAGAAAAAGTTTTGAAAAGTTTCACGTGAAAAAACGTGAAGGGATATATGTTCACAGATGACCTAGAAACAAGTTTACAAAGTTTAGAGAAAGTTTAGAAAAAGTTTTGAAAAGTTTCACGTGAAAAAACGTGAAGGGATATATGTTGTCAGATGACCTAGAAACAAGTTTAAAAAGTTTAGAGAAAGTTTAGAAAAAGTTTTGAAAAGTTTCACGTGAAAAAACGTGAAGGGATTTACGTTGTCAGATGACCTAGAAACAAGTTTACAAAGTTTAGAGAAAGTTTAGAAAAAGTTTTGAAAAGTTTCACGTGAAAAAACGTGAAGGGATATATGTTCACAGATGACCTAGAAACAAGTTTACAAAGTTTAGAGAAAGTTTAGAAAAAGTTTTGAAAAGTTTCACGTGAAAAAACGTGAAGGGATTTATGTTGTCAGATGACCTAGAAACAAGTTTAAAAAGTTTAGAGAAAGTTTAGAAAAAGTTTTGAAAAGTTTCACGTGAAAAAACGTGAAGGGATTTACGTTGTCAGATGACCTAGAAACAAGTTTACAAAGTTTAGAGAAAGTTTAGAAAAAGTTTTGAAAAGTTTCACGTGAAAAAACGTGAAGGGATATATGTTGTCAGATGACCTAGAAACAAGTTTAAAAAGTTTAGAGAAAGTTTAGAAAAAGTTTTGAAAAGTTTCACGTGAAAAAACGTGAAGAAATATATGTTCATAGATGACCTAGAAACAAGTTTAAAAAGTTTAGAGAAAGTTTAGAAAAAAGTTTTGAAAAAGTTTCACGTGAAAAAACGTGAAGGGATTTACGTTGTCAGATGACCTAGAAACAAGTTTACAAAGTTTAGAGAAAGTTTAGAAAAAGTTTTGAAAAGTTTCACGTGAAAAAACGTGAAGGGATATATGTTGTCAGATGACCTAGAAACAAGTTTAAAAAGTTTAGAGAAAGTTTAGAAAAAGTTTTGAAAAGTTTCACGTGAAAAAACGTGAAGAAATATATGTTCATAGATGACCTAGAAACAAGTTTAAAAAGTTTAGAGAAAGTTTAGAAAAAGTTTTGAAAAGTTTCACGTGAAAAAACGTGAAGGGATTTACGTTGTCAGATGACCTAGAAACAAGTTTACAAAGTTTAGAGAAAGTTTAGAAAAAGTTTTGAAAAGTTTCACGTGAAAAAACGTGAAGGGATATATGTTCACAGATGACCTAGAAACAAGTTTACAAAGCTTAGAGAAAGTTTAGAAAAAGTTTTGAAAAGTTTCACGTGAAAAAACGTGAAGGGATTTATGTTGTCAGATGACCTAGAAACAAGTTTAAAAAGTTTAGAGAAAGTTTAGAAAAAGTTTTGAAAAGTTTCACGTGAAAAAACGTGAAGGGATATATGTTCACAGATGACCTAGAAACAAGTTTACAAAGCTTAGAGAAAGTTTAGAAAAAGTTTTGAAAAGTTTCACGTGAAAAAACGTGAAGGGATTTATGTTGTCAGATGACCTAGAAACAAGTTTAAAAAGTTTAGAGAAAGTTTAGAAAAAGTTTTGAAAAGTTTCACGTGAAAAAACGTGAAGGGATATATGTTCACAGATGACCTAGAAACAAGTTTACAAAGCTTAGAGAAAGTTTAGAAAAAGTTTTGAAAAGTTTCACGTGAAAAAACGTGAAGGGATATATGTTGTCAGATGACCTAGAAACAAGTTTAAAAAGTTTAGAGAAAGTTTAGAAAAAGTTTTGAAAAGTTTCACGTGAAAAAACGTGAAGGGATTTACGTTGTCAGATGACCTAGAAACAAGTTTACAAAGTTTAGAGAAAGTTTTGAAAAAGTTTTGAAAAGTTTAGAAAATTCAACAAAAACCGAAATTTCGATTTTTGTTGAAAAAAATTTCAAAAAAGTTTAGAAAAAGTTTTGAAAAGTTTCACGTGAAAAAACGTGAAGGGATTTACGTTGTCAGATGACCTAGAAACAAGTTTAAAAAGTTTAGAGAAAGTTTTGAAAAAAGTTTTGAAAAGTTTAGAAAATTCAACAAAAACCGAAATTTCGATTTTTGTTGAAAAAATTTCAAAAAGTTTAGAAAAAGTTTTGAAAAGTTTCACGTGAAAAAACGTGAAGGGATTTATGTTGTCAGATGACCTAGAAACAAGTTTAAAAAGTTTAGAGAAAGTTTTGAAAGGTTAAGAAAAGTTTAGAAAATTCAACAAAAACCGAAATTTCGATTTTTGTTGAAAAAAATTTCAAAAAGTTTAGAAAAAGTTTTGAAAAGTTTCACGTGAAAAAACGTGAAGGGATTTACGTTGTCAGATGACCTAGAAACAAGTTTAAAAAGTTTAGAGAAAGTTTTGAAAAAGTTTTGAAAAGTTTAGAAAATTCAACAAAAAACCGAAATTTCGATTTTTGTTGAAAAAATTTCAAAAAGTTTAGAAAAAGTTTTGAAAAGTTTCACGTGAAAAAACGTGAAGGGATTTATGTTGTCAGATGACCTAGAAACAAGTTTAAAAAGTTTAGAGAAAGTTTTGAAAGGTTAAGAAAAGTTTAGAAAATTCAACAAAAACCGAAATTTCGATTTTTGTTGAAAAAATTTCAAAAAGTTTAGAAAAAGTTTTGAAAAGTTTCACGTGAAAAAACGTGAAGGGATTTATGTTGTCAGATGACCTAGAAACAAGTTTAAAAAGCTTAGAGAAAGTTTAGAAAAAGTTTTGAAAAGTTTCACGTGAAAAAACGTGAAGGGATTTATGTTGTCAGATGACCTAGAAACAAGTTTAAAAAGTTTAGAGAAAGTTTAGAAAAAGTTTTGAAAAGTTTCACGTGAAAAAACGTGAAGGGATTTATGTTGTCAGATGACCTAGAAACAAGTTTAAAAAGCTTAGAGAAAGTTTAGAAAAAGTTTTGAAAAGTTTCACGTGAAAAAACGTGAAGGGATTTATGTTGTCAGATGACCTAGAAACAAGTTTAAAAAGTTTAGAGAAAGTTTAGAAAAAGTTTTGAAAAGTTTCACGTGAAAAAACGTGAAGGGATATATGTTCACAGATGACCTAGAAACAAGTTTAAAAAGTTTAGAGAAAGTTTAGAAAAAGTTTTGAAAAGTTTCACGTGAAAAAACGTGAAGGGATTTATGTTGTCAGATGACCTAGAAACAAGTTTAAAAAGCTTAGAGAAAGTTTAGAAAAAGTTTTGAAAAGTTTCACGTGAAAAAACGTGAAGGGATATATGTTCACAGATGACCTAGAAACAAGTTTAAAAAGTTTAGAGAAAGTTTAGAAAAAGTTTTGAAAAGTTTCACGTGAAAAAACGTGAAGGGATATATGTTCACAGATGACCTAGAAACAAGTTTAAAAAGTTTAGAGAAAGTTTAGAAAAAGTTTTGAAAAGTTTCACGTGAAAAAACGTGAAGGGATATATGTTCACAGATGACCTAGAAACAAGTTTAAAAAGTTTAGAGAAAGTTTAGAAAAAGTTTTGAAAAGTTTCACGTGAAAAAACGTGAAGGGATTTATGTTGTCAGATGACCTAGAAACAAGTTTAAAAAGCTTAGAGAAAGTTTAGAAAAAGTTTTGAAAAGTTTCACGTGAAAAAACGTGAAGGGATATATGTTCACAGATGACCTAGAAACAAGTTTAAAAAGTTTAGAGAAAGTTTAGAAAAAGTTTTGAAAAGTTTCACGTGAAAAAACGTGAAGGGATTTATGTTGTCAGATGACCTAGAAACAAGTTTAAAAAGTTTAGAGAAAGTTTAGAAAAAGTTTTGAAAAGTTTCACGTGAAAAAACGTGAAGGGATATATGTTCACAGATGACCTAGAAACAAGTTTAAAAAGTTTAGAGAAAGTTTTGAAAAAAGTTTTGAAAAGTTTAGAAAATTCAACAAAAACCGAAATTTCGATTTTTGTTGAAAAAATTTCAAAAAGTTTAGAAAAAGTTTTGAAAAGTTTCACGTGAAAAAACGTGAAGGGATTTATGTTGTCAGATGACCTAGAAACAAGTTTAAAAAGTTTAGAGAAAGTTTTGAAAGGTTAAGAAAAGTTTAGAAAATTCAACAAAAACCGAAATTTCGATTTTTGTTGAAAAATTTCAAAAAGTTTAGAAAAAGTTTTGAAAAGTTTCACGTGAAAAAACGTGAAGGGATATATGTTCATAAATGACCTAGAAACAAGTTTAAAAAGTTTAGAGAAAGTTTAGAAAAAGTTTTGGAAAGTTTCAAGTGAAAAAACGTGAAGAGAGTTTCTATTGCTGTGTCCTAAGTAAAATATATAACAACAAATGCTAAAATATATCGTCCAAATTCTAGCTGTCTGCCTCTCTCGTATGTACACACTATTTCTCTGTTTCTCGTCTTCGTCTCTCGAATATACACACGAATATACACACTATTTCTCTGTTATGTATTCCGAATTTAAGGCGAGCTTTTGTACGATATATTCTCGCATTTTTTGCGTTCAAAAATAATTGAGTGATGACCACAAAAATGATTATATTTGACCTATGCCCAAGGTCAGTTGTGAATATTTTTCTTTAATTATTTCAGAAATTGTTATACTTTATTCAGTCGATTTTCCTGGAGTCCTTTCGTCAAATTTGCATGGTTAACTTCAAATTATAATGTTTTTCAAACACCACTATTCTCAAAATCAGACACAAAACTTGTTTCGAGAATTCCCAAACGTCTAAGAGATCAGAAAAAAACATTTGCATAAAAAATTTTGAAATGATGATTTTGAAGTTCACTTTCAATTTATGAAAAAACATGCACTTTATTATCATGAAACACCAAAACTTGTTATGGTTGTTTCTGAGAAAATCAGAATTTGATGCTGAATCAGAATAAAAAACACAATGTTTGAAACATTTATTCGAACAGTGAGATTCAAAGAAAAAAACAATACCAGTAATACAAGGAAAAATCAAATAATATTTTAAAAATAAACAATTCAATCGACTATTTGATACATTTCATAACCGGATCATCTGCTTCCAATTTTTCTAGCAGAGTTTTGGCAAAATTGACTTCACAGGGCTTGTTTTGATAAAGTCCACTAATCAGTCTGTAAATTTTTATATTTTTATCATTTATAATAAACATGTGAAAGTATTTCGAAGTTTTTGAAAAATAAATTGCTCAAATCTTGAACTTTTTTTGAATTTTAAAACAAAACTTCATTTTTTTTCAGAATTCCCCATATTCAACTCACTCTTTAGTGAAGAAAGTTTCATGAGTACTCGGAAACTTTTCATAAATATACTCCCAAAGTGCAGAATTCGACATATCCGTCAACGTTGGAAAACTTTCTTTCAAAAGATTTCCAAATTTTTCCTCGGGGATGTTATTGATTAATTCATGCATCATATTGAAAGGCACAAAATAATCCCAATTCGCTCTTGCCATAAATAAAAGAAGTGTTCCATATTTCTCAAATCCTGCCACTCCTTGTTTTGTAGCTTGAATAAACAAGAAGTTTCGAAGAATTTTGGTGGCGATGTCAGAAATATGAACAGCGCCAACGAATCGAGGATGTTTGAACATCTGCAAAAAATTAAAAAATTTGATCTTCAAGTATTCGGGTGAATCAGGAATTTTCTAGAGCCTGATCATCTTGTAGAGCTTAAAAATTTGCCCTATTTTTCCATATTCAGAAGTCTTGTTGGTGGTAAAACCTTAAAGTTTCAACTTACATATTTACTCGTCCGATGAGCTTCTAGCTTATCAACTAATACACAATATTTCACAATCTTTTTCCACAAATCGATAACTTTTCGCAAATTTTCTCGTTTTGCGGCTATCAAAAGTGCATTAATATTCAGGCATAAAAACACATTGCCTTCTGTATATTTTTCATTGAAAAAATCAAAGAGTTTGTCGAATTTCTCATATTCTTCATTGTATGTTAGAGCAATTGCAAAATATTGAACAAATTCATCTTGTCCTGAAAAATGAGAACTAATTACAAAATCAATAATTTGAAGATTTGTGTACTTACCGTATTTCTTAAGCAATCCAAATTTATCGGAGAATTTGAAAAATTCGAACAACTTGCTCAACATTTTGAATTGTTTGGCATAGACATTCTGAAAAACTATTATTGTTTTTGGTTGTTTCGCCAACAAGGGAATTATTTGTGTGATAGCTGGGATACCGGATTTTGAAAAAAAAAACATGAACAAATTCTGAACAGGGCAACTGTATAAAAATAAGGTTATGAGCTCATGAAAGAACCAAAAAACTCAAAGATCAAGAAAAAAAACGCCTCGGGAAAAAACCCCTCGGGAAAATTATCATTTCAAAAATACCCCTCAAACAACCATCAACATACCGTTCTAATTTTGTCCTTCTCCGGAATATCATTCAAATAATCCCATTCAGTTTTCCAGCGAATCGGACTTGCAACAAATCCAGAAGGAAAAATCCATGAATTATCCTCATGATAATATCGATCATCAAAATAACGATTCCAAGCAATCAAATGATAACCTTTGACCAAATCGAACATTCCAATTCGGAAATATGCAAAGAAGAATGTTTGAAACAATTCCATGTTGTGCTTGATTTCGACAGTTTCCGGAGTTTTGAGAAATACATCCAATGGAGATTTTCCTTTCCTGAAAATTGATGGGAAATATATATGTTTGAGGAAATCAGGGAGATGGAGAAAACTCTAAAAGATCCCCCCACAATAACATAACAGGATTCCTCATATTTTTTCTGTGATTCTTGAAAGCATTTTTTTGAGAGCTCAAACAAAGTGCAGGTTCATTTATAATACGGTATAGCTAGACGATGACATTTCACAAATACTACATAGTAATTTTTAGTAATGTTTCAATATAAAAGATGGCAGCACAAGTCATATTCGTCCCAAAATGCGAGTTTTGATTTTGGCGCTCACTTTTTTCTATTTCTGCTATTCACAGCATATAAGCCTCTCGAGAGTGGGTTCTAGACAAATTAATTGTTTTCATTGAGAATGCTATTCTAGGAATTCGCTGGGCTCCATGTGAAGCAATCGGTTATCGACAAGCTCAAACCGCTTCCAACTGTCAGTCCAGACAGCGGTTCGCGTAGAAGAGTTGGAGCGCAACGCTGGCGGCAGTTTGGGCCGAGATGTTGGGATGAGGAAAGTTGTGAGGAATGTGTCTGCTGCGGTTATTGTAACTCTACCAACTTGTATGTTACTCTAATGGGAACACTTATGATCTGTCTAGGCCCAGGTCCGGGCTTATTGTTAAGGTCCTAGATGTTAAACACGCTTTGGACTTGTGTTTTTTTCAGCTGTGTTTCCCCATCTGGATCAGTAGATATCTGTAGAGCTTATGAGTATCTCGCAATGTACACGGACATTGAAAAACCATTGCCGGAAGATACGTTCACTCTACCAACTGATTTTCCACTTGTACCATAATTTATGTATGTCTTGGTACTTTGTAACTGAATAAAGTTGCTTGTTAACAAAAAAACTCACATTGAACCCAAATTGTTCATAATCCTTGCAGATGGTCTTAAAGCTGTATTCAGAAAATCTTCCTGTGCTTGATCTAATCGTCTTTTTGAAATACCCATCGGATTCTCGATATATGGATCGGGTTCTTGAACAAATTTCTTGAAAACATGGTAGATGTATTTTCGGAGAATTGAACTTCCATCATCTCGCTTAAAATTTACAGTCAGCGGGAATGCACAAATTGATCTGACGAATAGTTCCAAACATCCTGGTATATTTCCTTTTTTGATTATTGCAGTTATTGCTTTGTTCTGAAATTTTTGATTTTGTTCTAGAAGTGTGTGATGATAAAATTCGACTTACCACAACTTTTCCAGACATTCCTGGATACAACATGCAAAATGCCGCATAAATTTCTGCTGCTTTTTCTGGATTGTTATGAGCGCTTGAAACAAAAACATCGAGCCAATCTTCTTTTGGTTTTTTTGTGTTGAAAGCATCTGAAAACCCAAATTTATGTTTGTGGAAAAGAAAACCCAGGTTTTCACTGAAAAAAAACAAAAAACTTACATTTGAAATGATTCAATTCTTCAATTTCTGTCACATTATACAAATAATCCGAAGCATAGAGCACAAATTCTTTCCAAAATACTTGACCTTCCGCCAAAACACTAAAAAAGAATACTTTCAAGCTTCCTTCAGAGCAAAAACTAACCTCTCATTGATAAATTTCACCATCCAATCATCATCTCCAAATCTCGTCAAGGTGTGCAGCTCCAAACACTGAAAATGAAAACTGAAAATGTGTTGTTTTCTGGAAAAACTCACATTCACCAAATGCTCCGTTTTGTTTTGTTGAAATGTTCGCATTGTCAAACAGCGAGCATGTCCAATATCCAAATCTTTTGCACTCAACACATATTTGATCCATTCTAGAAATATTATAGATTTTTTAAATAGAGATTTTACGAGTTAGGGTATTTCAATTTCAAAATTCTAAAAATTTTTAGAAAAACCTTACCTTCATTATTTGTTGGAAACTCATTTTCACCATCGAATAAAATACGCGGCTTCTTTGGCTCACTTGCTTCTTCCATTTTCACCTGAATTACATTAACTGTATTTCATTTAAGAAAAATCAGCAAGCAGAAAAAAATGTATTTTTTTACGTTTTTGTGGAAGTGAAGTTAGGATAAATAAAATTTTTAATAAGGTATTTAAAAAAAATGTAAGTAGATTCAAAAAGTAGCGGGGAAATGTTTGAATTTTCTGATATTTGGAGTATAAAATAGTGAAACCCTATGAAAAAAATCCCGAACTCAAAGAAAAAACAAGAAAAAAATATAAACAACTGCCAAACATGCCTCCGCTATGACTATGCGCTATTCGTCTTTTCACAGGGACACTATGGGAAAAGAGAAGAGATGCAGACATGTCAAGTAAGATAATGGGAATTTAACTTTTATTTTCTTTACATTTTTGTTAGTTCAAGAATGAATGATATATAGTTTTGAAATTTGAAAAAAAAACACTTCTAGAGAATGAAAAATCAATTTTCAGTCAACTTTATTAAAAACTCCATTTAATAAATCTGTACAATATTTGCAATAATGTTTGAAAAAAAAACTAAAATTGAGGCAAGGGGAAAAAGCAAATAAATAAAAATAAAGAGAATTGGAATGTGTAAATGACGAGGGGATGCAAAATAATAAATGAAAAAATAATTAGGAGTTTCTTTCTGGCATGATATATGAAATATCGTCCCATGGATGACGATAAAGACCAGAAGTTCCAATGAGATTATTCTAAATAATGTTTGATCACACATATGCGTCGGCCAATAACCAAAAGACTATTCAGAGTGTCGCTTTCAATGATTTGTTGAGCTTCGGCTGGTGTGAACAATTTGCTTTGGCGAAGAATGTCGACAAGAATGACACCAATAATACCATCAACATTGAGGCTGAGATTTGACTTCTTGGCAGTTGTGATTTTTTCGACTTCCAGTGCGAATTCGAGAAGTGGAGTTTCTTGTGTGAATTTCGATCGATTCAAGGCAATTTTTTTGAGGATTTCTACATTCTTTCGAGACATGTTGATCTGAAAAAATAATTATACAAGATGGGGAGTAGATTTTAACGGGTCTTTTAATTTTCAAAAAAAAAATGTCGTGAAAAATGTTTCGAAGCAAAAAATACAATGTAGAATACGAAAAGAATGAAAACCATGCAGATTTTTTTGGAAAAAAAACGTACATTCCTGCGGCGATGTCCAATTCCCATGATATCCTTGTTTTGGACTTCCATCTCGTTTACAAACTGCATTGGAGACCAGCCATTGTCCATCGCGTTGGAAAATTGGCGAGCAGCACCATCGATATCTCCACCGAAGCGACATATATCGCGGCGAGCAAACACGTATGTGTCGCGATCATCACGTGCGGCAATGATTGATAACAGAACAACCTTTTCCAAAAATGAATTTGCATAAGCTGGTAATGATTTCTGAAATGCACAAATATTTGATTTTTGATTTTCACAAATATTGATTTACCTCAAACCAAGTTGATCCAATAAAATCACCAATGTTGACCATCTTGAAACAATCAACACCAATGAAGTATAATGTTCCTCCAAGATCATCAGCAAATGAACTTGTGGATGCCTTTTTGCGAATAAGGCCCAGCTCTCTTTCCCAAATACAATTTTTGGGGAACAAAGGTGGCGAAAAGACACATGATGGCACAATGGTTCCATGGGCAACTAAGCATTCATAAGTTTCGCTAATATTGTTGCCAAGTTCTTCAAATGATGAAGGAACGATAGCTCCAGCACCATGCAATGCGGCGTTTTTGCAAGAAGCACTTTGAGTGAAGTCACAAAACTTGTCTTGACTGATTCCGATGCACCAAGCAACTAATGGTTTGGTGATCTCTCCTCTGTTGAGCATATCGACAATCTTATATTCTTCTGTGCCTCCAACTTCACCGAGCAATACAATCATTTTGACCCGATCATCAGCTTGATATCTTGCAATATGTTCAACATAGGTGCTTCCTGAATATCTATCACCGCCAATCGCAATTCCCTCGTAAACACCATCGGAGTTTTGTGAGATGATGTTGTTCAATACGCGGCACATTCCACCAGATCTGGAAACATAGGCGACACTTCCAGGACGGCTGAGTTTGTATGCGAAAGTATTGTAATATGAATCTCCACTGTTACCAATCCTGATGCAACCTGGTTTTATGGCTCCGGTTGTTGCTGGACCAATCAATGTGACACCACGTTCAGCGGCAACCTTCAACAATTTCCTGGTTTGATTCTCTGGGACACCTTCAGCAATGATGACAATGACTTTGAGTTGAGGGAATTCCAATGCTTCCATGGCAACTTCATAGGCGTGTTTTTTCGAGGCAAAAAGACCCAAAACTGTTGCTTCTGGATGAGTAGCACACGCTTTGGCCATTGATTTGTAAGCGGGGATGAGAACTTCCTTCTGTCCAAAGTTGTATTTTTGTGTGTTGTCTCCAGTGAATGGATATGTTGAGGCAACAACTGATGGTGTATCTCTACGGCAGAATAAATCGTATTCAAGCATACCCTGAAAATATTATTTATTCATTTCTGATACAGAAATCTTGTTGGAAATTCATACCTGGATAGTTTCTTCTTCATGTCCCCAGATAATTGCCTTCGTACCATTCTCTAACAATCCGCGGAAAGTACTTTGATCTAAAGGTTCCACTTCAGTCGATGTTGGTTCTGGTAAAGCTGGTTGACGTTCAGCCATGTTTATTCCCATCAATAATTCTCCGGAAATTGCAGTCAGATCTGTTTCTGGTCCAAAAACACGGACTGGAAAATTGAGCTTGGCGGCAGCATCCTTCAGACAACGCAATCCTTCTTGATAATTTGGACCACCACGTCGAACATAAACCTTGACCTTGTGTTCCTTGAGTTTGGGGATGTATTGTTGAATAGCCTTGGAGATTCCCTGAAAAATTATTATTATCAAGATTCAATTGATATTTTCTGACAAAACTCACTTCAAAATTTTGTCCACCATTACTGAAATTGGAAATTGATCCACCGACGACAAACACTTTTCCATCTCTTTTTGGTTTTCCTGCGGTCATGATGGATAGGATTTTATTGGCAAGATTGTAGACTTGTAACACCGACGAATCATCGGAATATTCACCCGATGATGCCAACAGACACTCTCTTCCCATGGCATAAAAGGCATCTCTGAAAAAATAACGATTCGGGTGGAAAGACGATCTACGCGAGCGGCAGGCGATTTGAAGGTATGAATGTAAGTTTAAAAAACTCCTTACTTAAACGCAATCACTTCAACATCCTTATTACAGAGTGTGTGAACATAACTGTTTCTGTTTAGAATCGTCAATGGGGTTCCAGTACTGTCATCGAAATCAGCGACAAGTCGCTCTTCTTCTGTCAAAACGCGACCAAATGGAGCTGGGAAACGGAGTGGAATTGGTGCAGACATCGGAGTGTGGCGACTTCTCCATTTATCCGAGCAGATGAAGTTGGCTGTCTCGTCCAATTTTGCAGCAAGATCGAGGATGTGGATTTGATTGTTGACGTACACTGAAATTTTATTATTTGATTATTGATTAGGAAAGCTATGAAAATGCAGATCGAACATTCTTACCAAATGGATTGATTTCCAAGTATGTGAAGTGAAGCTCTTTATAAGCCCGGTACAATACATCGACAAACTTCTTGACAACTTCGAAATTTGGGAGCTCGACTCCAACAAGTGTGTCCAATTGTTCATCAGTTGGAGACATCGCATTATTGTCAACTTCAACCGCGATTTTGAGGAATCTGGCTTTGCTCTCAACATTTCCAATATCACTACCACTACGCTTGAAGAACATGAGTGTATCCTCTTCTTTGTTGCTGGTGATCGCAATATACATCTTATCGAATTCTTGGTGCTCACAGAATGGTTCGACAATGAATGTGTGAAGAAATCCAATTGAGTTGCTCATTTGTAAATGTCTGTTGACATTCCTTTCGAACCAATTGCACAATTCTTCCGGTGATCCAATTTTAGACAAACCCCATCCTTTACAGCGTTTGATCAATTGATCTAACTTGATGATTCCTTTCTGAAAATAATGATATTATTAGAGGTGTAATTAAGCTTTTGATAGATGTAAGAAAACTCACTTCTGCCTTGGTTAACCACTCATAACTTCCAGCAACTTGATTGAAGTCATCACCAGCTTTGACATGAAAAGCATAAGGCGAGTTGACGAGTCCGGTTCCTTCAAAGTATTTGTACAAAATTTCCTTTCCGGACAATTCGCTGATTGCTTTTGATGACATTATTACCTGCAATAAAACATATTTTAAATTTGAAAAAAAACGATAAAGATAAACTAAAAATAAGACACACCAACTAGTAGAGAAACAACAAAATAAACGAATGCCAAACGAGCGCTCCCTTTTTTTTTCTTTTCGTGAGCGAGCGAACCAAAGTGTGCGTTAGAGCGTGTTTGCTGTTTTACCAAAATAAACGGGAATTGGGAATAAATAAAAAACAACATTTTTAACCTTGGTAAAGCTCCTAATCAAATTGATTATATATATTGTAATTAACATAGTTCGAATATAGTTAACACAAAAGTATGAGATTTTAAATACAATTAATTTTTTCAAAAAATTGGTGAAAAAGTAATTTTTTCAGTTTTGAGTTCGAAGGCTCGCGGATAGTTCAAAATGATAGACCTTCATAAATTGTGCTCTAGAATATTGAAATGGACTATTTGAGATTTCTAAACAAAAATACTAATAGTTATTGGCACACTCTGAGCCCTTTTATAATACACAGAACCTCTCTGACTCGTGCGGCGCGGCGCCTCAATTTTTGTTTCTCAAATCGGAACCACATTCTGGAACCAAGTGAAACATAAATTGAATTTATATTAAAACATGCTTATTAGGTGTCTAATAATTAAAGAAAACACATCTTGACGGAAATATTACACCCAATAGTCAGTAACATCTCAAAACGCGGAGTCGTATACTTATGGGCTACCCTGTATAGTTTTTTTTTCGAAAAATTGGGATTCGTTTCCAATTTTTCAACAGGTAATTTATTGGACAGTGAAGCAAAGAAGTCTATATCTCGTTTACAGCCTGAAATTCATAACCTGAAATCCCATGTAAGATAAATAATTTCATTTCATTTCATATTTAAACAAAAAAAAGCAATTTAATAATTAATCTATACGTTTCTTTGATTGTTCTACCGTATTATTTACAAGGTTGATGAATAATCGATCATTGTGAAAACGAGGGCGTTTTTGGAGCTGAAATAACAGTTATATTAGGTTCAATTTGAGTTTATTTTATAAAAACTCACATGTTTGCAAATATCTTTATTGTCGTAACGTAGCATTTTTTGAATTTCTGACCCAATTTGTTGTGTTTTTCCTGAATCTCTACTATTTTTAGCCATAACCAGTGCACACGTTTTGATAATTAGAAACCATCCCCTATTTTGATGATGTTTCTCACAGTAATCATATAATTTATTGAAATCTTTCGTTTTGTTGAGATGAACCAGTGCAATTGCATAATATTGAAGGAATTCATGTTTTCCTAAAACGATAAAAGTTCTCTTATTGTTTTCATCAAAATAAAACCATACCAAACAATCGAAGAATATTATTCCCATTGAATCTCATTTTCGAAAATAAACAATAAATCATTTCCAAAACAGTTGTAAAATATTTGGTTAGAAGAGTTCGTTTCGTGCCATTTTGAACTATCCAAAACTCATTATTGATAAACGGTATGAACTTGAGAGCTTCTTTTCCATCGATAAAACTTGAGTTTGAAGGTTTCACAAGATTTGATTCATTTTTGCATCGCCATTTGAATCTGCGATTCAACAAACCAAGCATGGAGAGATTTGCGAAGCTTAGAATCCATTTGTCGAGAAATATTCTGGCAACATCTCCAACTCCACAGAGATCTCTGAAAAAATTAATGTTGCTTAACGATTTGGAAATGGTCTCTTTTGAAAGTATTACTGTTTCAAAATTAATGTAACTTCTCCCAACTTACTTGAAACTTGCCGTTGGAAAACATGTTCTCAATAACACTTTACTCTTTTGAAAAAACTTCCGTGCCGAATATTTTTCCGGATTTTTTCGATTCAACATTTTCCTTTTGATATTTTTATATTTGCTCATCAGATATATCTCAACCACAACAATACTTTCATCAGATTCAAAAATGTGTTTCTCATTTTCAGCCAAATATAACAATATGTATTCAATACAACCAGGAAGAGGATTCAAAATTTTTATTTGCGACATGATAGTGTTCTGAAAAGTTATTGAATTTTCAAACAAAAAACAAACATTATGAAACTCACAATTATTTGAACATTTTCAAGAATTAAATCTTCAAACAAAATCAAAGAAGTACACCAAACATCAATTCTGTTCTCAGATAATCGATTTGAAAATGAATTTTTGATTTCGTTGTAATACTTTGAACTCCAAATTTGATCTGTAAGAAAACAGAGATGAAAGATTCAAAAAATATTATTTTACCTTTATACTCGTTTATAATTTTTTTGCTATTTTCGTTGAACAGAATTTCACTGATGTAGGAAGAAAATTCGGAGAAAAGTGTGTCCCTCGATCCATTTTTCTCATATTCAATGATTCTGTAAAACTTATTTTGAAGTGTTGAGAAAAATTTTTAGAAATTGGAAAAAAAAACTCACAAAAAATCAATCATATGGTCACAATCAGATGTGCAAAAGTTGAAGAACACCGTTTGTAGAAACATGTTCTGCAATTTGAATTTTTGAAAATTTTGATTAAGAAATTTATCAAGTTCCAAAAATTTGATTTTGAAAAAAAAGTTCCCTCAAAACCAGGTCCAAATAAAATCTTACATTTCTGACAGCAATTGGAATTCCAAGCTTCTCTGCGTCTCTCCAAAGTTGTATTATCTCATCAGAAGAATCAGCCATGAATATCTCATTTTTCCAGTTTTCGAGTTCTGAAAATATCAAAACATTAAAAATATACAGCAAAATGTGATATACCTGAATCTCCAAGTTCAAAGTTTAATGTCATATCGATTGGCAAGTTACTGGAACTATAGAATCTATAAATAATAAAAATCTGGTTTTGATTTTTGCCAAAAAAGTTTCAGGTCTGAACGTTATCAATAAATAACAATACAAAACTTATTCAATAAGAAAATTGAAAATAATTCAATCAAATCAGAAAGAATCGTATAGACAAATAAAATAATCCATAATATTTTGCTCCTTTTTTATTTTTTTTAAACAAAATGCATTACAGTGTGAGAAAAAGTGAATTTGGGAAAAAAAGAGAGGCACAAAATCCTTTTCAAAATTATTGGTTTTGATTTCTAGTTTCAAATAGACTGGAAAAAATTATTAATACATATACGCTTTGAAAAATAAAAAAAATCTATATAAGACTACAAAAAATATGAGTCAAACTAAAATATTTTGTCATTCATTTGTAGCTTGAAAAATATGTATCACATGATATAATAATTATTAATAATAAATATTGAAGTGGAAAATCGAGAATGGAAAATATTGAAAAACCTATAATTATTCTCACAAGGCTATAGTTTTAATATTTCACCAAATTATGGGGAAACAAATTTGCAAAATATAATTAATAATTGGAGCTAGAGACTCCTGGGTTACGAGAATCGGCGTTGGGTGGAAATTAAAGGGCTTTAGAGAATTAGGAAGGTTTCAGAGAGAACATGAAGGGTTTGCTCAATTTGAATCTGTTTTTGGAACAAAAATATTGATTTTTTTTTGACAAGATAGATTGAATGTTCTACAATGAGATCAAGGAGTCAGAATATATGGAATATTGACTCTGAAATTAATTTTGAATCAAACATCGTGGGAAAATATTCGAATCTTAGGCGCTGATTTGTGACTTGATCTGTTGTTGGCGCAGAAGTGCGGCATTTCCATATAAAATTTTGGTTCCGGAAAATCTGAAAATTCTCATTTCACATGACTTTTTGCAATATAAATGCTTTTAAAGATAGTTTGGTCATCCTGAGATATCGTCTGTCGCATTTTTTCATCTTTTTGATGGCTTGATTAAGTTTTTTTCTGTGTTTTGAAACATGTTTTTTTATTCTATTCTACTCTGTTTTATTTTATTTTATTTTATTTTATTTCCTCCTCAAGTATAATTTTTTCTTGAACTTTTGAAAATAATAGTTGAATATTAACTATCATTGTTCATCATAAAAGAAAAATGTATGAAAGAGAAAAAAAACGAGACAAGCAAAAAATAATTTCTTCAGAAGATTTTGCACTATTTGTTCATCACTTGATGAACATATCTATCAATAAATTTCAATTGTTGTTCAAAATTAATAAACATTATTATTTTTATTTTTATTATTATATAAAACAAATTGATAACATAATTATCCACGTTTTTGGATATCTATCTCTTTTTTCTTTTTTTTTTCATTTTTTGCGTCATTTTTCAAAAAAAAAAAATTTACTCGAATTGCAACCTTATTTAAATTGAATTTTTTGACTCAAATAGCAACATGCAAAACCTGGAGCCAAAGAAACCTGCGACAGACTCTTGAAAAATTATTCCAGATTTTTTTTTTGAAAGTTCATTTTTTATAATATTTTTATTCGAACAATAGCACTATTTTTGACCCCTATTGAAATTGAATTTTCCCGAAATTTTCGTTTTTTTTTTCAAAATGAAGAAAACCAAACATTTTTTTCTCGCAATGCTGCCAAAAATGTTGTGTTATCAGCCAATAGGATTCACATTTTTTATGATAATTTCGGTGTATGCATGTACTTTTTTCGCAAATTTTTTTCTTCGATTTGAGATTTTGTGTGATTTTTTAATGTACATAGGTTGTTGATACTTTTTGAAACATTGATTTTTGAATCGCAACCAAGTAGATTGTTTTGAAGATTAGAGAAAAAGACAATGAGGAAGTTTAAAATAGAAACTTTAAAAAATTATTTCATTTTTTTTTTGAAGTCTGTTATTTTTGAATTTCAATTTTTTCTGAATTTTTTTTTTCTGATTTTATCAACTTCATCCCCTCGTTTTGAAAAAATTAATGTTTTCCAGATTCGCAAACTTTTGGGTCTTCTAGTGAATGCAAATCAAATACAGAGTTAAAGGTATGTGGTTGGCTACTGTGGGTGTGTTTGATAAAACATGCAATTTTTCGGGATAAGAAAATCAAAGAACAGAAAAGTTAAATTTAGATTCATCAAGATTTCTTTTGAATAAAATTTCTGAAAAATATATTGTCTAGACATAGTTTAACTGAAATTCATATTGATTCTCACATTCAGTTTCATTTTTGTACAATTTTTGAATTTCAAATTCTGGTTGGTTTTTTTTCTTTCACATAATGATTCACTCAAAACAGTTTTCATGAGAATTTTTTTTAATCGCAAAGTACATATTGTGTCGGAAAGTACAACTTTTAGTGAGAGAAAAAAACAATAGTTTTTTGTTATGTGGGAAAAAAGTGTTTTGGTTTTTTTGTCAGATAAAAAATTCGAGCTGTGTTTTTTTTTGCATAATGTTTTGAAAATAAGTCTGAAAAATACTATGGACACTTCAGCTTGAATTTCTTATGTAAAAATTATAAATTCGAAATTCAGCTTCAAAATAACTTAACCCTACAAAACATGGGGCTGATTCTAATTCTACTGTGCTCAAAAAAGATCCAACAAGATTTCTGTGAGCACAATTTTGATGCTCCTAACTATTATAAATTTCTAGATACCCTAATCATAATTTTTTTTTGAGTAATCTGCCTAGTCAAGAGATCAAAAAGTTCAATTTTTCACAGCCAGAAACAAATTTCATAAAAGTCAATATTTCAAAACTGCGAGATATTGCAAAAGATTCCCAATATTCTCCAAATAAAAAACATTACCTATGCACAACTTACAATAACTTGATAACAAATTAAATAATAATTGACTAGTCAATTTGTTATCAGTTTGGCCTCACAGCCATCTATTTTTTGCTAATCAATTGATACGATCTACACATACTTTTATTTGAAACAGTTGAAATATTATGTGCTGAATTTCGAGAAAATAACATTTTATTCTAACAATGGTAAATTTTTGCTATATTTCTGACAATTAAAAAATTAAAACTGTTTTTTTTTTCAGACAGAAGAAAGGCAACCGCTCCTTGACACGAGTTTTACAAAAGGTAAGCTGATTTGTGTTTTTTTTCTGCATGTTCATATTTTTGTTTTTTATTTATTTTTTTTTATCTAAAAGAGATTATACCTGTTTCACGATAAAAATCCCTCTATATTTATAAATAATAACAATTGCATCGAAGTTTTTCTATATATTTTGCCAAAACCTAGTTGTAAGTTGATGAATTTTTCTCACCAAAAAGGGGCGGGAAACAAAATGTTATTCCTTTTTTCTGTGCGCCAGATAGTTCAGTTTTCCAAATTCCTAAGTTCCTAAGTAATTCAATTTCAAAGTATCTTTTTTTCCAGGGTACAGAACGAACAAACCACCTGATATTGAAGAAGTTATGGGAGCAACAAATCACAATCCGGATAAAATTGAGAACAAAAAGAAATTGAAAGTTGGAGAAGAAGAATTCTCCCTCTACGCATATCGTGAAACTCGTACACGACGTATCCTTTTTTTCATTTTATCAATTTGCACACTTGGAATCTATCGATTATTGGCACATTGGATTAAAAGCTTGTTGGTTAAAGTGAGATATGTTCCGTGTCTTCATGATGAAGCTGAAGTTGTTATGATTCAGTGAGTTTGGGTTTTTTGTTGCTGGGAGAAAGTTTCTTGATCAAAAATTAATAGCGACAAGTTGGCACTGTTTAAAAATATTTTGAAGTTCTTTATGAGCTTCGGAATTTTGAGTTTTTTTTGTATTAGAACTTATTGAAGACAGAAAAAATCTAATTTTTTTTGATAATTGTCTCGTCAATTAGTTTGTAGAAAAGCATCATTCACACACAACAGACATTTTTCAATGTTTGTATAACATTTCCGAAAAAAACATTTTTCATTGTTAATTGGCTGTAGCACCTGGACTTTTATTTTATTTTCTATAAAAAAATAATTGGATTGTTACAACGAGAAAACACAGTATCTTAGAAAAATGAATTTGGTAGCAATTAGCACATTTTTTAAGTTTCATGAACATTTTTGAGAAAATCTAACAATTGGGAAACAAATTAGAGAGTTTTTAATACCAAAAAAAAACAAAACGTTTTTCAAAGCCACCCCAAAAGTTTGTCAGATTTCAAAGAAAGGCTACATTTTTCCGACACGTCATGTGATTTTTGAGTTTACAAACCAGATGTTTTATTGTGCATTTTGGTGGCAGAATAAACAGAGCGCATTTACTCCACAAACACATACTGATGCAATAATTAATTCAAACTTTTTTTGTTCACAAACTTTCTACTTCACTTCATTTTCAGAGACAATCACGATGTTCAAACCATCAAAAAAGTAACCACCGATTTTTTGGAAAATGGAGCTACTAGACCTAAGGTAACTCTGAATTTCGAAAGTTTTTTTTGCATAAAATTGTGAGTTTCAGCACGACGGAAATCCTGAAAAAGTGCACTCTGTTCGATATTTTTTCTATCGGAAGATCAAATATATTTGGTATGAAAAAGATCAACAATGGCTAAATCCTGCAGAAATTGATAGTGTGGTTAGTTAATTTTGACGTTGGAAAGTTTCCACGTTTTTTGAACCAGGAGTATTATCTTCAAAATAAAAAAGATACCGCAAAGTTCGAAAAATCAACCAATAACGTTCGGAATAATTTCAGGCACCATTCAATGTTTTCAAACGCCGTCTAGATGACAGATATGGACTGGAAGCAAATGAAGTTATCGCAAAACGACACATTTATTGCTATAATTCTTTGGCAGTTGAGCTAACACCTATTTTGAAAGTTTTGTTCCAAGAAGTCTTAACACCATTTTACCTTTTTCAAGCAATGTCGTAAGTATTTTCAGATTTTTTGTTTCCTAATTTTAATCCTACATGATTTTTCAGCGTCACACTTTGGTATTCGGATAGTTATCAATATTATGCCAGTGTTATTGTTATTATTACTGTGTTTTCCGCGGCGATTAGTGTGTATCAAACAAGGTACAGTAGGTTTTGCGGAAATTTTAATTTAGAAAAATATATTTTCTAGAGTTCAAGAAAAGAAAGTTCGTGAAATGGTTGGTGGAGCTCACAAAGTAACTCTGTTACGAGAAGGAAATATGATCGAAGTTGACGCAGATGAAATCGTCCCTGGAGATCTAATCAGTCTTCCCGCACATTCCTACATTCTCCCATGCGACGCACTTCTTCTCAATGGAAGTGTAATTGTTAACGAAGCGATGTTAACCGGTGAAAGTGTTCCAGTGACAAAAGTTCCATTAGCCGGTGCTGATGAATGTGGAGATGAAGTCAGATTTTCATCAGAGAATCATAATCGTCATACACTTTTTTCGGGAACAACTTTGCTTCAAACTAGAAATTATGAGGGTAAACCAGTGTTGGCTCTTGCTGTTCGCACTGGATTTTCGACTTTGAAAGGGCAATTGGTTCGATCGATTATGTATCCAAAACCAATGGATAGTCAATACATGGCTGATTTGTTCAAGGTATAGTTTTTATTCTGGAATTTCTGGAATTAATACCAAATGTGATTTTCTTTCAGTTCATTCTTCTTCTCGCATTCATCGCTGGAATTGGTTTCATCTATACAATCACCATTATGGTCTACAGAAAAGAAGCCTTCATCGATATCTTTATAAAAACTTTGGATATCATCACAATCGTAGTTCCTCCAGCTTTACCAGCTGCAATGTCTGTTGGAATAATCAATGCCAATTTGAGACTGAAGAAAAAAGATATTTACTGCATCTCGCCTTCAACTATCAATACTTGCGGGCAAATTAACGTGGTTTGTTTTGATAAAACTGGAACATTGACAGAAGATGGATTGAACTTTAATACTTTGCGAGCTATGAAGAAGATTAATGGGAATCCGGAATTCACCGAGGTTTGTTTTTATTAGAGATCATATGGGTGAAAAATTCAATAATGGTTTTGTTCAGGAATTCGATGATCTTGATCCAGCAAAAATGAGCGCTAAAGGAGCAAACGTTGAGATTATAACTGCTGCTGCAACATGCCAATCTTTGACCAGAATTGATGGAACTCTACATGGTGATCCATTAGACCTAATTCTGTTTTTGAAAAGTAACTGGACTATCGAAGAGCCAGCCGCAAATGATGAGGAAACTCAACTTTTCGATAATGTTCAGCCAACAATTCTGAAACCACCACAAGTTCATTCAGCGCATTATCCGGATAATTGTGAATATTCAATCTTCCGACAATTTACTTTCAGGTAATTTACTTTTTTCCACTAACAAATGTGAATAAAAATTATATTTTCAGTTCCGCTCTCCAAAGAATGTCTGTGATTGTTTCCACCGCTTCAGAAGACAATGTTCGCGAGCTAAAAATTTTTACAAAAGGATCGCCGGAAATGATAATGTCACTTTGTGACCCATCAACAGTTCCAAGCAATTATTCAGATATTGTTGATGAATATGCTCAAAAAGGATTCCGTTTGATTTCAGTTGCCTACAAGAAAATCGAAATGAATTATGCAAAAGCTATGAAAGCTCCAAGAAACACGGTTTGATTTTTGATTTGTGATAATTGAATTACATGGATATTTTTTAAATAATTCCAGATTGAATGTGATTTGGAACTTTTGGGATTGGTTGTGATGGAAAATCGATTGAAAGATGTGACATTGAGTGTTATCAATGAATTATTCACGTAAGTATCTAGAAAAATCAGACAATTAAATTTGGAGAATTTCAGGTCCAATATTCGCACAATTATGGTAACTGGAGATAATTTATTGACTGCTATGAGTGTTGCAAGAGAATCTGGAATAATTCGACCGACTAAGAAGGCTTATCTTATTACTCATGATTCTTCGAAGAAGGATCATGCTGGGAGAACACTTTTAACGATTACAGAGGTGAGATCTAATCAAAATTGGAGATCAACTACTCGTCCGAACCCTGTTATTTTTCAGAGCGTCTCAAGTTCCGAAGAAGAAATCGATACCAACTCTACAGTTCGAAAATTCGATAGAAAGCTCCATCTTCAACCATCAAAATATCATTTAGCAATTGCTGGTCCAACTTACAATGTTGTTTCAAAAGAATATCCAGAATTATTGAATCGCCTTGCTGCTGTTTGTGATGTTTATGCAAGAATGGCGCCAGATCAGAAGGCTGGATTGATTTTGTCACTTCAACAGGTATCGGACAAATTCATTTGTTAATTTTTCATTGTTTTTTTTTAGATTGATTACAAAGTTGCAATGTGTGGAGATGGTGCGAATGATTGTGCAGCTCTAAAAGCCGCAGATGCTGGAATCTCTCTTTCTGATGCTGAAGCTTCGATTGCAGCGCCATTCACTTCAAAAACTCCAGATATTCGATGTGTTCCAGAAGTTATTAAGGAAGGTCGATGTGCATTAGTCACATCTTTTGCTGTTTTCAAATATATGGCTGCATATTCTCTCAACGAATTTTTAACTGTTATGTTGTTATACTGGATTAATAGTAATCTTTCCGATGGTCAATTCCTATATGTTGATTTTGTCTTGATCACCATCGTCGCTCTTTTCCTTGGAAACACCCAAGCTGCAAAGAAGCTCAGTTTAATCCCTCCAGAATCTCGACTTGCTACAATATCATCAGTGTTTTCTGTTGTTGGACAACTTCTTGTCAATTTTCTATCGCAATTTATCTCGGTGTTCATTATTCAAGCTCAATCTTGGTATTCACCAGTTATTGAAGGAGAACGACAAACAACTTCTTATGAGGTATAGATTTTGGTAGTTCTGAAAATAATTTATAATTTTTAAAAATGATTTTCAGGGAACTGCATTGTTCGCTGTGTCTTCATTGATGTATTTAGCATTTGCATTTGTTTATTCCAAAGGAGCTCCTCATCGTCGACTTGTATTTACAAATCATGCACTTTGTATTGTTATTGCAATCATTGGAAGTGTAAGTTTTCAGATTTAGGGGGAATTTGAAATTAGATAATACAGAAATTTCAAAAACAATTTAGAAAAGGAAAGTTGGTTCAAATATAATTTTGAAATGTTTCAGCTTCAGAATCCAAAATTTCAGCTTCAGAATCAAAAATTCCAGCTTCAGAATCTAAAATATTTTCAGCTTCAGAATCCGAAATTCGTGTTTCACTATTCCAAAGTTGATCTAACTTCATTTCGAAAATTCTCTAATTAAAGTTATATCCAGTTTTTCTAAAATATATTAAACTTCTAAAAAAAATTTGAACTTGCAGAATAATTTCAGTTTGGTGTTTTGAATTGCATAGTATTCACAATAATCACAGATATATTTCACTGGATATCTCTAAAAATCTTGACCCGAAAAAATCTATAAATTTTTGCAGATAACCGTCGTCATGATACTCACAAATATCCCATTTGTCAATTATATGATGGGTTTTTTGCCAATCCCCTCATTCTTATTCCGCATTTTACTCATCCTCATTTCAATCATCGCCTCACTTATCTCAATCTTCTACGAGTATTTTATTGTACAAGGCATTGTTGCAACATATGTTGAAAAGTAAGATTTTGTCTTAAAATTATTTCAGAATGAGTTTTTTTTCCAGAAAAATGCGTCAGGCAAAACTACGCAAACAAGATCCATCGCTTCCACTTTTCGAAAGAATTCTCTCAACTATTGGAGACACATCAGATTGGTTCAAAAAATCAATCGAAGCCACAACCTTTTCCTATACAAATGAGAACACTCAATTCTAAAAGTTTCTAGCGTGTTTTGTAGTTGACGTTACTTTTTTGTGGTCTATGATTTACTTGTGACTTTTATGTCAACAACAGGTTTCTTTTTTTTCTTTTTTTTTGTGTGTATGTTTTCGATAGCACGCCTTTTTAATGATAACATACCTAGGTATGTAGGTACCACAAATTGTCTCATTTTACCTTTTTCTTTTACTTTAGGTTTATGTAGATATGCATCAACAAGGTCATTTTTTCTTCCTTTAATATGCAATGTTCCCCCCTGTTTAAACCTACGGGTTGCCCATTTTTTTGCCTTTTGTTCACTTGTTTTCTTTACACAAAGAATATTTTGTTTTTACGAGCAGTCTTTGATAATTTTTTTATTTTTGTGTCGACAAAGTTTTGCTGTATAATAACATTTTGATCAAATTATGTAAATCGATGGTGTTTCGGGGGAAAATATTGTTTTTTTATTATTATTATTATTGCTAGGCATACGTGGAACTTGACGCGTGTTGAAAGTTATAAAGCTTCTGGGAGGCCCGCAGATTCTTTGGAGCCTGATTTTTTTACTTCTAGACCAGAAAAAAATCGGCCTCTTTGATTTACAACCAAAAAAAGTCCGAGGTTTAAAAAAAACTTCAGTCATACGTTTTTTGTCAGAAAAAAAATTTGTAGATGAAAGAAAATCGAAAAGTTCGTAAAGTCACGTTTTCACAGATCTTCATAATAAATAATAAACTTTATCAATCATCATTGTTTCTGCCGCGAAAAATCAAAGATAAAGTAAACTTTCAAGTAACCCCCGCTATTTTTTCACTCTGTTTGTCCAACTTTGCATTAGAGCGCATTTCCCTCTCTCGCCTTTTTTGTCTCATTTTTTTTCATATGTTGCAATGTTTTTATTTTTCTGTCTCGCGCTTCGTTTTTTTTTATCTTCAACATCTTGGATTGCTATTTTCTATTTTTATTGTTTTTTTTGTATCATCGAGACAGTTTGATCATTTGATCTCTAAAACATATGTATTTATACAATGTGGGATTATGTTTTTCCTCTGATTTATTGCCGTAAACGGATAATTGTACTTTCATATTTCATTTTTCGTTTTGTTGCTGTGTTCAGCCTCGTCTATTTATTCACACCGAAAATTCTTTTGCTTTCTTTCAGATGGATTGGGCATCGTTGTTTGAGTTCACAATTTACGACGCACTTTTTATTGTCGTCATTTTGGGATTCTTTTTCTACTGGTTGATGAAAACCGAAGAGCCACTTCCACCACCGCCAAAACAATTGGAACTTTTGCCATTGACTGATATGACTGTTGAGGAGCTCAAGAAATATGATGGAGTTAAGAATCAACATATTCTTTTTGGGCTCAATGGAACGGTTAGTCTTTTTTGAATTTTTCAGTGAAAAAAGGAGGAAGTTTGTTTTATTGATCTCTAGTGTTGAAAAAAAAAATAAAATGAATAAACGCACGTATTTTACAGATTTATGACGTCAGCAAAGGGATCAATTTTTATGGACCTGGAAAAGCTTATGGGAAATTGGCGGGACACGATGCAACTCGCGCTTTAGGAACAATGAATCAGAATACGGTTTCTGATGAATGGGATGATCACGAAGGAATGACCAATGATGAGAAGGTAAATCAGAACTTCAGATCGCGTTTCACATAAATCTCCCATTTCTTTCCAGGAAACCGCTAACGAATGGGAAACTCAATTCAAATTCAAATATCCAACTGTCGGACGTCTTGTCAAAAGTCAATCGGATAAACTTGATTACCAAGGAAAAACATCGTTCATCCGTGGAAACGATGCTGTTGAGAGTGTTTTAAGTGATAAGAAAACTGATTAGTAGATTAACTTTAATGAGAGAGAGTCATTATGATACGAGTTTTCTGCATTTCCTTTTTTATTCGTTTTAATAAATCTTTCAATTTCTGCAAATGAAGAGTGAGTCTTGGCGGTGGAGATTTTGAATCGCTTTACGTTTTCAAATACCTTTGGTTAGATTTATCAGAAGTTACAATTTTAGTTAATTTCAAAGGGGTTGTCTTTCCACAAGGCAAGATATGCTAAATCGCTTGGGCTAAGGTGCTTCTTGAAAGTTCCGTGTTTAGAATTTTCTTGGTGCGCGAATACGGATATTTTGGTGAAAAACACAAGCCGTTAAAACCTTAAAACTAGGAAAGAAAGTGCGCTCTATCGCACACATTATTTATTTGTATGTACTTCTCTCGGAGTTCACACCCAAACATTTATTGAGTCATTTGGGGTGTTTCCGGTCAAGTTAATGCTAGTTTATAGTTAGTTGAAAATAGTGTACTATTTATTTACATTTATACTATAATCACATATTCGAGAGCATTAAATAAAAAAAATAAAAAAAAAACAATAAGAAATCATCAAATCACATTTTAGAAAAGTCCATCAATAATTTCAGTGACTGGATCAATTGTAATATCATAGAAACATGGACGAGTATTCAATCCAGGCATTGTTGTCATTTCTCCAACCAATGGATAGATGAATCCAGCACCAACTGAAGCGCGAACATCACGAATGGGCAAGGTGAATCCAGTTGGAGCACCTTTTTTAGTTGGATCGGATGAGAGTGAAAGATGTGTTTTGGCCATACAAATCGGCAATTTTCCGAAACCTTGTTGAGTATATCTTTCCAGTTTTGTCTTGGCTTCTTCGGATAATTCAATACCATCAGCACCATAGATTTCTCTAGCAATTGTAGCGATTTTTTCTTCAAGTGATAAATCCAAATCATATAAGAATCTGAAACATTTTTTTTTCAAAATCTGTAATCATTTCATTTCTTTCTCCCCGTATAAACATACTTGAATGGTTTTGCTGGTCCAGAAGTTGCTTTCACCAAAGCTGTCGCCAAATCAACAGCACCAGATCCACCTTTAGCCCAATGTTCCGAAACAACCGCGTCAAATGCCCCATATTGTTTGGCTTTTTGAATAACAAGTTGCAATTCTTTGTCAGTATCAGTTGAAAATTTGTTGACACACAAAACAACTGGGATGCCAAATTTATTAGCATTTTCAATCTGAAATTGATTGTTTTTGTGGTAGAAGAGAAAGGTCAGAAAATACCTGTTTTCTCAAATTCGAATCACAACCGCCTTCAACTAATGGGAGATTTTCGTCAAGATATTCATGTTTCAAAGGAGTTCCAGCAACCACTGATGGCCCACCTCCATGCATTTTCAAAGCTCGAACAGTTGCAACAAGTACAACAGCAGATGGTTTAAGTCCCGAATAACGGCATTTGATGTTGAAGAATTTCTCCATCCCAATATCAGCACCAAAACCAGCTTCAGTGATAACAAAACCTTCTGGACCGGCGAGTTTCAAAGCAACTCTATCAGCAAGAATACTACTTTGACCATGAGCAATATTAGCGAATGGACCAGCATGCACAAAGACTGGAGTTCCTTCAAGTGTTTGCATCAAGTTTGGTCGAACTGTATCTCTCATAAGAACAGTCAATGCATCAGTCACACCAACATCATCAGCAGTCACTGGTTTTCCAGCTTTATCACAACCGATAACAATTCTCTGAATTCTTTGTTGCATATCAGCAAGTGATGTTGTCAAGGCAAGAATTGCCATAAGTTCACTAGCAACAGTGATATCGAATTGGGTTTTTCTTGTCAATCCCTTTTCATTTTTGCCCAAACCGATTTCAATTCCTCGAAGGAATCTATCATTGGTGTCCAAGACGCGATTCCAAGTGATAGTGTCTGGATCGATATTCAATCTGGCAAATTGGTTGCGTTGTTCAACACTGAGATGTTCAGCATCGTCAACTCTTTCGAAACCAAGACGATCAAGGCGGCGGAGTTGGATTTCAGTCAATGGGCGAGTTCCTGGAAGAAGAAATATTTTGGAGAAATCTAGGTGAACTGAGAGACTATAATCTAGTTCAAGAACTTTTTCAGAAACTTATTTTCTGACTTTTTTCTCGAAGTTTTCGATGTAATCCTTTTTTGATCTAGTTTTTGGAAAAATATACCCGATGAATTTTTTAAATTTTGTTTAAAGTTCAAAAATTTTTTGAGCCTATGAATCGCAGAAAGGTTTCAGAGATGCAATCAAAAAAAAATCTCTATACCTTTCTTATTTTTCGGAGCAAGACGATTAAAAAGAGCTTCATCAGTTTGTGTAGCTTCATGGAACATTCTAGCATCAATAGCAGCTGCCAACAAATTATTTGCAGCAGTAATCGCATGAATATCACCAGTTAAATGAAGATTGAATTCTTCCATCGGAATAACTTGCGAATATCCTCCACCAGCAGCGCCTCCCTTGATTCCAAAAGTTGGACCTTGAGATGGTTGTCGAACACAAGCAAACACATTTTTGTGAAGGTGTGCACCAAGAGCTTGCACTAATCCAATAGTTGTTGTTGATTTTCCCTCGCCAAGTGGTGTTGGTGTAATTCCAGCGACGACGACGTATTTTCCATCTTGAACATTTTGAAGACGCTCCAAAATATCGAGGGAAACTTTTGCTTTCTTTCTTCCATACAAATCTAATTCCTCTGGGTGGACGCCGATTTCAGCGGCAACTTTTTCGATATCTTTTGGTGGTTGAGATCGAGAAATTGCGATGTCCGATGGCACTGGATCCAAGAGAGTTGGTTTCAAATATTCGATGTTCCAGGTGCTCTTAAAAAATTATGATGGGTTATGAGAAAAAATATTAACTATTACCATTATTTTTCTTCTAAAAAGGGTCGAAAAAATATTTGCCAAAATCAAAAGTGTTGTTAAAACATGTCAATCTTATCATTGATACTACACACAACAAAAGTATCAAAAGTATTTTGATGCTCAAATGATAACAATAAACATACCATTTTGTCTTCTTGAATAATTCGATTCTCCGATAGAAATAGCAACACAACAATAACAACAAATTCAAACCAAAAATGATGCAAAATGGAAGAAAATGGCAAAATATATTGTGATAAGGTGTGCGAGAGACGCAGAGAATGGGGGGAGAATTTATTCGTTGGCCGGGGCAACAAAAACATCTCGTGTCTCGTTTTGTTGTTCTTTTACTCAAGTTTTGCATCATTTATTTTTGCGTGAATAAAATACAATAAAGTTACAATAAATTAAGAATGAAAACATATGTATTTAGCAATTGATAAGTGAAATTGGAAATGGGAATGGGAATGTTGAGCAAATCGGATTGTGTATGGCAAAATGGTGCATCACTCATCAAACTGGAAAAAAAAGCTTCACAAATCACTATCACGATGTTTTGATGAATAAAAAAAGCTTGTGAATTTGAAAAATTTGACGAACTTTAAGCAAAAAAAGTGAATATATTTTTGAAGACTTCAAAAATCCATACAAATATTGGTACTGAAAATATGAGAATTTTCAGTTTTTGTTCGAGTTCAAATTCCTTTTTTGTTCAAAGTTCAATGTAGTTCACAAAATCTGAAGCATAGATCATTTTAAAATTTATTTCATCATGATTTTTAAGTTCATCGTGATCAAACTGATCAAGAAAACAAGAAATCTGTGAATTTTTAGAATGATTTACTGATTTCTGAACTATAGTTTTTGTTGAATAATTGTCGCTGAAAGCCACAAAAATTAGAATTTTTTCATTCAAATTCAAATCAAAAAAATTTTTCTTTCGATAATCTACGGATTTTTTTGCAACTTTTTCAGAAATCTTTTTTTTCTCGTTTCAAGCTCACAACATCTAAAGCATAAATCTGTCTAGAATACATTTCATCAAGATTTTCCAAGTTCATAATGATCACGATGATCAAGAAACCAAGTCGACCTTTTACCTCATTTGAACAGTCACGTTGTCTTTTCTCTATCTTCTCTCTAATCGTTTTAATTGATAAAATCAACGAAAATTGTTGTTTCGTTAAAGAACAAATCGTCAAAAAATCAACCAGGGTCGATTTTATCTCTTTCTCGTTTTTCAAAATTATTTTGATCGAATTAAAACAATTACCTCATGATGAAGACGTCTGCGTTTTGCTTGTTCAAAAGTGTTTCGAATCAACATTGCAACTGTCATTGGACCAACACCTCCTGGAACTGGAGTGATGAAGCCGGCGACTTCTTTGGCTGCTTCGAAGTCAACGTCTCCGTGTAATTTGCTTTTCTTTCCTTCTTCCGTTGGCTCATCGACGTTGATTCCGCAATCAATTACAACTGCGCCAGGTTTGATCCAGTCTCCTGGAAAAATATTAGAGAGTTATTGATTGAAGAAGATCTTTCTCTGAAGTTATGGAAAAATTCTGGAAGCCTTTTTCAGGTTTTCTGAATCGGAGCTCTGATTTTGTGAGGGAAATTTTTATTGAAACCTGAGCTGAGGTCTGAAACTTGAAAAACATGATTTCAGATAGTCCAATTGAGATCAGATATCATAAAAATCTACGATTTTGAAAAGGTAATTTTCAACTTTTTTTTTCTGAATATCGAATTTATTTCGAATAAAATTTTCTCCAGCCAATCCCTAGTTCCAAAAATGCTCCCACCTTTAACAAAATGCTTCTTTCCAATGGCAACAATCAAAATATCAGCTTGCAAGCATTTCTCCTTGATATTTTTAGTCTTCGAATGACAGATTGTGACAGTCGCATGATGCCAAAGGAAAAGTTGAGCAGCTGGAGCACCGACAATTTTCGATCTTCCCAAAACAACAACTTCTTTACCAGCAACGTAGTTTTTGTCACCTGCGAAGAAATTTTTATGATGAGCTAACATAAGTTTTTCTTCGGAAATACCTGTGGCTTGTTGAACCAAATAGAGACATCCAAAAGGTGTGCATGGGAAAATAGTGCGTTGAAGTTCACCTCTCATCAATCTACCAGCATTCATACGAGTCAAACCATCAACGTCCTGAAAGAAAGAGAAAATCTTGGATTTTGCGAAGCTGGAACTCACTTTCAATGGATCAATCATATCAATAACATGATCAGCATCAATGTTATTGTTACAATCTAATGGAAGTTGAATAATAATTCCATCAATCTCATTATCCAAATTCAGCGCTTTGATTTCTCTTTCCAAATCTCCTTGAGTTATTGAACTTGGCAATTTGATCAATCTACCTTCAGCTCCGATTTCTTTTGCTTTTTTGATTTTTGCGCCGACGTAGACATTTGAATCGGATCTGTTACCAACCTGGAAAATTGCGGGAATTTTTTCAAATCTGAAAAAAATAGAATCAGAATCTGTCATAACTTCTAATAATAGACAAATATCAATTTCAAAAGTGAAAGTGTTCCTGATAACCAGAATTTTGAAGAAAACTATTCTTTAGGGCCCTAGTTCTGGGTAAGGTTAGGCTCAATTATAATCCTGACCTTCAGAATGTCTGGGGGCCCTTCCAGAACTTTTAAAGACGACCCTGAACTAGATTTTCAAATGAAAAAAATATTTCAAAAATACATTTTGAAGATCATAAAATTATTTCATAAAATACCAGAAAAAAAATCAATTTTCTAGGATTATTCAAAAATGTATAAAATTTGCTTTTTCAAAACCCTATTCCCAGTTTCTTCATATTTCTTAGCTTACCTGAACAATGGCAAGAACCGAATTAAAATTCGGATGCGATTTTCTGGTCTCTGCAATATGAATACCAACATCAGTCAAAACCTTCTTCGAATATTCTAACCCGCTGATCAACTCCGCAACCATTCTGAAAACAAAAAAATAAAAAAAGTTCAAGGAAACTAACAAAAGAGTAAAACATTTTGGAGAAATCGAAAATTCATGAGAAAAAAAGTCGCCGGGAATTTTTTGTTTTCTTGGTTTGGTTTGGTTTGAAATTTTGCTTTTTTCATAGCAAGTTACATATGATTCAAAGAAAAAAGCATAAAATAAAATGAAAGAAAAGATTATAATCTTTTAGGAAAAGCTTCCTTGTTCTTTGAGATATGGAAAAGATATGAAACAAGATTCGACAAGTTTTTGTTTAAATTCGATTCAATATGATAAAAATATGCATTTTAGTTAGTAATAAAACTGATAAAACTTTGTTTTTTCAATGACAAGACAACTATCTGATTGATGCCCTTTCGAAACTTTTTTTGGTCTAAAAGAGATCACAATTTGGAACAATGTGGAATGTGGAAAAATAAATGATCAATGTCTAAATATAAAGTTTCTTATATAACAGGTGTTATATTATAATATAATCAATGCAATGTCCATAATGACCCAGAAATGAGAGAAACCAAAAAACAAGAGGGTGCAGAGTGCTAGAGAACAAAGTATCATTGAGTTTAGAAAATTATCTATGGATTGCTATTTATTTTTGATGAAAATAGCGCTAAAATGAGAAAAAAAGAAAATCTCTTTGAAAACTTGAAAATAAAAGTATAAACCAAAGGGGAGCAACTACGAATGCGTCAGCTTTTTGAAGTTGGCGCATTTTTGGTGCACTCACAGACATTTGAATATAGAAAATACACAGTCTCCTATAGAAAATCTATAGAAAAATTCGTTTCAAGACCAGATTTTTCAAATTTTTCTTTGTAGATTGTTTTCTGGAATTTGGATAAACATGTTTACTTCATAGAACAATAGTGTTTATTTTTTTCTCTTTTGAAAATATTTACCATGCAAGTTCTGTTTCCTCTTTCCCCACATAAATTCTGGACACCATATTTTAAGGGGGATAGTGAATTTATTAATTTTGTTGAGTTATTGGAAGTTTTTTTTTTAATCCGTTGTTTTCAAACTCATTTTTGTTATTCACTGAAATTGTGTTTCATTTTTATCGCAAAATTTTTCAGATTGTATTATAATCTAGATGTATGTTCTTATGAAAAATTGGCCTGAAATTCAAAAAAAAATCCTTTCTCCTTGATTCTGATTTCCGTTTTTTTCAAAACAAAGATCCTTATCACCATCATGTGATATCTCAAATTCCCGGAAAAAATCCCCTTTCCCTAAACCATTAAAATTTCATTAATTTGAACTTCTGTTCCATTCACATTATCGCAATTTCTTTATCAAAAAATTCGTGATCTCAAAAATGTTGCACAATAAATGCGTTCTTTATCGCTACATTTTGACCCAGACACTTTGCTACCGTTAGACAATGCATTTCAATAAAGAACACCCGTTTTCACATTTTCACAGTTTATTGCACTTCTTCTTCTTATCGTACACAAAATGAATAAATTTGATTAGCACGTAAATAAAGTTCACAATTTCGTTCATTTTCGAAAAGAATAAAGCAACACAATTATTTATAAATTATATTTTTCTGAGATTCAGAACATTCTGATGAATCGCGAGAAAAATCCATAACATTCTTCCCGATAATTTAGTCGCAGCAAATCAATCGTGACTTCTCCACGATTGAAAGTTCTTGGGTTGAAGAAACTGTGGAACTCGCTAACACCATAGCAATATTTGTCAGCAGGCACACATCCTTTATGTTTGATCAACAATTTGATGTTTCTCAAGTGATTTGGGTCAATTCCTAGATCTTCAGTAACAGTGTAATCGTTGTTCATTTTGGAGATCAGACCAACAGAATACCCATTGACGAATGCTTCGATTTCGATTATCTCCACTATTTGGTCACCACATGAAATACTTCCTTTGAATAATAAATCGGGATGATTTTTTGAGTCAATTGTATAATAGGACACTCTTCCCTCATGTTTCAGTCGTCGCAAACTCTGGAAAAATTTGAAGATTTAGGGTAAGTTATAATAACTTTTTAAAAGTCTGGGAATATGAGTTTAAAAATGTGTTTTCTATTTCTAAATAAAAGAAAAATCCACATTTGACTAATCGTTCCTTTTCCTGAAAAAAAAAACTCAATTCAAAATTATACCTCAAACAATCTGTGATGTCTTCCTTGCTCCTTGAAACTCATTTGATAGCGATTCATATCGAAAATCGCTTCATCTTCCAAAAATCCCGAAATTGATACGAAAACAAAGGAACAGATGAGAAAACCAAGCCACATTTTTTGTTCGCACTGTAAAAAAAAATAAATTCTTATCTTAACAAAAAAAAGAGCCCTCATAAATCTAACGAAAAAACGCCTCTTTGAAGAAGAAGAAGATGTTTTTGTTATCAAGTTGACCGTATATACAACTAAAATTGAACGAATATGAATGAATGTATGTACATATAATGAATAAATAAATAATTAGAAAGTGCAAAACATAAGATTATTTATGAATTTTAAAAAAGCGAACACTTGGTTTTTTTTTTGCAAATGTAAAAAAAACTTCTGAACATCAATAATCACTTTTTGGGATAAAAAATAAAATAAAATAAATAAAATATTGTTTTAAAAATCAAGCAGCAAAAGTGAATTTTAAGTGAAATTTACACACATGAGATTTCATTTCATTTTGAAAATGATATCGAATTTCAAGACAAAAACTGTTTCAAAAAGCACCCTTTCTTGATAAGTTCATGTTTATTAGTGTACAAAAAATGTTAGTGGGAGGTCATAAAAATATTTATGTATTCGTATGTATTTCACACATATATAGGGTGGGTAAAATGTGATTAGAGGGTGTCAATGGGTTTTTGGTGTCTTTTCGTCATTGCTTTCAAGCCATTTGGATTTGAATATCATTAGGGTCTGTCTTGAGAAAATAGAAATGAAAAGGGTTTTATGAGAAAATGATTTCATTCTGCTCCAAAATCAAATAGAACTAACTAACAATTATGGATGGTTTTTTGGTTGACTTTTTCAAAAATATAACAAAAAATAAAATTATGGGTTGAATGAAATCACGTTCGTTCTCTCGCTCTAACAACAAGTTTTTGATTAAAAATATAAGGAAGAGACTCACTCTCTGGTTTTGCTTTGTTTTCGAAATTTATTCCGTGGAACAATAGAGTTCAAATGAGATTGGATTTTTTGTTTGGAGGTTTTTGAAATATGGTTTTTGTGTGTGGGATTCTTGGATTTTCTGCAAAAAAAAAATAAATAGCGGAATTTTGGAATTCGAATTCTTCAGAAGATCTAAGAGTTTCTTTTTCCTCGGGTGAAGTTAACGCTCTTGAAATTTATTTTTTAATTTTTTCATAAGGAAATTAATATTTTGGAAACCAAAAAAACCGCATATATTTTTCCTGCAACGAAAAATAAAAAAGATTCCAGAAAAATTAGTATATTTCTGCATGAGACAAAAATAGTTTCATGTAATATTTTATTCAGGATAGACTCATAATTTTTTCTGAAAATCATAAAAATGAACCAGTAAAAATTGCATCTTAAATTAGTAGAGCAGAAGATTTGAAATAGGAAATTTTACGGTTTTATTGTTAGAGATGAACATTTTTTCAACGATTTTCTTCGTGGGTGGTCTTCTCCAACGGCATCAACTTTCATTGTTATTCTTCTTGTGTTATTCATGTGAAGTCTGAAATCCAATCTGAAATACATAAAAAGACTGCCATGGAGATAAGTCAGACACTATAATTAACTTATAGCGAAAAAACATTTTGAAAATAAATTTTTGGTCTATTAGTTTTAAGAAAAAACAGTACTTTGTATCCATGACGATATCTGTTTTGATTGGATTCTTGGAATTAGACGTTCATAATTTTAAAATTCTGATTTGAACATTGAAGAACCGAACTGGAAAATTAGATAATAAAACCCCTGCTCAAAATTTTGTGCAAAAATTTTCATCGAACAAAGACTGTTGTGAGGCAAAAAAGGTACGATAGTTTTATGATTTCGTAATCTTTAGGACTCTGATCGCAAAATTACTTGCGGTGTTCGGAAAATCGCGTTTTTCATTTTCAACAAGTTGAGATTGGGAACTAAAAGATGAAGAAAAATTTAAAAGAAAAGAAAAACAAATTGCAGGAATCTCAAATGTTTTTCAGAATCCTGGATTTCTGAAAGTTCAATCTTTCATTTTTGATATGGAAATGTGGCCTAACAGTTTCTATATAAAAATTGGTACCAAATCCAGAATATCCTATACAAATTGTTACCCATATTTCTTCTCCATTCCACCTAATTCATTTCACCCAACAGAAACAAATATATCATGTCTACATCTAATTTACGTTTCGCTTCTTCTATAAAAAAAACACACATACAAACCGATGTCCGTTAATGTCGTATTCCACATCTTCTTCTTTCTTATTTATTCTTATTTATTTTCCCTTCACGCCTAATTTCTTGGTTGCTAAGAAATTATTACATTTTTGCAATTTATTCCTACCAGCGAGAATCTCACGGAGTTTCTGTGAGAAATTGATTTGTAATAAAAATCTTGTGCTTTTTCTTTCAAATATATTTTTGTATTCGTAAATTCGTAGCCTTCTAGAAGACTTTCATTTTCATTTTTTTCTCTCATTCTTATTTTCCTTCTACTATACTAATGGAAATTAATCATTTGGCACAATAATTTTCTGTAGTTATTCAAAATTAACTACACAAATTCTTGAGCCAACTGATTTTTTTTCGAATTTTTAAATTTAAAAGTTTTTGTTGTTGAATTCTATGTATTTTTTTTCAAATTCACATTGTTGATAAGAGAATTTCGAGCTGTGACGTAGTAGTCGCATGATTTTTATGAGCGAAATGCACTTAGGACATTTGATTCCAGGATGATTTGAAAGAATAAATTTTATCTAATTAGTCTAGAATAGAACAATGATAAGATCTGCAAAAAATGTTTTATTGGTTCGGTGTAGAATTTCGAAATTCATTGGTACAAATATGAAACAAACAGGAAATGAATAAACATTTTCATTGGAATGAAAATGAATTTGTTTATTTGAAAACAATACTTTGATTTTTCAAATATTTCCGCATTGCCGACAAGAATTTGTTCAAATCTTGTACAGTGAATCCTTTCTTGAAGGTATCGCCAATGTTTATTGTGACATTGTGGAAACCTTCGGGTTTTGAACGGAAGTTTCTGGAAAATATTATTTTATAACTGGCCATGATGCAATTTTTTGAGGAAAATTGGGTTTGATAACGAGTTATGAACTAGACTCTTGCTTTGTTATCATTCTCTAATTTTTTGACTGAAAATATCTTAAGCAAAAACTTTAAAAATAAAGTTTTACTTTTTTCAGATTTTACAACTTCTCATTACCGTTTCTAAAAAATCGAAATTGTATGGAAATTTTCCAGAATTTTTTAGACATTTTTTTTCGGAATGAGAGCCTAGAACCCTTTCAATTTCTATCATTTTTTTTAATTCTCTTTCATTCTACTCACCTTTTCATGTCACAAGCCCACCAAGTTTTAAGAGACGAAGATCCCCAATTCTTCTTATAACTCGATGCTTGACTTCGAACTTGAATATCAAGAATTTTATCAATATCAATCTTCAAATTTGTCGCTGTTGGGAAATAGTACCATTTTATTATCAAGTATCCATTCTCAATCTAAACTATTCTCACATCAGTATTTATTTTTTATTTCTCATAGACTTACTTTTGACCATTCTTCTTCAAATTCTGCCATTATATTGAAGAAAAAATGATTGGAAAGAATCCAAATTTTCTGAAAAGAATGACTTATTGGTACGATACGTAGCAGTTTAATAGCAAAAATTTTTTTGATGATAAGAAACACATTTTTTTCTGTATTTGCATGATGTGTTATTGACTTGAAAAGATAATGTTCTATGGCCTTTTTTGATATGTCAAATAAGGCTGTATACCTTATGATTGTAGATACAAAGATGTCTTGCAAAAAATATGTTTTTATGAAAGTTCGTCTCAAAATATAATTAGAAACTTTATATCTGATTGATAAGAAGTTATAAATGCCAGACAGAAAGAACATCTGTTTGATTTGCGGTTAAGAGATGATGTGCAAAAAATAAAATTTGGAAATTTCAAAACTATTTCATCATGAAAATTGTTTGAAAATAAACAAATACAGGGTGACCAAAAAATTGATCAAAGTTTTTTGAAGCCGGTAATAAAATCCGGTATTTCCAAATAAAATTCATATTTCTTTTTATCAGGAAAAAATTTGCAATAAGCCGGACTTTAAGAAGAATATTCTAGTTAAGTGACACTGGGAGCAACTTTTTGAAGTTTGGATTTTTTGGCTGAAATTCAAGATTCTCTCCAAGTACTCCAGATCAATCGGATTCAAAATCAAGAAAAAAAAACTACCAGATTTCTAGTAAAGCTTCTCACAAAAAAAGTTTTCAGTTTGTTCAAAAAATAAAATATCACATGGTTAAATATAAATATTTGAAAAAAATAAAACCTATGGGAATATTTATTTCGAAATGCGTTTTTCGAATGTGCGACTAAATCAATAATCACCAACGTAAACAAGTTTTTCTCATTTTTATTCTCATTATTTTTATTATAAATATGTTTTACCTATTGCTATTTTTTTTGCAGATTAGAACTTGGAAAACATAATTTTTTTAACTTAAAAAAATTATTTAGTACCTTATATTTCTGATTCTCCGTTTAAAAAGATTTATCGGATTTAGTCTAACTCCTGACATCGTGACAAGTTAAAAAAAAACTCTGAAATAATTCAAATCAATCAACAGTTTCATATTGTTTATTAATCAAACAATCTACAAAAAATTCATGTCGCAACATTTTTTAAAGCACACTTGTTTCTCTCTCAATTATTCATCATCAAATCGTTTTCTCCAAGATCCAAAGAAAAGCGGGCGACTTGATGCATTATCCGAAAACGCGGATAATGGCCCATATCCCTGAATCTGTAAGAAGAATTCAATTATTTTCACAGAATATTCACACTAACCCAAAATTTTACCTGTTTTGATCGCTGAGATGTTCGCCAAGATGGGAGTTCCCGATTGAATGACACTGGTTGCCACTGGAATTATTTTCTGATTCCGATTTTCGATGTTAGAAATCAAACTCACTTTCAAAACTTTTGCCATTGATACCGAAATCAAGCAAAGAATGCAGAAGCTGAACAGAAATCTGAACATTTTTTTGGAAAAACCTGGAAACAAAATCTTTTTATATGTATTTATAGTTAGAGTGCAAAGGATGTTTATGCGAATAGCAAAAAAAATAGTTCATAACCAAAATTATTCCACGGGCTACTAGAAAACATGTTCTTTTTGTTTTGCGGCTCGAAACATGAGACAAAACAAAGCAGCCCTCAACACAAATCCATTAGGTGAATTAAACGTAAATTGACGTTTTTTGGGGAGGAACAAGGAGAAAAAGAAGAAGAACTCATGGAAGAATGAATAAAAAAGTCACACATGATGAACAAATGGACTTTTTTATTCAGTTTTAAGGGTCGAAAAGGACAAACATCAAGTGGTTTAATAGGGAATGGATTGAGATGCTTGAATGACTTTAGTGTGTTTTGGATATGAGAAAAATGTTAGGAAAAAGAAAAGTTGCGAACTCAAAAATGAGTGACCTACGAACAAAAAAAGTGTCACAAGAATTCCGGGAAATAATATAGGGTTTGAGGAAACAGATGTTTGATTTTTGACAAAAATTGAGAAGCGGACCAACTACATTGAAAATTGGAACAATTTTTTTGAATTGAACTCACATGAACAGTTTTGATCTTGAAGTTTGTCAGCTCAAAACTTCCAAAAAAATTGTTTGAATACAAAGTCAATTAAAAATTAATGCGGAATTGGTGTCAAATATCTCTCCACCCACAACAAAAATTTGCTCTTCGTGGAACGATCATCATTTTTGGAAATTTATAGAAGTTTAAAGGGGGGGGGGAGCCCCAATTTAAAATTTTTAAAAACATTTTAAATTTTATTTTATGAACAGACATTCATCTCTAAAAATTTGCTCTTCAAAAACAAGAAGCCTTTTCAATTTATGCCAACAAAAATCACTAAAAAAAACTAATTAGGTGAGCATTGTTCAGGTGTCGTAAACCAGGAAGGATCTGGTTTCGCTGGAGTCATTGAACTATATTCATATGATGCTTTATAAACCATATCCGAACTATGATCATCGGCTGTGAAATAAGTGTCCCAAGCTAGCAATGCTCCTGAAAAAAATATAGATATCTTTTCTTATAAATAAGCAATTTTGAATAGCAAAAAATTGAATCAGTATTCAATGCAAATTGAAAAAAGAAATGATGAGAACCTTGTTTACCCTACAGGATATTGGGTTTTTCATCAGCGAAAAACGGAAATTCTAGAATCTGTCTTGCTATTCTACATAAAGGTTCTTGCTTAGAAAAAGTTTTGGAAAAAAATAAAGTCAAGAAAGATTTGTACATCCGGTTGAACTAAAAAAACAAAAGAAATATTTGGAACATCAAAAACCAAGAAGGTACCCAAGTGATGCATAGAAAAAAGAAAAAGTTCCATGAAAATATTCTCAAGTATTTTTTTTTTCGCCATTTGATGGTCAAAACAATAAATATTCATGGGAAAAGAAACGAATTCTATAAAAACCTAAATGATAGACCACAATAGTTTTTTTTCTTACTTTTTGTTAGGAGTAAAAATATTAAAAAAAAAAATTACGTACCAGTTACAGCATCTGCATAGGCAGTTACTAGAAAAGCTGTTTGATTTACGTTTGATAACAGGACTTCATTTGGATTTCCTTGATAGACATAAACTTTATCTCCTTGATGAGTTTGTTCCTGGAAAACATAATTAGAGTTAGGGTAAGTTTTAGAAGAGATTGTATCGTTCAAAAACTTCAGCCGCTATTGGCGCCCCAAACTCACATATTCCTGATGATTTCTAACAAGTGACGTCATTCCCAAACTGTTAATATAAGTTGTATAAGTTGTTGAGCGATCGAAAGTGCATTTCTGAAAAAAATTGGATTTTTGATCATTCTCTGATACACATAAAATATATTTCTATTTCTGTAAAAAAGTTTTTTCACAGAAAGTTGAGTGATAAGTTGATTGATGTTTGTCATGGAAACTTTTGAGAACAAATCGGGTTCATTTGAACAATTATTTCTTATTGACAGGGGGAAATATTTTGCAAGTGAGGGATTTTCCTATACAATTCTTGAAAAATTGTTCAAAATTTCCCAAAATGAAGTGACTTCCAGTAACTTGATAATAACTTCTGAAACCTAAAGTTTTTTTGGAAATAGTATTTTCATTTAACCAATAAAAATGTGCGGAGATTTTCCTGCAGCAGCGGTTTAGCTCTCTTGTAGTTTCAGATATTTTCGAAGTTCTTCGGACCCTCCCCCCTGAAACTCACAATTCCATTTGTTGTATCATACCAATATGAATGAGTCGGAAACGCGTAAATCGTCACATTCTGCGTGATTCTATGAACAAGAGTTTTATTTGTGTCACTCTGAATCCAAAATGAATCAAATTCTTCAACAGCCTGCAAAAATTATTATCCGCTCAAATAAATTTTAATGAAAAATTACCGGTTCTTGATCATCTTCTGCATCGTCAGGAAGTTTATAGGTCAAAATATACAATCCCTCTTTCTTACTGTATTGATCGATAAAAATTGAAAAGTTTTTGGAAGCATCTCTATGGGTTTCATGTTGAGTTCCGGTTTCACCATTGATGAATGAGAATATAATAGCTCCAGTACAACATCCGATGAAAAATAATGAAATTGCAACGCGAATCAGAAGACCTTTCAAACTGAAAAAATATTTTTCTGGATTTTTTACAAAATCAAATATTACTCACCGCTTTCCACAATCATCTGGTTCAACACTTTCAATATCATCATCATCCCAGAATTCGTCTTTCAATATTTCTCCACTTTGAGACATGATTTATTTCACCAACAAAAAAGTCTCGTTTTTTTCTAAAATAGCAGTTTGTTACGTGGACGGTAATAAATGTTTCTTTAGATTTATCAGTTGATCATGAGCAATAAAATGTAATAGACAGTGCGGAAATTGGAGTGCGCTTGTTTGGTAATTTGGAAGAAAAATAATAATTTTTTATAGTTTGTGGTAGTATTTTTGAATTTTTAGCTGAAAACTACTTAAATTTTTTGATTTTTACGGTTTCCGCTTCTAGGACTTACAAACTTTCTGATAAACTAACACTTATTGATTGATTTATTTATTCACAAAGCAAAAATTTCGACAAATATCAATAATAAATAATAATTTATGACGTCACGGAAGGTGAACGTGACAAAAAAAAATACAAAATTTCTCTTGTGCTCGACGTAGAGCGGTTGGAAGCAACATCAATTTGATGATGTTGCTCCAAACCGATTTTGCTGATGTGACGAAGTTCCGATTCGTTGCAAAGTCATTTCTAAACAGCCTGAAAAATAACCAGATTATTTTCACAAATATCATTTTCCTACGAAAACTTACGTTAATGTGACTTCTGAATGCCAAATATCAAAATGATCTTGCATTGTTTGGCGGCACTTGATGTTGCCCACTTATTTTTTTATTGGAAGATCCGATTGTTGACATCAAGTCTCTCGATGCTATGTTCCGATGTTTTGCCAACTTGGTATGACATAAACTGTAAAAAAAATTATTATCGTTATAATTATGACTTTCCGATGGAAACTTACGTTTATTTTCAACATTTGCAACTGTGGGATGTTCGAACGCATTGTTTGGCTGAAACAATGCGTTCAAAAATCTGTTGACATCACAATCATAGTTGAAATCTGAAAAAACCGAAAATTATCCTTGCGAACAAAATAAAAAGACAAAATAATAAACAATTTTGGAAGAAAATTTAGAGAAAACTCAAGTCAGGAAATTTTGAAGGGAATTTGAAATCGGCGATCTTATAGAACGCTGAAACAGCTGCAACACGCTGTGAAACTCAAAAATCACTCGAAAAAAAACAATTTAAAAAATCTGCCGAGACCACAATTCTCTGTGTCTCTGAACAGTTCTCTCGCTGTCTGCGCGCTCACCTTGACGCACACTATTTATCAGCCTGTTTTTTTTCAATTAGGCAATCATTAATTGTTGCAAAAAGAAAAAAATTAAAAATTTTATATATTCTACAAAAGTGAAAAAACTACACGTGTGAAAAAAAGTGAATAGCGAGCACAGCTCTCATTTAATAAGCATATTCACATTGGGTTGGAACAGTAACCGATTCAACGAATGAAACTGGATAATTGTTCAATTCAAGAACATTTTGTTGACGAGATTTGTTCAACAAAACACGAGCTTCAGATTTGTGTCTTGGCAAACATGTGAATTTGACTTTTTGTTGAACATTTTGTTGTTCTTCGTATTGAGGACGGCAGGCTGGAACACCTTCCAATGAGAAACAGATGCGATGAGCGAATTCCTTGATTTCGGTTTTCTTGATCAAGTCTGAAATTGTATTTGGATCAAGATTCTATTTAAGATGAGAAACTCACTGTTCTCTTCATCTCTGTTTTCTTCATTTTCATATTCTTCAGCCCAATTTTCATGATCTTCTTGAAGAATTCTTCTGATTTGTTTATAGTTATTCTTATTTGAAACAACATCTTCCTCAATTTCACATTCATCATCTCTCAAAAGATATGATCTGTGGAATTCTTCAATATCTTCAGTTTCATTATCATCAGCGGTTCTCAATTCATTGTCAATCTGAAGAAATTGTTTGAAATTTGTTTTTTCTTATTTGTTAGTACCTCGTTGTCATTGTTTCCGCAAAGTCCGCAAAGTGAAATTCTGGAAGTGTCGAGAATTTTAGTTTGAACTCTTTGTCCGTTGAATTGAATCTTGATGTTTTCGAAATCAGCAATCAATTGTTCTCCATTGATGGTGAACCTGGAAAGATTTTTTTTTAATGAATTTTTTATAAAATGCAAAATATGGATACTTACTCATTGTCATTCATAACTTGCGATTCGCTCATAAGTTTTCCATTCTTTTCAATAACAAATTCATCATCAGATTTGGACATAACGTAGACATCTTCTTGATTGTAGAATTTAACAACAATATTGTTTGATTTCTTTGATTCTTTCTTGGCCAAAACAGCGAATGTTGGTTGTTCGGAACAGTCCTTGGCAATAACTGACCAGCATGTGGTAAGTGGGGCAGAATATGTCATGTCATCAAAAGTTTGAATTCTTTTTGGTGAGACAGTGCAAACTTGATTGTCTTTTTGATGAATCATTTTGTTGAATGAGACAAGTTCAAATTTTGGTCTTTCAAAGTTGAGAAATTGAATTTGTTGTTCTGGAGTTTGAAGGCTCCAGTTAAGATATTGACGGGTGATTGGATCAACAATCGATCTCAAGTGAATGCGATTCTCTTGATTATCTTGTTGTTCATATGAAGCACTCCATGATTGGCTCAAATACCAGGTCAAACGATCGACAAGTTTTTTAACTTGTTGTTGAGTTTGTTCATCACATTTGTATTCAGCAACAATATCCAATTGATTCAATGAAGCTAATTGGAAAACACGATCCCATTGGGAAGCTTTGCTCAATTTTTCGATGTATTGTTGGTATTTACGTGAAGATTGAGATTGTCCAAGTTGAACATTCAATTTGAGTTGATTCTTCTTTGTGTTCTTGATAAGTCCCCATCTGACAACATTGTTGAGAAGAAGTTCACGGTGTGGTTCTGCTTCGTATTCTTTCATTGAATCAATATATTGTGGAATCAAAATATTGAGTTGATGATTCAATGTCCAGTCTTGTTTGTTTGAAACAACAACATCAAGTTTGGATTTCAAGGCACGGAAGGAATGATGCAAAATGTTTTCCCAGTTGAGTTCGATTTTGTGGTTTCCTGGGGCACGAAGAGTGAGAACAACGTTGCTTTTGTGAACCTCGGTGTTTTTCAATGGTTCGACGAATTTTTCCAATGCTTCACGGCGATCTTCATTAGATTCTCCTTCAAAATCAAATTCTTCTTCGAAAAGGTTTTCAAATTCGAAATCAAAGTTTTCAACATTTCTTTGGTAGTTAGCAACAAGAGTTGATGTGAATTCGGCAGCTTTCTTGTTTTGGTTTTTGATGACAAGCTCGAAATCTTGATCAATATGAAGAGCATTTTGAAGATTCCATTGTCTCAAAACATTTCCACGAGTGGTGATTTCAAGTCCGTAAATATTGAAATTTTGTTCCATATTTTCAGTTTTCTTTTCCCATTGTGGATTGCTGAGAGTTCTTTCTTCAGATGGAACATATTCATCTCTTGAAGTTCCTGGATAACGGATGAAAACAACTGGACGGCTTGAAACTTGAATTGAAACTGATTCAGTTTCTGGAACATTGATCTTGGTTGAAATTTCGATTTGTTGTCTGCTTGTTTTAAGATCAGCAGTGAAATCGATTGGAGTGTATGATTGAACTGATCGCAATGTTTTGACTCCTTGTTCGAACAATGGTGTCATCAATCTCATTTCGTAAACATGGGTGGCAGCAATTGATGGACGAATTTCATAAATCATTTTGCTTTCTCTTCTAAGATAATTCAATCGGCTTTCAATTGTAGCAACAGTTGGGAGTTTTCCAGTAACAATAAGTGGAAGACCAAGAGTTGTTGGGACTTTGCGAATTGTTTCATAGAAATAGGCAGATTGAGTGAATACTAAATTATGTGTAAGATATCCTGCATTGTATTCTCCCATTGAATACAAGTCTTTGAGGAAAAGTCTGACGGTTGGTTCTCTGATTGGAATTACCAAAGAATCAATGTTCTTGTATCTCAAATAAGTCATAGCAAATCCTTCTTGCGTTTTTGATTTGTAGTTACGAGCCTTGATGTTCAATTTCTCTGCCAAGTTCTTAAGGTTAGTCATTTGTCTATCAATCGAACGATCTCCACGTGTTTGATATCTTGATCCCAAGTTTCGGATTGCTTGGCGGAAAAGGTCTTGAAGATTTTGTTGAGTAAATCCGAATTGAACCAAATATTTGTTCCAGTTTCCACCGAAAATAGATTCAAGGGAAGTTTGAACATCGATTGGAAATTTGTCATTCTTGGAGAAAGTAGCGGTGAAATCAGCTTGAACTCCAGAAAGAAGATCGCGAGCAAACAATGGAAGTTGAGCATAGGTTGTTTGAACTTTTTCGAATTGTTGAGCTGTGAAACGAGTGAATGAGAGAACAGCAAGACAATCGGCAGAAAGTTGTTTGTATTGTGGATTTGTTGATTTGCCGAATTGTTTCAAAAGTTGATAAGTGAATTGTTGAACTTGTTGGTTCGATTCTTTTTCCATTTGAGAAACAATTTGGACCAAAACTGATTGAGATGGTCTGGTTTGAATCAATCTCCACAAAGCAGACATACGGAGTTCTGGAGCATTTCTTTGATTTTTATAAACTGGAAGAAGAACTCTTTGAAGTTTGAGTGGCATAACATTGTCAAGAAGACGAAGAGCATCAACAGCTTCTCTACGAACAATCATCTGTTCACGATGATCATTGATGATGGTGTTGATTTCATTGACTGAGAGATCAATTCCAGCGTTTCCAAGTGTTTTCAAAGCCAAAATCTTTTCATAAGTTGTTTCAGATTGTTCGAACAAGTTCATGAAAACTTTTTGGTATTTTTGTTTGATTTGACGAGTATCTTGACGAATGAGTTGATTTTGTTGAACATTTTGAGAAACAACTCCACGAACAACAGCTCCAGCAGCGAGCCAAGCAGCTTGTCCTCCTAAAAGGTTTCGTCTTTGTTTGGAGGCAGCGTCGACAAGAATATCAGCAATCTTTTCAGATGGATATGGAGTTTCTTGAATATATTTCATGAGAATAGTGAATTTATCTTCGTTTCTATGTTGTTCAAAATGGTTCAACAAATGTTGGATTGTGTTTTTGGTTCCAGCAATTGCAAGAGCTTGTTCAATCAATGAATCAATCTGAAAATATTCAATTTTTATTGCATAACATTTATTTTCACAAACCTTGGTTTCTTCTGTGGTGAAATGTTGTTTATAAATGGTTTTGAGCTCATCCATTGAACAAGTGCGGAGAATTTTGACAATTCGAGCAAGTTGATGAACAGTTTCCAATTCATTTTGTTCTTCATTGATGTTTTCAAGAATTGATTTCAACATGGTCATTTTTTTTTCAGTTGGCAATTGATCGAATGGGTTTTTCTTGGAAGAATCTCCATTTTTGAAGAATTCTTCGACTGATTTTTCCCATTTGTTGGAGTACACAAGTTCTTCTTCTTCTCCATCAACCTGAAAAATATTGATTTTTTTTTCAAAGTTCTTGTTAATTAAAAATATTCTCACTAACCTTTCTGATTTGTTTGTTGATTGAATGATTCTCTTCATAAGTGAGCACTGAGCGAGTTTCAGTCTTCATAACTTCTTGTCCATTAACATTGTGTGTGTAAATTGAACGAACTTCAACTTGAGTCAATAATTCGTTGTCCAAAATATATGTATAAATAGTTTGTGGTTTGAATGATTCCCATTGTTCTTGTTCTTGTTGTGGAACATTTTCCGAGAATTGTTTTCCATAAACAACTTGTTGTCTTGAATCACATTTGTTGAAGTTGACAGTTTTGGTGATGATTGTCTTCTTCTCGTTTTCTTTTGTGATTGTATAAGCAACTTGGCAATCTCCTTCGATGGTTTTCTCGTTGGTGAAGAATGATTGGAGTTGTTCATCTTCTGATTCAAGTTCTTGAGTTGGTTGTTGGTCGACAAATGAGAGCATGTTCAAAACAGATCTCTTGATATTTTTCGACCATTCAGCATCTTCACCATCGAATTGAATGTGAGAAACGAGTCCATTTCTGAGTTGAGCACGAACTGGCAATTCAAGAAGAGTTTTATATTCTTCTGGAATTTCCTGTTGTTCCAAAGAACGGAGTTCTGGATATTTCTCATCTTCTTGTTGTTTTGTTGAAGAAGCCATTTGAATCTTTGACAATTGAATATGAATATGACGATCATCAATAGATTGGATACGAGCATGAGCAGAAATACGAGATTGAGATGATTGAGTTTGTTGATTTGTTGGAAGACCAGAAAGAACAAGACCATCAAATTGATAGTGATATTCAGTTTTTGGCTCAAATTGATGCTCAAAGGCTGGCGAGGCCGCAAAGGCCAAAGCCATGAGAGAAGCCAAAATAATTGACTTCATTGTGAGAATGATTACAATTTGCATCTGACATGTTTATATAGTGTTCCAGATTGACACCTTACCATATTGCTTCAATCAAAATAAAACTGTCAAATTCAATAAAGATAAGATTAACATATTGTTTCAGTCTTATCATGAAATTCAATCAAAGTATAACTCGGAATAAGTTTTTTTTATTGGAAATTTGATCTACAAAACTATCACATTCGAAAATTTTTTGTATTTTTATCGAGAAATGCTGGAAAAAAATGTTTGGTTTTTTGAGTTAGCAAAAACAACAGAGCTAATCTTTCATAGTTGAATTGAGTTTATATATGTAGATTTTATTTGAGATTTTTTGTCAATTTGCTAGTTTGATTGAATAGATTTATGTTTGAAACTCTTCCTTGTTTGGCTGAAATTCCAAATTCTTGGAACTCAATTTTCGAAATTCTTGAATTTCTACTCCCTGTTTTATGTCTAATCCTTTTTGAATTTATATTTTTCACTTGGTTTATTTTCAAAGCTTCAAATTTTCCCGAGCACATTTAAAAATCGACAATCGCGCTCCAACGCAAATTTATCATGTCCATTATATTTTCATTTTTAATTAATATTTCCTTGATATATTTTATTAGCAAAAAAAACATTTCGTTATCAATAGAAAAACTGCCATTAGATAATAGAAGCATGCAAAATGCATTAATTATTAGGAGACGGTAGAGAAAAAGAGAGTCTTCACAGGGACACTTTAAAAAATAATCAATAATTCTGAAAAAAAAACTTGCAGCCTTGTGAAAAATGTAAAAATTTTGGTTAATTTTATGAAGAATTTTCCGATCACAAATCAAATCAATGTTATGATTCAAAAACCACAGCTCACATATTATTTTCAAAAGACTTTGAAGAAAACAAGAACTTTTGCAGGAACCTAGGGTCCGAACTTTGTATGTTATTCATTTTGAACTGTTTTTTTAAAAACTTTCTCCAGATTGTGAATAATGAAAAACACACAAACAATCTTCAATCCAATTCCTAATCGATATTCCATTTGCAAAAAAAAGAGTGCTTTATCAATAATGTATGAAAAACTGTCATAGATGGCATTGAGATTATAGCAGCATACAAATATTATTAAGAGACTCGAGAGAAAAGGGAAAATCTTCACAGGGACATTTGTCGTCAATAGAGCGGGTTTTCTTCAACAACAAAAAGAGATAGACCACCCAAGAGGTTTTAGAGAAATAGATGTGGCGATTTTTTTCATCTGTTCATTAACTTGGCTGACTTACTTGTAAAACTGTATTTTTTCTGATTTATGGTTCTTTTAGGGGATCTAGAATTCTCAAAAATTATTGACTGAAAAAAAAGTTAATGAGATTTGGTTTCAGAGTTTCTGCGATTCATCGATTTTTCACCTGAAAAGTGGATATACATACATATTTAGTAGTGTATGCTTTGTTAAGTTTTGTTCTCAAATGAGCAGATGAATTTTAGTTCATACATATATTTCTCATTCTTCCAAGAGCTTTTATTCAAATGGTTACAAATTTTCCGTAAGTTATTAAAAAAGGTTTTCTGAAAACAAAAAAAAACACACACATTAATTCAAATTTTATGCTCAAACGATCAGAGTTGCGTGATTTTTTTGCTGATCCATTTCAAATTGTCCAGCTGCCACGCCAACCAATTACACAAAAAATATTTACACGCAATTTTGTTCAATCCCCAATTATAGATACCTTTCCTTCCTTCCTTGATCCTCTTATAATGAGCCGTCATCATTTATTGCTCTTTTTTGTCTTGTCTTTCGTTGCTCTCTCCTTCTTAGGACAGCCCCGCCATCTTCATATCTAAGGCCTGCCCCTCGCCCATATAAAAAACCGAGGAGGTAGAGAGTATTATGAAAAGAGAGAGACAGAAGAAAGAGTGATAGAATTGAGGAGGGTGCATGACGGCAGCATAGCGTTGATGCTGACTCTGAAAGACACGCTTGTGCGCAACTAGTTCAATTTATGTTCGATAATTTTTAATTTTTTCAACACTTTGTTCGATTCTGTTTGAGAAGATTTTTATAGAGTTTTGTAGATCTGGAAATTTCCTATTTTTCCTTATTCAATTCCAGAAATTTAACACACTTTTGGCGTAGTTATAGCCCTTCAAAAACTAAGCTCTTGAAGTTCTAATTTTACGTTTTGAGGTGTAAAAATCGATTTTCAAACGTAGGATTAATAGGAGATAGACTTTCAAAGCTAAAACCCTCTCAAAGACGGTGAAAAGTGTATATATTTTTAGATTAGAAAATCTGAACCATTATTATTATTAGTTTTGTTAAATATATTTCTCTTAACTTTTATGAATATTTTTGCAGAACTCTAAATCTGTACAGAATGAGTAAAACTGACAATCGAGGCCGGTCAAAAAATCGATCAGAAGGTTCGGCAAAACGTGTAAAGAAAGGTGAGTTATGGGGAATATTATATCATGATAGTGATGATTTTTGAAATTTGTTAGTTCTCTAGAAACTAGAAATCTTTTAGAATCACCCATTTGGAAATTGTGATTTTTAGTGTAATTTTTAGTGCACTTCATCTATTTTTTAGTACACTTTAACTCGTGTTAACACATTTAGTGTTTTGAAACTTTTTAGTGCTCTTCCATACTACTGTTATTAAACTTTTCTCCTTCTGACCCTTGAAAGTGACCATATTGAACCTTCAGATTTCTAGAAAAATTTACAGAATGGTTAAGAATAATCTTGACTATGTTTTCTATATAATGACTATGATTAACGAGAGTAAGTATGACTAACATAGGCTAACTCAACAAAAACTAGGGCAAATAATTATGCTGAATAAATTCAACATGAAAATTTATGGACTTTTTAAGGTTTCTATCAACATTACATTTGAAATTTCAAACAAATTTCCATAAAATTTCTAAAATCCCGCAGCTGGAAATAGTAATTTTCAGTGCTTTTCACCTGTTCATCTTACTATATTTGGTTTCTCTAAACATATTTAGTGCTCTTTATAGCTAGCACTTCGTTTTAGTGAACTTGGAAGTTCAAATTTATGTTGAACTAGAAGGGCTTCGCTGGCTAACGCCATCTACAGTAGTTTGACTTACTTTTTACTGATTAATTTTCCGGTTAGGGAAAGAGACTACAGAAGCTATAGATTTCATTACATCTCAAAAACATTGTTCAACCCCAAAATGTTTTCAGATTCCGAATCTGAAGGTTCAATAGAAGAAATTCGAAGAGCTATTAAACTGGAAGCAAAACAACGAGAAACGGATGTTACAGTAAATGTAACTAGCCATAGAAAAGATAAACATCATGAAGAAGCTGGAAAATATCGTGAAGACACCAAGAAAGTCGAAAAAATGCCGAAAGATTTGAAAAGAAAACATCAACAACAACAACAACAACATCGTCATCAATATGAAACTCCATATTATCGGATTACTGGAATGACTGTTATGACAGATGGAGGGCCTGAAACACGAATTGATTTTGCTACTCAAAGATCAGTTAGGCGAGAAGGTAAGTTTTCTAATTAGATGTGTTAGATCTGCAGGGCCTACCGTACTTGACATGCTCCTTCAAGGTGAAGTCTGAGCAAAAAATTAGTTGTGGTCATTTGAAAGATCATGTTCTGATTAGTAAAATCATTGAAGGATTTTTTCTGGAAGCTTCTCAAATATTATTTCGAAAAAAAAGTGAAATATCTTGAAAATCCAGATATACAGTAGTTTGAAGCTCTCTGTCAATTCCAATTTTTATAAAAAAAATTTAATAGCATTTTTGCCCAGGAGACAAACTTCTGAAATGAAACCGACTAAAATGAATTGATTTTTATGTCAGACTCCACCATTGAAAAAATATTCCCATTAAAGCTAACATTAAGGTGCCTAAAACCTATGTAAGGACATAAAATTATACCCAAGTAATTCACATATGTACAAAAAAATAGACAAGACAAAAATCACATTAATGGACAAGTGCCAAAACATGACCTTTTTTCTCACTTGTTCCTCAATGTGCGATCAAAAAAAGAAAAAAAAATCTCACATCTCCCTTGAGTATGAGTATTTTTCGTCTATCTATCTATCTTTCCATTTTTATTTTTCAATAATATTAAAAAGTAAACATTTTTCCAAATAAACATGAAAAAATTGTCAGAAATTTCATGTAAAAGCAAAGTTGCTGCGGTTTTTTATTTATTTTTTTGCGTAAAATTTCATAGCGAAGAGGAGAAGAAGAGGAAGAAAAAACGTTTATTGTTGTTATTGTGCCGATTTTTTATGCATGATATACCGCGATATTTTCATTTTTCTCTACCTTCTTCTTCTCGAACAAAAACCTTTTTTTTTGAAATCAAATTTCTATGAGATGAATATTATTTTGTGTTCTTCAAAATTTCATTTTTCCCCGCCCGGAAACGTAGGGAAAAGCATGAAGAATAAAATAATAATAGACGTGAGTCATTTTCTTTTTTGATGATAATATTATTTTCGTTTTGTTGCGGCGATTGTTCACTTTTGCTTTATTTTTCTGCAACAAAAAACCAACTGATCGCTTTTTTCGAACTTTTGAGAATATAATCCTTCTTTTTTTTGACTGTTTCATTCTCATTCTGAATTTCTGAGTGCATTTTTTCAAGCTAGCTTCTATTTTTCAGTGCTATTCGCTTTCAGAATGCGGTTTAGATTGAAAAGTAAGTTGAATTAGAGCTGAGTCAGAGATTTGGCGAAAAAAGTCTGAAAATCTGTAATTAAATAAAAAAAACATAATCATAGGTTTCTTATCTGAAAAAAAAAACTTTATAAATTTTACTTTATCTCTGATATATTTTAGAAATTCTGCCAGAAGTAGACATTCAGGTCAAACTAGAGAAATGGATCAGACTAGAAAATGAATGACCAAACTAGATTTTCTGTCTGCGCTCTCTTGATTTTACCTTGTCTCTGGTCTATATTTCAAGATTTTCTGTTTATCAAAATTTCGAGCTCAAAATCTTTAGATAGAAAATTACACGGTGTATCTCTCTCTCTCCACTTCCACTTCCATTTTCAAACAAAAAACAACAAAACAAGAAAAAGTGGATAACTCAAAGATTAGCAATAGACAAAACAACACCGACATTTTCTCGGTGAAATAGGCAAAAAACCACTTGACAAATCAGTCATTTTCGGTTAGCGTTTTTTTTGCTGTGCGCCAAGCCAACCCGACACAATTCTTCTGAAAACCTTTTTTTTTTGCAATTTATCTTGATGAGGTATCTATAAGGACATTTTTCGCAGTTTTTTTTCTTTTTCTTCTATTTTTTTTGTCTGTTCCTCATTTTTCTCGCCAATGCAGCAAAAAAAGTTTCAAATTCAATGTGTACTCTACATACGCTCTCGTTTTTGCCGATGACACAATACTTACTTTTTTTTTGCAATTTCTACTATTTTTATTTTATTTTATTTAGTTTATGTTTATGTTTGCCTTGTCCTCATTTTTTATTGTTATTATTATGTATATCTGTGTGAGAAATAATGGAAAAAAGGAACATGGATTTTGATTCTGGATATTTGATATTCTGGAATTTTTTTTGACTCTATGTATACTTTTTCCCAATGATATCATATGTAGTTGCAATTATGCTTCAAGTAAAAAAATTTCTTGGAATTTTTATTTTCAAATTTTTTTACTAGCCTGTCTGGGGAACATTTTTTGGTTTGAATTTTTGAGATTTTTTGTGAAGTTAGGCTATTTTTTTTATCTAGAAAAAATTATTTGGCAAAATTGAATATTTCATAGCTGAAAATTATTTTTTTCAAAAATTGTACTGACATAGACTAATTCAACAATGCTGAAAATGATCTTGAAGTCAAAAAATTCCACGAAAAATTCTGGCTAACCTCTCTGTTTCAAACTCCTCCAAGCCAAAACATCCCGATAACATTTTTGTAAATATAGTAATTATCTGTTTTCAAACGAACACTCGCGTTTCATTTCGTTTCCAGTTTTTTTTTGTCTTCTTTTCTATACATGCATGTTTTTCTCTAAAAAAATTGAAAACCAACACTTTCGTTGTACTTTTTGTTTCTTTTTGTTCTGTTTTCTTTTTTTCTGATTTTTTTGAGAAAAAATAATTTTTATGATGTTCAAACATCTGGAGTTTTGAATCTTAGTCTCTGCACCTGTCTCGACAATTTTTATTCAAAAATTTCACAAATTTATGTTTTCTGAAAAAATTATTTTATTATTTCATTTTCTAATATAAACCCCATAATTACATATCTCTGAAGCCTTTTTTTTCGAGAAAACTTTTTTTTCCAAATCTCTTATAAATTTTGTAATCATCTCGATATTTTCCGGGTGTTCCTAGAAAACCTCAAAAATCAATTAATCACCAAAGAATTCACTCATTTTTTGGCCGCTTGCTCGCCTTTTGGTCGCAAAAAGTGTAAAATATATAGATATTCTGGATCATATATCCACTCTCGTCCCTGTGTTTTTGAACCCCACGAAATCAATGTCCACATCTTCCTCCTACTCTTCTACTTCTTCTCTTCTTTTTTGTTTGAAAAACGAATAAATGATAGAGACAACAACAGTTGGTGATATTTTGTGTGTGGAAAAAAGGGGTGGTGTTGTGTGGGGTCGATGGACAACCATTCAAATAGATTTAGAAACGAAAGAAAAAATAATAAGACGAAGAAAAAGAAAAAGAAGATGAAAATGAAAAATAGAAAAATGACATGTGCCATTCTGAAACAATGTTACAAAGGCAGGAAATGCTGGTTTTTGAGTGATATGATTTTTTCGAACGTTCCGGAAAAAAAGTGTATAGAATTTTTGAACTTTAAAAGTGGATTTTGACATGAAAATCGATTCATTTGAATCAATTTCATTTTCATTTCAGAAGCTCGTATCCTGGCTAGAATAAGCCATTTTCATAAAAATTGGGATCGACAGAACTAGAATTTGGATTTGAACATCTCAATGTCTGATCTTGGATTATCAGAATTTTTTTCAGTCTTTTTTTCAAATTTTCTATCACAAGATAGTTTGGGTTCAAACTACAAACATTTTGAAGATCTAGAAGCTAGATTTTTGAATCTTCATCTTGAATTGTTTGATCTTCTGTCTCGATGTTCCCAAAAACAATATGATTTGAGTTCAGACTACAAACATTTTGTATAAAATTTTTCATGAACATTTATGTTAGAAAAAATTTTAAAGTTGAGCTAATTTTTGCGAAGTCCTTAATCAGATATAAATTAAAATAGTTAGACAAAGTAAATTTGGAACTTTTTTTTACAAAAAAATTTATTTCTTTTGTTATATTTTCTGTCTGATTTTTAAAAATCAAGAAACATTTATTGTTTTCCCGAACATCTGAAAACTCACATGTTTTGTTCTCCATCGCATCTCACACATGTGAAACCAAAAGATACCGTAATTTTTCCAGATGTTGTTTTTTTCCCTGAATCTCAAAACCTCTCTAATTTCTCATGATCACGGTAAAACCAATACACGAAACATGAAAAACAATCTTCCGGAAAAGCAACCAAAATTGAATTTGCATTTTGAAAAAAAAAGAAGTTTTTGTCACGACTTGTGATTCCTGGTTTCTTCTTCTTCTTCTTCTTCTTCGTTTTGCTCCCCCTCATCCTCCTTTTTGACTCCTTCAATACATATTGTTTTTCTTTTTGTTTCGAGAACACATGACTCTCGCTAATTCTCTGTTTTTCCAAAATTTAGACGGTATTTGAAACCGTGAATGATAGTTTGAGATTATCAGTTGTTTTGTTTTTAAGAAAAAATTTCTTGTTATTGTTCCCTTTTCGCTCCCGAATATTTTTCACTTCAAAGAAAAATGGCAACATGAGAAATCTAGCAAGAAAAGCAAAAACGCATTGTTTTATTTGTCAAAATGAATTCAAATATGCTTTGTCGCCGCATTTTTTTCTTCTTCCATCCAAAATGAATGTTTGTCGACTTGAGACGATATCCATCCAACTTATTTCGAATCATGTTTTTTTTTCGCTTATCGAAAAAATATTATATTTATCGAAACAAAAAAAAAAGATACTTGCGCGATAAAGTGCGTTGAGTTTATATTTAGACGAGCGCCCGCATCTTATGTTTACTCGATGATATGATATTATATCTCGTCTCAAATATCACCTCCAACAAATTTTTTTTTGGTCGAAATCTTTCAGCTTTTTGATTTAGCGGGGAAAAAATGAACATGTGTAGGTAGATCTTCATCTCAAATGCGATTTTTAATGTGGTACGGGGGAATGTTTGCACTTTGGATGATGAGAGTTTTTAGAGGTTTACCGGAAGGTAAATGTGTTTGGGCACAAAAATAGTGCACACTTTTGGAGTTCTGAATTTTTGGCGCCAAAATTTTAACGAAAGTTTTGAAATTCTAAACTTTCCCGGAGAAAAAAACTTGTGAGAAATTTCCATATATGTAATTAGCTAAAGTCAAGTGCTTTTCCTTTCCCTTTATTTCCTCCCAGTTTATAATAATTTTTCATAATGATCAATAATAGTTTCAAACAAGAATTTCTGGAAACATGTGTCTGCGTGGGTGCCAAACATACACTTGAAGAAATCAATGATTATTATGATTAAAGTCTCGAGCTTCCTCTTCTCCTCCTTCATCTTCCCCTTTTCTTTTAAGTGATTATAATACATGTATACATCGCTCTCATAGGTCCCGAAATCTGCAAAGAGAAGACGAAGAGAATCCTGCGTGGGCGCTCTTCCAACCTGCGTCTCTTCACACCTCTACTCTCTCTCTATTCCATCATTTTGTTCTCTTCTTTAATTCAATACACTGTGTAACTACTGGGGGCAAAGAGGGAGGAAGAGAGGGAGAGAGAGAGAGAGAAAGGGGAGGAGGGTATCTCCCGCAAATGCCGACACAAACCAACCCTCACTCCACTCATTTTTCTTGGGGCTCTCGATTTCTTTTAATAATAATAATGAAATAATAATAATTTTTTTGATTTTTTAAAATTATTTTTTGTCTTGTTTCGATGTTTATCTTAGCCTTATATTTGTGAAACAAGTAAAACAAGTGCTTTAAGATCTAGACCATTTCTAAAGAATTTCCAAATCATTGTTTTTTGTTACAGGAATGCCAGAAGGAAAGGCACCACACTTTCCACAACAACCAGTTGCTCGTCAAAACGACGACGGTTCCTTGGAATTGGAATGTTTTGTTGATGCCTCACCACTTCCAACCATCAAATGGTTCTATGATAATGTAAGTTACCCTAAATCCCCTTTTTTTTTCTTCCTGGACTCCAGGAGGACCTGGAAGCTATTTGGGCTATCAAAGTGTTTCTAGATATTTTTTGAATTTAAGAACTACCTCTAGAAAATTCCATATCTCTCCCTTCTAATAGTACATCTATTTGATAAATCAATAAATCTTCAAAACTTCCTGCAACAGCATGTTTTTAGCACTTGAACAGAAGCTCAAGTCGCCCTAAACAAATACGTATATTAGTACCACAGCTTTTTTGCTGCAAAAACTTTGATCTTTTTCTTTCCCAGAAAATTCCAGCAAAATTAAAAATATTTTTTTTTCAGACTGAAGTGAAAAGCGAGGGTCGATTCTCACAAAATTTGCTACAAAAGGGAGGCGACTCATACTCGGCACTTCTTTCAATCAAGGTTTGTGTGTTGGGGCTCGGGAGGTTAAAAGAAGATAATAGTGTGTAAAGTGAGGGATGTATATCTCTGGAGCAAAAGGAACTGTGGTGTTACACTAAAATTATTATTATTTATTTATTTTTCTAAAATTCACCGAAAAAAAAATTAAATAATTTTTTTCCAGGAATTGGCTGATTCGGATGCTGGAGCATACAGATGTTGCATTGTGAATCCACATGGAAAAGGAAACGCAAATTTCAACTTGAAATTGACTGGATTCTCCTCACCGACATTCGTTGAGAAGCCACAAATTTCGTCGCGCGATGAGGGACAAGTGATGGTGATGGAGTTCCGCGCCAAATCGACACTGACACCAACATTTGTTTGGCATCGTCTCAACCCAGGAGGACAGGTACCGCAACCAGAAAAAGACCGTGTGATTGTTGGAAACGTTTCAGCATATGATGTGAGAATGAAAAAGATATGTTTATACTAACTTTAATCTCTCTTGTTTGTTACCTTTTGGAATTTTTGGATGTCTGCTTGTTTTCTTGATGTGTTGCTAAAAAATTGATCAGTGTGTTGATTTGAGATGAAACAATAACCACCCCTCATGAAATCTTGATTTTAATTGTTTTTTGTTTTCAGGGAGGTGAAGATCTTGTATCTGAAAACGAGCGAGTCAAGATTGTCCTTCGCCGCGAGCCAAATGATATCTACTACGCTGCTCTCGAGATCAAGGAGCCAACCAAAGAAAAAGACGCCGGACAATTCGTCTGTACCGCCAAGAACGATTCGGGCAAATTGACCGCCACATTCACTGTCAAATTCGAAGTTCCAGAAGGAGCTCCATCATTCACCAGAAAACCACAAATTCTTCAACAAACATCAAGCGGAGGTGAACCAGCGATTTGCTTCGATATTGGATATACCGCTAGAATGAACCCAAATGTGAGTTTGAGCTTTTGATTTTTTGAAAATATAAATTAAAAAAATTCTATTTTCTAGGTCACATGGATCAATCCAAAAGGAAAGAAGGTTAAGGAATCATCCCGCGTCAAATTCAAGACCAACGATGAAGGAAACGGTAACTGGACTGCTCAATTGGAACTTACCGTAAGTATTCTTTCTGAACTTCACACTCAAATGTGTTTTTTCCAGAACTACAAAGCCAAGGATTCTGGAACTTACACCTGCAACATCAAGAATGACGCCGGAGAAGCCAATGTTGAACTCACATTGAACATCGAAGGACCACTTGATGATGGAAATGATGACAGCGAGGCTTAAATCAAACTTCCCAAAATTAACACACACACATCTCATTGAAAAGCCTTATAATTTTATTACTGTTCAATGTTTTTTTCTGTTCCACCATGCCCTTTCCTTTTCTCTCTCTCTCTCTCTCATCCAAAAAAACCCAAAATTCCAAAAAAGTCTTTTGTATGTCCCCACTGAGAATAAAAACAAAATAACGATGACAATGCTCTACCGTGTCTTATATTTTTTATTACCCTGTTTCTATTGTAAATCTACTTTTTTTTTTGTGAAATGTTGAAAGTCAGAACCAAAAGCACACGTCTCATAATTATTCGTTTTTAGTCATCTGGATGATCTGATGTTTTTATTTGATGAAATAAACATGAAAAGATTTCAGATGTGTTGTTATTTTGAAAGCAAACTTTAGTTTTTGATTGAATTCTGCAAAACCAGAGATGTTGTATATTGCAAAAAATTACACATTCCATTAACCAAAATCGACTGTCTACCAAAAAACATTATTTTTTGTAAAACAAAAATGTTGGCACTTGTAAAGTTATATTTTTATGAAGATTGAGAATCCCAAGGATCCACACCTTGAGGGCTTTTCATAACTCCTAGGAACCACGTCTTGAGGGCTTTTCATATGCAAAAGAGTCACGCTTCGAGGGCTTTTTAGGTGTCAAGGAGCAAGACCTTGAGGGCTTTTTTCATATGCCAAAGAATCGTTCCTTGAGGGCTTTTCGTATGCCAAGAAGTCGCTGATTGAAGGCTTTTCATATCCCAAGAAGTCGCTCCTTGAAGGTTTTTCATATACCGAGAAGCCACGCCTTGAGGGTTTCACATAACTCCAAGGAGCCACGTTTTTAGCGTTTTTATGTGTAAAGGAGCCACCCCTTGAGGATTTTTCCTAACTCCATGGAACCACCCCTTGAGGGTTTTTTTTATATCTCCGAGGAGCACCGCCTTGAGAGCTTTTCATATGCCAAGAAGCCACGCGGTTTTTTCTTGTCAATCACAATCTTCTCAATTTTTTTTTGTTATTTTTATCACACTCCTGCATTTATACAACGTGAATAAATTACACATGAAGCATCAATAAAACTAATATTTTTAACAAATATTTTTTATTGATTGATAGCAATGCGAATTATTTTACATTCAATTTCAGAACCTTTATGTTGAAATTCTATTCCTTGGTTCAAAAATCAAATTCTCTAAAAATTCCGAAAATAATTGTTTCTATTTTCATTTTCCTCTATTACTAATTTCTTCCCTCCGAAAAAATGATGTAATGCAAGACAAAAAAAATAAAATGACAATTTATAATGAGTCGTTCTCCAAACAATAAATTCCATAAGAACAATCAGAACACCTGTGATCAAAAGAGAAAAAAGAAGGCTGGCAGAAAAAAAATTAACGATCAACGGCTGTTGTATAATTGTCATCGTCGTGGGAAAAATACATAGAGCTTGTAGGTTGAAAAGAAATTTATTCAAAAAACAGAAACAACAAAATTATCATTATGATTTTCAAACCTCACCACGTTCTGCAGCCTGAAAAAAGTTTTTTTTTCAAAATGATCAGATTCTTACAAGAAAACCTTTGGCGGTCAAGTTTTTGGCTCAAAATATTATTTTAGAAAAACGTATTAACAAAATTCACGTTCCGAAGATTCTTCTGGAAAAAAACATCTGGCGAATCAGAACTTTTTCAGAATACTTTTTGGCGGCTGAATATCATCAAACAAATCTTGAGCCCAAAACTCGGTCTACGCCTACAAAGCCTCCCCCTTAAACCCACCAACAAATTTCTCGCAATCGCCAATATCACAGCTTCTTCCCGCTCATCAAGTTCCTCATTCCCAATCATAACTCGTCTTCTTCTCGGTTCCAACGGTTGCTGCGGCTCTTGCAATTGCTGCGGTTGTTGCTGAAGCTCCTGAGCTTGAGCATTTTGTTGTTGCTCGCAACGTTGCACATTTTGTTTTTCTTCGCAAGGCTCTCTTGGTGGCATTTGGAATCTGAAAATTAAAAAAATCAAAACGCAATTTTACCCTATAGTTTTTCAAAAAAAAAAGTGCACAAGAATTTTATTTACAACACAACAAAACAAAAAAAATGAATCAAAACCATCACAAAAATAACGATTTTATTTGAAAATCTATCACAAACAAAAAAAAACAATATTTATTTTTTCTTCCAAGAAAAAAAAAACATTTTTGTTCTCCTCCTCACATGGCCACACACAACACACAGTGTTGACCTACAGCAAGCGCACCCCGCGAAATGTTTTTTTTGCACCTCGGGGTCAAAGGGGGAGGAAGGGACGCGCTTGACAAAAATCAGTCGTCTTTGCTTTTTTGCGCTCATCTACTTTCTTGTGAATAATTATTATTCGTCTGCTGTTTTATTATGCTGCAAGCAACAAAAACTAATGGTATTTGGAAGTATGTTGGATGTATTGTTTTGCTGTCAACTGTTTTATCAATTGCGCTGTATAAACCACTTCCGGATGGATTTTGTAAGACAAAAATGGATCGATTTATCATGCATATTGTTGAACCAGCTCTTCGTGTCGCATATTATTATCCAGTAAGTTGACAATTTATCGATTAGCAAGAAAATGCTTGATTTTCAGAGTCGCATGTTTTCAAAGCCAAGCAGCATGGTTTGGTGGACACGTTTAGCTCTCAATCACCTGTCATCAACTCTTGGACTCACTGTCAGCACCTCGGACACAATTCGCACCTTTTGGCGCACTTGGAATGGCGTTGGTGTCAAAGTTTATCAACCAATTGACAATCAAACGGCGACAAATGGAGCAGTCATCTTTATTCATGGTGGAGGTTTTGCGTTGGGCAGTGTTGAGATGTACGACTCGCTTTTGAGAAGAATGTCTGCTGAGTGAGTTTGTTGCGGGAAAATGGGTGACTCTGACCAGAAAACCTCTCTAGATCTCTGCCGAGAAAAAAAAATCAATAAAATATTCACTATTTTTGCAGTATGAAGACACTCTTCATCTCCATCGAATATCGCCTCGTTCCGGAAACCGTCTACCCTGGAAACATCCACGATTGTGAGAATGCTGTCAATTATTTCTTCGCCAACGCTGAACGTGAATTTGGAATCGACACAACAAAAGTTGTCATTATGGGCGATTCGGCTGGAGGAAACATGGCTACTGTTATTGCACAACGTAGAAATGAAGAAGGAGCGGTGCCAAAACTCGCTGGACAAGTGCTCATTTATCCACTTCTTCAAATGGCTGACATGCAAAGCATTTCTTATCGCTATTTTGAAACGCATCTTGATGGTTATGCACTTGTTGGTGAGTGAATTTAGCTAGCTTATAGAAGTTATTGATTTTTTTCAGATCCTGAATCTGTCGCCTATTACTATATGTTTTATGCTGGCATCAATATGGATGAAAAAGCATACCTCGTCAAAAATGTGCTTTCCAATGGACACGTGGCAAAGAAATTGAGAAAAGAGATTGACGAACTCACAGGCTACGGAGCAGTCCTCGAGAATTCGCGCAACTACAACAATGCATCAATCGCCCCACGCAAATTCGTCAGCGAGAACTATGAAGCTCAAGAACTCCTCGAGAAATTTATGATGGATCCAAGCTTCTCGCCACTTATGAGAAAAGATTTGAGCGGCATGCCGGAATCATTGGTTATCACGTGCGAATTTGATATTTTGCGAGATGAGGGATTGATTTATGCGAATCGTTTAGAGAAGGATAATGTTTCTACGACAACTATCAATTATGAAAATGGATTCCATGCGATGTTGAACTTTCACAGTGAATTGTATGAAGCATCGAAAGCAGTTTATGATATTGAACAATGGACATTAAATGTCATTAATTCATGATTTTGTTTTTCTTTTATTTTTGATCCAAATTGTATATACATTTATTGTTTTCAAGACTTTCAAAGTTCTTATTGTTTGTATATTGCTGATTGTTGCGTGAAATGAAGATTTGCAAATAAAAATCTTATTTTGGCAATAAATAAAATACGTTAAGGCAATAAATAAAATTAGAAGTTTCAAATATTTACAGAAAATTGATCAGCACTTTCCAGAATTGAGAAGAGCTTTCAAGTTGTCTTGTGCTTCCGCATCTAGCCAGAACTTCTCCTCGTCGTCATGCATACAGAAAGCGCCAGACTCGTGGAAGCCACGTGGACATTGAGAGACTGAAAGCAATTTATTTGATAGGGATCTCAAGATAATCTGAAAATAGGATAACTTACAGCATCTTCCATATAACAACATGCCGTCAGTACATTGGCATTGTGCCACATTTTTATCACTTCGTTTTTTCTCACAATATGTATTTGGACATCTCGATTGACATTCGGTATCAGTTTGACAACCGTATTCTCCAGGCCACAGTTTCCTATAAATTTTTGAAATCTTATTTTTATAATTTTATAATTTCCCATTGTCAAAACTCACATTCGACATTCTCCATCGATACATTTTTCGTTTGGTAGGCAAGTTGAATCTGATTCAAAGTTTTGAATATTTGTGACGCATTTTCGCTTGGCGGCAACGTTGAAGAACACTGGAAAATTCATAATTTACGTATGAATTTAAGAAAAAAGATCAATCTTACGTGGAGTTTCGGTCATATTCGTAGTTGGAGCAAAGATTGGGCGTCTTCTGGCGGTTGAGAGAAGGAATTTGCACGGCGATCCATATTGATCACAACCATTTCTCGCCATTGTCAGAATCGTTGCCTGCATTTGCTCGCAAGTTGCACCGTTTGAAGCAGCACCATTGACGCAAGAGCAAACACCTTGCACGCATTGCGCACAACTATTTGAATAACCATTACATTGATTCGAATTTTGACATCCAGTTCCAGGAACATTATAAGAAACCATTTGACCAACACCAGATGAGCAACAAGTTCCCATTGTGCACGATGAACCACTGGGGCAACCCATATTAGGGGAACATTGACAAACTGCATTTGATCTTGAAGGACAAACGGGTTCCATTGAGAGAAGACAACATCCGCCAAGTGGAGTGCAACCATATCCAGGGGGACATTCGGCTCCGCGATAACAACGCATTGATGCTCGTCCACCGTTGGGGCAGAGGGGGAGAGGTTCTAGACAGCAACCACGACCTTCGCAGATATAACCAAGAGGGCAAGCGTTAGCCATTCCACAGACTGATGAGGCGATCGAACCGCTTGAACACATTGGCATCGGACAGCAAACACCGTTTTCACATTGCTAAAAAAAATACATTATGAGACTTCTGATATACATCGAAGTTTTTTCATAAAAAACTTACATTTCCCGCTGGGCATCCGATACCCATTGTGCATCTTTGAACAGACATCAAACCACTTGGACATCTTGGTAGAGCACAACATCCATTATTCACACATTCAAATCCATTTGCACAATTTCCACTACACATTGAGATAGCAAAACCGCCAGTTGGACACGACGGAAGTTCACAGCAACCCCCATTCATACACGATTGACCAATGGGACAGCAATTTGTGCAACCCGCTGAGCATCTTTGAGAAGCGACAAGATTGTTTGGACAAGTTGGAAGTGGGCAACAAGCTCCGTTTGAGCATTCAACACCCATTCGACCACAATCAAGAGTTCTTGTGCAAACTCCAAGGGAAGTGATACCATTTGAACAACGTGGAAGTGGACAGCATAAACCTTCCATACAAGCTTGACCACCCGGGCAACCTCGAACTGATGAACATCTTCCAAGAGCTTTCGCACCAGTTGGACAGAATGGGATTGGACAGCAGCCGTTGTTAGAGCATTCAAGGTTTGGCCCACATTCAGCAGCAACGGAGCATCTTTTATGCGAGATTTGACCATTGGAGCAGACGGGTAACTTCACAGCCTCCTGGCAACACGTGGTTTGCGCGTAGCATTGGCCAAGTCCACAAGATCCTGAGCCACAAAAACCCACAGCATTCTGCCCGGCTGGACATCTGATTGGACAACACGCCCCTTGGAAACAGGCGTTATTGGCTGCACAGCCTTTTGAACATGGTGTAGTCGAAGGTGTTCCGTCTGGGCAGAGCAGAACAACGTTGTAGACAATGTCTGGTTGTTGTTGTTGCGCGCAACACATTTGAAGTTGCTGATTACATTGTGAACCAGAAGGACAACTTCCACATGTTCCAAATGGCGGGGAATATGAGCCAGGGCATAGAGCTAGAGAATTTTATTTTTATTTTATTTTTAAAATTTTTTGGGATGTTTTTTCTTGAAACTCACTAATTTTGATGAGTCCATTTGGCTGTTCATTGACTGGAACTGGACAACATCCAATTCCCGGAGTACATGCAGAATCTAAAATTTTTTTTTTTTGAAATCTGAAACTGTATATGGAACTCACAAGTTGGACATGGTTCATTACAGGATCCGAGAGGTGGAACAAGACTTCCAGGGCAGACTGAAAAATTTTTTGTTTGCAAAAAAAAATATTTTTAACCCACTTGGTGCTTGATGTTGGATGAGGTTGTTCAAGTTGAGACTGCCGGTTTCTTGACAGCAAACATTCTGAAATTTCAGATCAATATTTCATTTTTTCTCTGAAAAACTCACATTTTGACATTGTGAACTTCCTGGACAGCTGCCAGAAACTTTTGCACAATTACAAACTGCTGCCTGAGTTGAGCTATCACAGCCATTTTGAATAGTTTTTGGAACACAAACATTCAAATCAGCAGAAAATATAGTGTTTTTGGAGCATTCCATACGAGTCCATTCACCGCATGATTCACTTGGAGTTGTTGGGACACATTGGAAAAAATATGAAGAACTTCCTGGATCTTGTTGAAGATTGGCTGATCTCCAATTACAATTCAATCCTTGAGTTGCGACACTTGATGGGGAATTGCAGGGAAGAGAACATCCGGTGGCTTGGAAGTTTTGAGCGCACGCGGCTTGTTGTCTGGAAAAACATGTTTCTAGATTGCTGAAAATTTCAGACATCATCTTGCACTCAAAACTTCGAAAAATCAAAACACGCTGAAGCTGATTAAAATGAGCAATCCCTCGAAAAAACAATTTTTCACACAAAATTTGTTTTCTTCAAAAATCTTATGAATTTGATTATGTCTGTTTACGAGTTTCTGAAACTATGAAGCAAATTAAAATTTAAAATTCATATATTTTCCTAACTCGAAAATTTCACCGATTTTTTGCGTGTTTTGAAACTGCAGAACAATATAAGCTCAGAAATGTTCTAGAAAATCTAACCTTCTAAAAGTCTTCTTCTCAATACATCTTTGCTTTGTCTCATCAAATTCATGATCTTTCGGACAATCTCGAAGATTCCAAATACCCAAATACTTTTGACTCAATGAAAAACCCGATACTTCTTCATCACTCAAAGGTGCACACTCAAAGTATTGTGAAGAATTGTCTCCAGGTCTCAAATTCTCAACTGTCATGCATACTTTTCCAGAAATATTGGGAGTCTCATTTCCTGTAAATCAATGTCATTTTTTTCTTTTTTTTTTCATTTGAAAAAGTTATTTCCAGGGTGACCATTATCTTGATCATTGAACCGTTGTTCTTCTTTTTTTTCTACCTTTCGCTGAAAAAAACGTTAGCCACTAACATTCCAAACGTAGTTCTTTGAACCGTTATGAGGAAGAGTTCGACCTTGGCTTTTGTTTCTACTCCCTGCCTGCTTGCCTGTTCTGACTTCTAACCGCTTTTGATATATATCTTAAAGTATTGTTTCCTTTGCCCTTGAACTAGATTTTCAAAAAAAATTGGTTGGAATGATATTTACAAGAGCAAAAGATGAATGTTTTGTTGACCACTTGAAACGTTTGATTGTTCCGCGCGAAAGAAATTGAGCTGCGAAAGAAAATTCTGCGTTTTTTTGCCTGGCTAATATTTGATTTTGATATTAAAATTGAGCAGCAGATCTTCTTCTCATTTGATTCAAATTTATATTTCTATTTTTAATTTCCGGAAAAATTGAAGTATCGATCACAAATTCAATTTTATTTTCAGAATTTTTTTTGAAAATCACTCAAATTCTAAGGTCAAAAACATACCCGTTATATTTCGGAGAAAAGCAAATATTAAAATAAATCGCAACATAGCGAATTGAAATAAATACTATCAAAAAATAATATTAATTTTAGTTTATAAAAATACTAGACTTGTAATCGAGCAACAATATCAAAAAAATTATAAATCAATCGTATTACTCCCGACGCGGAAAATAAAACGGAGGGCGGCTCCACGTCCGCTTATTTTATATATATATATATGTGAGCATTAAATTGAGCACAGACCAGTTTTCTTAAGAAGCAGGCAGGAGACGCATGTGCGAGCGAATATTTATTGTAATACATAATAATACTGACTCATCCATTACATATTACCACCGGGAAAAAAGAGAGAAACGAGCATTTTTGTTTGTTTGGGGGAAAACTAAAAAGTGAGTTACGTTTATGAGTAATAAGTCAATGACGTGACCTGATAATGACGGGAATTTGGTGGGGAGAAACTGGAAATGAAGAGTTGCTGTATTTATTTGTATATATATATAATTAATTGATTGATAATTAATTTAAATTTCAATTATCATCTCAAACTTCAGATTGAGATTTAATTCACAGAAGGTTCTGGTGAAGTATTCTCATGTCAGAATTTCTTGTCAGTAAAAAAACAGTATAGCAGCAAAAGCGCAATCTGAAAAAAACAGCGATGTTCTGAAAATATCCTATCAAAATTGTGGATATTTTTATCATAAAATTTATTGCGATCTTTCAGGATTCACTCAGGTTAGTTTTAGGATTTCAGAATTTAATTTAGATTTACCATGATCATCAGAATCTATTTTGGATTATCAGAATTTATTCGGAATATATATATATGATCATCAGAAGTTTTTGTTGAGCCCTCAGATTTTTGAGCCAAATATGAACTTTTCTGACCAACGGTGATATTTCAGATTTCAGATTTTATTTTTTTTTCATTTTTTCTATGAATCCTTCCTCTAATTTCCCATCTTTCACTGATTTTTTCAAAAAATATTACGTAATGATTAGAATTGCAAATCTGATCGGCTTAACCTGTTTGATCCAGTTCCATCCAAAAAGGTATATTATAATTCGATCATCTCAAAACCGATTGTGTAACCGTTCAGAATCTTGCAACCTTGTTGTTTTTCTCTTTTTCCAGGTAAAAAAGTGCCGAATCAACATAAATAATGAGTCTAACAAGTTTCATAAACCGGATAGAAGACTTTTGGGATGGAAAAAAGAGGTCATGTTCTTCGATTTATAGTTTGATTAATTGAATTTATCCGATTTTTCTATCATTGGCATATTTTTTCTTGTTTCTGCCATATGCAAGAGAGAATGAATGAATGAAGGAAGTATATTTTAAGTGAATAGAATAGAAAAAGGTTGTAAGTGTAAAATATGATTTCTTGAATTAATTACTTTTTGGGCTGGTTGAAAGAAGAGAATGAATTAATAAATGCCTTTGTGAGTGTGTAAATACCATATGTGAGAATTTGAAACTGTAAATATTTGTTTTTGTTTCTTTACAAGTGCAAGGCAATGACGATATAATCTGTCCGAAACGGAAGAACTTGTTGTTCAAAGAGCACCACAACTTGCACTGATGGTTTATTTGTAGTTTGAACTTTTGTAGCTGTCACGTGAAACAAAGAATGTTGGTCCCGTTAGAATGTCGGTCACTGATATCCCCTTGGTATAACACCTTTTCAGAGAAATCAATAACAAGGGTGGCTTGTTTTTGAAAGTTACCGTAAATCTAATTCAAAATCCCTGGTTCATAAAAACAATTAACTTCCTCATCAAGGAAGCATACGAGGTTTTTATCATTAAAACCGAAAAAAAAGATAGATTTTTTCAGAAACTCACTCCCAGTGTTTTTCCACGCAAAAAATCGCTTCCAGAGAATCGAATCCCTCGAAAAATACAATAAAAAATCGAGAGACACAAACATGGTTCGCCGGTTTTTTCAAGGGCATCAATCTGTAGCAATGAACATAAAAAAAGAGACGTGAATTAGCTAACATCGTTTCATCTTTTTTTTTCGCGCTGTATGTCGTTCAGGAGAGAGATGAAGCTGTGAAAATAACAAATGATATGATGAGATTTACGCTAATGAGTGCATGTGTTCCGTGTTACGTCATATGTACATTATTTTCTTGTATGTAATAATCTGTTCACGGTGTTTTACAAGGTAAATCTCTGAAGAAAATATGATATCCTTGAATTTCTTGCTAGAATATGGTAGATCAAAGGTGAATAACTTTATATTTTTGTTTTGTTTTCTGTCAGCAATGTTTTTGTAATAAACACAGCATTTTTTTCTTCAAATGTCTAGTAAACAAAATTGGAAAATGATGTCTATCAAAGCTATCAGCCAAAGTGAAAATCCAGAAACCGTTACACTTATTTATGGATGGATTGGTTTGTTGATGTTAATGTAATCTGATTTCTGGAATTTTTTTTAGAGAGAGAATAGTTTTTGGGAACTTTTGAGAGAATCTGAAAATGAGGAAACATTGGGGTGAACTCAAACAATAATGTGCACAAACAAACTTATTAAAATAACTTTTATCAAAAAAGAACAAATCCCGTGTTCAGTTATTCAAAAATGAAAAAAATAGTTGATCTATGAAAAATTCCCAAGTCCCTAACTACAAAATATTTCAATTTTAATGTCTTTTTTCTCCGTTTTCTTTCCCACCATTGTTTCTTTTTTTTTCGCTTCTGAAAACGACTTTAAACCATATGATCATCAGCTGTTTCAAAAAAAGAAACGTTACAATAAATTCAACCTTACAGCAACAAAATGGCTTTCTTCATTCATATTGTTTCTTTTTTTGTTGTCCAAAATTACAAACAAAAAACAATGATTACAAGCTTTTTTTCCTACCAACACCAAAAGATGCCGAATTTTATTTCACATACATACAGACATATCTCAATTAATTAGTGTTGTTTGATCGTTTAGCCGACGAACAGAGCTTCCAAGGGCATTTACCTCAAATCTGATTTTATTTTTTTTTAATTCCATTTTTTCGGTATTAAAAATAAAACAAAACGCGGAAGTTTTGGTAAGGATGATTTGAAGGTCGAGCCGCTAAATTCGGAAGTTGAACCGATTGTTTTATCATTCGAGATGTTATCTAGGAGTGGTGGCAAAAGGCAACACAAAAAACAATTGCCTGTTTCGTGACTTCTTACGTTTAGAAAAAAAAGAGATACAAAAAAAAAAGATTGAGAATTAAAAAAGAAAAGAAATTATGATCAAATATTGTATAGTCATTATTACACTTGACTTGGAAACTCAAAAGATCAACAACGTTTGGGGTGGAAAATAATTGCAGGTTCACAGTCTTTGGAACTTTTGTACCTATGAAATTATTGGATGGAGATAACCTAATAGAGAAAAAGTTCAAATTCAAATTTCTCTGACATCATTTTTGCATTCTTTTTGAGAGAAAAACCAGATACTCATTTATTTTTGGTCGAGATTTGAAGGCCAAACACAAATTAAACGAGGAAGTTAGCACCGTAAACGTGATTCTGCAGAAAGAAAACATAATAAAATAGTAGTAAATTGTGTTTTGTTTATCAGTTGGAGAGTGAAGATTTGGGTGGTCGGAGAATTTGAACGGGAATATGGGGTTGAGAAGAAAAAAAGTTCCGAGATTTTTGAAAATGAAACAGTTAAAAAATCTATGGTAATCTGAAAGAATTATTGAAAAATTATGAAGATCTGTGACGTTCAAAAGTTAGAATTGAATTTTTGAAAAATTGGGAGCCCGATTTTCAGTACTGATTATATTTTCAAAGTTTCAGAACTCCGAAATGTTATTCCGATTGGGGGAAACATTCTTCTAATTTCGACAATCCATGATCTGAAGCTCATTCGAATTTTGAGCAACATATTTCCGATTAAAAGATTCAAAATCTAATTTCAATTTCTCAACACCTTCTTTTTTTTGAATTCAAAGTTCGAGATGTTGTTTCCAGAGGTGAGAAAAAAGATCAACATCACTTCCTTGTTATCCTCCCCCCTCTCCGTTTGAAATTTATGGTGATCTGATTGAATGACATAACACACAAAAAAGTTGAGAGTGAATAGGAAATGAAGAGAAGAAAGAAGAACAGTAAGGCTTTTGACCTTGGCATATCTCTTTTCTTCCCGCTTCTCCTCGTTTTTTGTCTCTATTCAATCAGCTAATGTAGAAACATCTGCGTATCATCGGTACATGTACTATATTGTTTAGTGTACACCCCGGTGGCAAATACCGCCTACCGTGACTATAAAAGGTGACATTTCAGAAATGGCATTCAGTAGGTGTCTCATCTCTCCAATCAACAACAAAGGTAAGCCATTTTTCAAACAGGAAACACACATTACTTGTTTTAATGTTACATTTTTATCAATTTTTAATTCTATTCTTCACTATTATTTTCATATTTTTGTTTTTTAGATGACTGACGTTAAACAACTCGAGCTTGAAGCTCATTCTCTTCGCCGTGTGGCTTTCTTCGGAGTTGCTGTCTCCACAGTCGCCACTTTGGTCTGTGTTTTGTCAGTTCCAATGTTGTACAATTACATGCAACATATGCAATCAGTTATGCAATCTGAAGTTGATTTCTGTCGTTCGCGATCAGGAAACATCTGGAGAGAAGTTACCCGCACCCAAGTTTTGGCTAAAGTTACCGGAGGAGCTTTGAGATCCCGCCGTCAAGCTGGATATGAATCAGCTGGAGTTGAAGGAGGATTCTCTCAACAACAAGGAGGATGTTGCGGATGCGGAGTTTCAGCCGCTGGACCACCAGGAGCTCCAGGACCAGACGGAGAAGATGGATCTGATGGACAACCAGGAGCACCAGGAAATGATGGACCAGACGGACCAGCCGCCACTCCAGCTCCACAACACGAATTCTGCTTTGATTGCCCAGCTGGACCACCAGGACCAGCCGGACCAGCTGGACCAAAGGGACCATCAGGAAACCCAGGAAGCGATGGACAACCAGGAGCCCCAGGAAACGCCGGAGGATCAGGAGCCCCAGGAGCCCCAGGAAATGCTGGAGGAGATGGACAACCAGGAAACGCCGGAGCCCCAGGAGCCCCAGGAAAGGTCGTCGAAGTTCCCGGACCAGCCGGAGCCCCAGGACAACCAGGACCAGACGGACCAGCCGGACCAGCTGGAGCCCCAGGACAACCAGGACAACCAGGAGGTCAAGGACCACAAGGACCAGCCGGAGACAACGGAGCCCCAGGAGCCCCAGGACAACCAGGAGCCAACGGAAACAATGGACCAGACGGAGAAACTGGACAACCAGGAGGTTGCGATCACTGCCCACCACCAAGAACCGCCCCAGGATATTAATTTGTATTTTTTTGAATACCTATTGGTATTACCTGTCTTTCTTCATACCTCGAACAAATAAAATATTATCAACCTAATCGTGATTTCTGTTTTTTTTTTCAAAATTACAATCATCAAAAATTGTTGTTTGTAGGGTGATCGTTACATTAAAGTTCAGTGACAGTCTCGAAACCGCCCATTTTTTCCCGTCCCACAGGGAACTTTTTCTCGAATTTTTGAGAAAAAAAGATATGAAGAGAAATACTACGGTATTTGTTGCCATCGGATCTACAATTTTGATAAGAAAAATAGTTTCGTCTCACCTTGATTTTCTCATTTGAAAACTTTTCTTGCTATTTGATGTGAGAAAACTATCTGTTTATGGTAAACATGTGATCTAACAAAGATTTCAAACTCAACATTGCTTCAAATGAAATTCAAGGGAGAAGCATTGAGAAACCCAACTGTGTGTGAAAAGTCAAATGAATTTTCAAAAATCACATTTTTTGCACTTTTGGTGGAATGAATATAAGATACAAAAATAAGACAATTTTGCACTTTCAAATTAGCTGTTGAAAATGGCGTGTTGTTTTTTATTGGACAATATTTTTGAAATTGATTAGAGACTGCAAATGGGTGACGCAATTTTTGAATTGTACTCTTTGGCTACAATTTTTTCAACATTCGTTGATTCAAATGCATGGAAATGGTAGCCGAAATAACTGAAGGAAAACTTGCTCGGCCAAAAATTGATCTGCAATATTTTCAGGTTTATAAAACTTTTTCTCATCAGTTTACGGTGTGACACTTTTAAAAATCCGGCGCTGGATGAGTGGCGACTGGAATTTAACAATTCACAGTTTGATCTCAACCTGAAGTCAGATTCAAAAATCGCAAATCCCGGAAAAAAGGTTTTTCAGCTCTGCAAGTTCTGAAAGCAATCGATAATTTAAAAAAATCACCGAACCCCAAGAATTTGTGAAATTTTTTTTTTCGAAAATCCAATATTTTTCAAGCTTCATAATTCCATCCAGAAAGATTCACGGCTTTTGAAAACATTGAATTGAAACTATATATTTTGAATTAGCAAATAACTATTTCACCTCATTTCCTAAATTCTAATAGTTCAAATGACGTTTTCCAGGTTTTTGAACTTTTCAATAAGTACTTTCAAGTTTTTGAACAGAAATTTCAAGAACATTCCAACAAAAAAAAACAAATTGTCTAGTTGTGAACTTTTAAGAGTTTAAAATTCCCCATAAAAATCATTGAACGACTATTCTACCACTGAAACAAATACGTAATATGTTTAAAACGTTCCATTCCGACCACCACGTTGATAAATGTTCGTTCACTACAAAATCATCACAATCAAAAGAGACGAAAAAACAGGAATTTTAAGAATGTTTCGACTGACTTTCTAAAAGTGGTAAATTATTTGATTCTCATGTGTATGCAAAATAGTGAAGAAAGCAAGGAAATAAGGTACTTTCCATTTTTTCCGACAAAGGTTTCTCTCCTCTTTCGTTTTTTTTTCTTGCCTTCATTAGGCAACCTGATTTTTTTTCAGATTCTTTCTGTCTTTTGAACATTGAATACGTATTATTACATCAATTCATTTGAGTCAATAATATTACGACCTTTACCGGGTACTATCTTCTTTGCATTATTTTCATTATGTCTCTATCTAGAATTTTAACAGATCTTCTCTTTTTTTTTTCATTCTTTTTTTTTGTTGACGAACGGACTCCGCCCTCGGGTATCTATAGTGTTTTTGTGTTGTACAGTAGATACCGCCTACCTTTGAGTATAAAAGATTGGTGAGGTTTTCATTTGATAGGTGTCTTATTTCATCTCTCAAATAAACGGTAAGCATTTTTCTTATTATATTTTTCTCTTTATTATTGAGTTCATTTGAACTAATTCTGTATTTTTTCGAAATTTTGTAAACCTTATTTTTTTGTAGATGACTGACGTTAAACAACTCGAGCTTGAAGCTCATTCTCTTCGCCGTGTGGCTTTCTTCGGAGTTGCTGTCTCGACAGTCGCCACTTTGGTCTGTGTTTTGTCAGTTCCAATGTTGTACAATTACATGCAACATATGCAATCAGTTATGCAATCTGAAGTTGATTTCTGTCGTTCGCGATCAGGAAACATCTGGAGAGAAGTTACCCGCACCCAAGTTTTGGCTAAAGTTACCGGAGGAGCTTTGAGATCCCGCCGTCAAGCTGGATATGAATCAGCTGGAGTTGAAGGAGGATTCTCTCAACAACAAGGAGGATGTTGCGGATGTGGAGTTTCACCAGCTGGACCACCAGGAGCTCCAGGACCAGACGGAGAAGATGGATCTGATGGACAACCAGGAGCACCAGGAAATGATGGACCAGACGGACCAGCCGCCACTCCAGCTCCACAACACGAATTCTGCTTCGATTGCCCAGCTGGACCACCAGGACCAGCCGGACCAGCTGGACCAAAGGGACCATCAGGAAACCCAGGAAGCGACGGACAACCAGGAGCCCCAGGAAACGCCGGAGGAGCAGGTGGCCCAGGAGCCCCAGGAAACGCTGGATCAGATGGACAACCAGGAAACGCTGGAGCCCCAGGAGCCCCAGGAAAGGTCGTCGAAGTTCCCGGACCAGCTGGAGCCCCAGGACAACCAGGACCAGACGGACCAGCCGGACCAGCCGGAGCCCCAGGACAACCAGGACAACCAGGAGGACAAGGACCACAAGGACCAGCCGGAGACAACGGAGCCCCAGGAGCCCCAGGACAACCAGGAGCCAACGGAAACAATGGACCAGACGGAGAAACTGGACAACCAGGAGGTTGCGATCACTGCCCACCACCAAGAACCGCCCCAGGATATTAATTTGTATTTTTTTGAATACCTATTGGTATTACCTGTCTTTCTTCATACCTCGAAAAAAATAAAATATTGACAAACATTTCTTGTGTTTTTAAAAAAAAAGTTGTATTATAAAATTTCAGATTATAATCTTGTTTCCGCTTGATATATCAGCATAATTAAGCAATTTGCAATTAGCACATCTTGAAAAACAAAGTCGTTAAATAATATTTCACCACTCAAACAAGTTGTGTTAGTCTATTAAAATTTTATAATCTCGATTAAAATCTTGGCTAGAATGGCAAATCTTGTTTGCCAGATATAAAAGCGATTCAATCTGATTTCATTTGCTTCTTGATCTATTTATTTATTAATTTTAATTTCAATGTAATTTTTTCAATTTTTCCAATTTTCCAAATGTTCGGCCTTTTTTTTGAATATGTAAAAGAAATTGAGAAATGTAACTAAAACTTGTTAAGAATTTTTCATTAACGATGAAAAAAAAAAAGAAAATTGAAATCATGATGAATAAGCAGTTTGTAAAAAACTGATTAATTTTGGCAAGATGAGGAACACTTTTTCGGCCTGGGTGTACAAATCGAAAGTTCATCGAATGTGTACTTTTAGAGTACTTCTAAGAAATATCTATGGGTAAACGATAGTTGAAATGTGTAATAATAACGTAAGAAGATTACAGCGAATTTTTAAATTGAAAAGGAAAGATAGATATGGTCCTTTTTCAAACAATTATGATTGATTTGGTTCAAAATACATTCTCGAAAGATTGAAAGAATGAAAATTATGAGAAATTGACAGCTTCAAGTTGAGTTGCAAAAAAATATATGAAGTTTTTTCTGAAAATTTTGGGATTGTTCATTATTAGCCACAAATCTCACTTTTTTTCTTTGGTAAAAATCCCTAAAATTTTCGGCTGAACCAATTCTAAAAATTTTTCGAAAGGTTCAAACATTGTGGTCAAACTTCACTAAATTTTTGTATTTAACATATTATTTCCTGAAAGACATCTTGGTCAATTTAGGTAGATTACATTTTTGAAAAAAAAAACTGATTTTTTGAGTTCAAAAAAATTTTATAGGAAAATAATTCTCTAGAATTCAGAACTCTTGAAAAATAAAATAACGCGGCCAATTTCAATTTTTATTTTTTTCTAATTTCTAATCTTACTTGTTTTCTAAACAGAAATTGTTATTTAACTAATTTTCCAATATATCAATTGAAATTCATAATCTGAAAAAAATGACAAATTTTTTTTTCCAAATGAAAATACCGTGACAATAAATATTGTTCTCAAATTACGCAATCCTTCTTCAAAATGTTCTTTATGCTTATTAAAACCAAGTCATAAATCTTGAACATCTTCCTTCCTGTCCATAAGAAAAGGTGTCAAAAAATATATATATCGCAAAACTTGTCCAAAAACGCATTATTATTGTTTTTAATTTGCTAATAAATCAATTCTCCTTCCAAATCCAACAACATTTCAAAACACTGGATAAACTTATTACAGCAATAAGTTTCCAATGAACTTCCTTCCCAAACTGTGTAAAAATCAATAGACAAAAAAATGAAACAGGATCGGATCAGTGGGGGGATTGTGTGTTCTGCTTGTCGTGTATCAAAAATCTCAATATTTTCTCATGGGTGGTCTTTTTTTTTAATGACAAGGTTAAAACAGAGGAAGTGTACTGTAAACAGTGATTTTTTTCTTTTCTTTGATGTCGATTTTTTTTTTTGCTTCCTCACAAAAAAGTCATTTTCTTCAGCATTATCTCTTCATTATACCTTATATTTTGTGTGTACAGTTGTTTACCAATCTCCGCCCATTTGTTGTATATAAGCTAACAGCATTGAGAAGAAGACAGGTGTGATTTCACTTCATTTGGATATTCTAAAAGGTATTCAATTTAGAAATAATGTTTTTTTTTTTAATTTAATTTTTCAGATGACTGACGTTAAACAACTCGAGCTTGAAGCTCATTCTCTTCGCCGTGTGGCTTTCTTCGGAGTTGCTGTTTCCACAGTCGCCACTTTGGTCTGTGTTTTGTCAGTTCCAATGTTGTACAATTACATGCAACATATGCAATCAGTTATGCAATCTGAAGTTGATTTCTGTCGTTCGCGATCAGGAAATATCTGGAGAGAAGTTACCCGCACTCAAGTTTTGGCTAAAGTTACCGGAGGAGCTTTGAGATCCCGCCGTCAAGCTGGATATGAATCAGCTGGAGTTGAAGGAGGATTCTCTCAACAACAAGGAGGATGTTGCGGATGCGGAGTTTCAGCCGCTGGACCACCAGGAGCCCCAGGACCAGACGGAGAAGATGGATCTGATGGACAACCAGGAGCACCAGGAAATGATGGACCAGACGGACCAGCCGCCACTCCAGCTCCACAACACGAATTCTGCTTCGATTGCCCAGCTGGACCACCAGGACCAGCCGGACCAGCTGGACCAAAGGGACCATCAGGAAACCCAGGAAGCGATGGACAACCAGGAGCCCCAGGAAACGCCGGAGGATCAGGAGCCCCAGGAGCCCCAGGAAATGCTGGAGGAGATGGACAACCAGGAAACGCCGGAGCCCCAGGAGCCCCAGGAAAGGTCGTCGAAGTTCCCGGACCAGCCGGAGCCCCAGGACAACCAGGACCAGACGGACCAGCCGGACCAGCCGGAGCTCCAGGACAACCAGGACAACCAGGAGGTCAAGGACCACAAGGACCAGCCGGAGACAACGGAGCCCCAGGAGCCCCAGGACAACCAGGAGCCAACGGAAACAATGGACCAGATGGAGAAACTGGACAACCAGGAGGTTGCGATCACTGCCCACCACCAAGAACCGCCCCAGGATATTAATTCTAATTATTTTCTGTTTCTTGCATTTTTGTACTTATCTCAATCAATAAAGTAGTAATCTATCAAAAAATAGAAGTTCATCATTTAAATAATACCACCGTAGAGAAAAATGTACACAATTTGAAAAAAAAATGAAATTCAGAAAGAATTATCCTCAAAGGTTCCATAATATTCAGAAACTTCGAAACTTTTTGGAGCCAATCCACTGAATCGATTCGATCTCAACATGAATTGTATCTAGAAAAATTTTACAATGATAAATCAAAAAAAAAACTTGTTTACCTCCTCATTTGATATTCCTTTTGTTTCAGGAAGATACAAATAAATAAGAATTGCAGAAAAAAGGGCAGGACCGGCTGCCAATATCAAAAGACTGTAATAATAATCATAAATTAGGAAGACATTCTTAATTACAATGAACAAACCTGTAACTTCCAACAATAGCATCAACACTCAAATAGAAAAAAGTTTCCAGCATAGTTGACGTCAATAATATCCCAGTTGACAGAGGTTGGAATATCCAAGCATATTCTGGATCAACAAGTTCAGAAGTCAAAAACCATGCTGGACCACCGCAACCAATACCAATGAAAGTTTTTGTAGCGGCAAAACAGAGAGATACTATAACTTTGTTTTCAGACATTACAGCGGCGCCGATGTTTGCAACACATGTTCCGAATAATCCGATTAGAACTAATTTTCTTCGACCATAGTGATCAGCCTGAATTGTTATTATTTTTTTGGGGAAAACTTTGAAGAGAGATTTTTCAACCACTCAAAATTTCAATAGAAAACAAAATTTCAAAAGTTTTTTTTGTTATCGAAAAATTTTATGTTTTCAAAAGTTTTAAAAAACAGAAAATTTTTTTTAAAAATGGCAGAATATTTTTAACACTGTTAAAAACAGAAAAAAGGTCTCTCTTGAGAAAAGTTTGTCTAACTCCCTCCTCCCCTCTCAAAAAATGTCTCACCAAGAAAACACCGATCAACGAAGCAGCAAAAAGCACAAATCCCAGAGCATCTGACACTAAAATCGTAAAACTATCCGTTGTTTGATGTTTGGATGCAGGTGTGTTATCATTCTATAATTACCCAAATTTTATCTCATCTCAAAATTCCACTCACAATTAACATATTTGCAGAAAATGTGTCAATTAGATCATCGCCAGTGAAAGCATACGAACATGCGACAACGGCGCCGATCAAAAATCCCTTGAACGAATTTTTCCACGATTTTTGATTGTATGAGAATGAGGAATGGGTGGATTTATGTTTGGGTTCTTTGATGTCGTAGGTGGAAATAAGTGGACGATATGCGTCAGATCTTTCGTTGCCATGATAGAAGTCGCGAGATTTTGATGCTGAAAATATATTTTTTGGGCTTCTGAATTGTTTTCAGCATTTTTTAGCCCTTATGTTTTTGATTCCAAAAATTTCACTTTCAGAATTTTTAAACCTTTTCGAAAATGGTTCTTAAACTTTTGATTCCAACCTCCTGACAAGAAAAAACTATCTGTTAACTTTTTCTTTTTCTTCCAAAAAAAAACTGTTTCTTTATCTAATCAAAATTACCTTCATGAATACATTCGGGTCTAAAGGTGCTCATATAAATTGGAGTTGGTGGTGTAAACAGCAATAACACCATAAGGAACAAAACAGGAACCACCGCGCTGATTTGCATTATTGTGAATCTGCAAAAAATATGGTGTATACATTTTTTCACATCAGATTTTAGTTACCTCGAATTCCCGAGTGGTAAAATTTCTTCAGATCCAAGAACCAATCCAAGAAGTGTGGCGAATGATTGAGAACATTGCTAAATAAATAAATAAATTCTATGTTTCACAAGAAAAAAACAAACCTGAAAATTATTTAAAAATGATCGATAAACTGGGGGACTTATTTCGATAATGTATAAAGGTAAAAGGCAGAGCGAACTTCCAGCTTGTAGTCCGATTAATAATCTGCCAATCGAGAGGAATGTTGCAAAACTTGATTCACCTGAAAATTTCAGAAGGAAATGAGATATAGGCTAAGTTTTGTATAGTTTAGCTGTAAAATTTCACGCGTCGGAAACTTGAAAAAATTAGAAATTCAAAATTTACAGGTTAAAAAAACAAATAAAAGTGATACAGAGAAAGGAGTTTTCAGAATGTTTTTCGTAACCAAAAAAATTTGAATTTCAGAATTTCAAAATTTGAAAAATGTAAAAATATTTTGTGATAAAAAACATTAGAAAAACATATTTGTTCTATGCAGAAAAACGTCGAAAGAACAAAATATACAATTTATTAGAAAAGACAACGTAAAATTGAGAGAGTGCAGACAGACAAATTAATGTTTCGAACAAAAAATATAAGAAACTATTTGTCTGTCTGCACTCTCTCAATTTCATGTTGTCTCTACTCCAAAATAATGAACAGTATATTTTTTTGACGTTTCTCTGCATAGGAAAAATATGTTTTTTATTACAAAATATTATTCTGCATAGGCCCACGAGTCCCCTAATTTTTGAAAAAAAAACTGCATTTTTTCTAGTTATTTTCCCCCCAAAAAACACCGCTGACTCACCAAGGGATATAAACGAAACCGCCAAAAAATGAACAATAACACCCAAAGACGCCGAAACACACATGATTAATTGAGCACGTTTTACACCAAGCCATTTTGTCAGAATTGGAACCTATAAAATATTCGTTTTTTTTCGAGGCATGAGCTGGGAAGAAAAAAAATTACCAGCAAAAATCCAAGAATTGTTCCAGGATAGAACATGCTCACAACAAAACTCCATTCATTCAACCATTCTGTTTCAGGCATCTCACAAGAATCGCAATCTTCAGAAAAAAACATGGTTAAGGTAAAAAAAATTGAGTCAAGCAACTTACCTCTAGAGATTTTGTATGCTTTCTTGGCCAATGCATAAAATGTATCAACAGATGTGTTCACATAAGTGATCTGGAATTTTAAAAAATTTTGATCTACCAAAAAAGCATTCTGAACATTTTCAATAAGCTTTAGTTCTTCCGGTTTCCTAATTTTAAAATAATCAAAAAATTACCTGGAACGCAAACGACCAATTGGCACAAAACGAAGCGATGCCTGCTAAGATAACTAAGCGACATGGTGGTATATTCATTAATCGAACCTGCAAACTCAATTCATTTTCATCTATTTTAATTTGTTCAAAATATATTTTTAGTTTGACATTTCTCAATAAACAAATGAATGCTATTTGTGCAAAACAAAGATAAGATAAAAAGGAGAGAGGAGGAGAGAAAAATGGTTAGAAGTCACAAATTGTATTTTTTTATTATCTGGTTTTTTGGTGTGGTTTTGGCACAAAAGCTAGAAATACTATTAAGATGTTTTATTGGGGATGCAGATTTGCTTTACAAGTTTCAGAATATTGATATTGTCTGGACAACATCAAAATTTATAAGACATTTTGATATCAACTCGTGTGAAATGTCTACAAATTTTCTTCGTGCAAAAAATGGGAAAAATACGATTTTGAAAAATATAAATGATTAATTTGATGTGTTCATAATTTTATGGTATGTCCAAATTTCTGATTTTGTGATAAGAAATGATGAGCTTAGCACAAAAATTTCCTCATTGATTAACTTTACCAGAATTTATCTTTGATAAAAGATAATTGTTGGATTTTTTCGATAAAATTATGGGGAAAAATATATTCAGGTTCTCACAATTTTCTAGAGCCAATAAATTCATTAATTCGAATTTTTTTTAATTGAGTAAGTGAAATTCTTGACAAAATTTTTTTGAAAATAAAATCAAGAATACGATTTCGAAAATTCTGGTTAGAAAACCCATAAGACAATTATTTTGATGTGTTTATAATTTTATGGAATTCCCTAAATTTTTGATTTTTTGATAAAACTCACAATTTTGTGGAATTCTCTTTATCCAGATAATAATTGTTCGTGAAAATCTCACAATTATCTCTGAAGATAATTGTTGAAAAATTATGGGAAAAAAAGTATACATTCATATGATTTTGAATAATTTTTTCTTTGTGCTTTTTCTGAAAAGAACACATTTTTTAATTTGAAAACGCGTCCTTCAAACAAAGCATCTATTTCATCCGGCGAACACAGAATTGACATGTTTTTAAAATGAATATTGTTTTTTTTTTTTTGAAAAATCCAAGAGCTGATTTCTGGTTTTTCTCGGTGGTTGGGTTAAATTTTCGATCAACTGGTGAATCAATTTTCAGACGTTTTTTTTTTCAGATAAAAAATTAATTTAATTTGATATGATATGAAAGTATTTTCCGAACCAAACCAATAAAAACTGTTTGTTTTTCACATACTTTTTTCATGATGCATGAATATTGCAAAGCAAAGCAATAATGTTGTTTTTTTTCGCATGAATCGATTGAATTTTGTGCTTTACATGTATTTGTTTCTAGGATTTTATAGAGAATTTCTTTATTTTGTTGTAAAACTCTTTAATTCAATTTTTTTGCTCTAGTCTCTTTTAAGACCCAAGGAGCGAACCCTTCAGAAACTACTTGTCAAGCAGCAGCGCCTTTAAAACCTCTATGTTAAGGAGCCGCGCACAGTCTTTAGTTCTGATTGAACAATTTTTTTTAAAATATCAAAACTTCGTGGGTGGTCTCGACTGCTAAAAAATCAGCTGCCCAGCTCTACAGCCTTTTATATTTTAGAATTGATTTTCTCTTTCACTCCGAAATAAAGTTTCCATAACTCAAAAACGCTTCTCATTAGTGTGATAGTTTTCAATCACATTTTTTGTGTTTATAACTTTTTTTGTTCATACGAATAGTTGTGATTCATTGACACGTGCATACTTTCTTCGTCTTTTATTTTTTCTCTTTCTCTTTTTTGTGGTGTTCATATGGTCATTTTTTTTCATTTGGCCTTAGCTTTTTTTCTTGTTTTTTTTCTAGAGTTTTCTATATTTCTCGTAGTCTTTCCTAGCTTTTCAAGCTAACCTGGCCTAAAAAATTAAAAATAAATTTCATTTCTTGAGCTTTGTCTTATTCTTTCATATTCGGCGGCTACAATGAAACAGAAAACATGAAAAAGGCCGTGCTTCTTGCTCCAGATTCTCTTCCATTTCGCCGCCTAAACCCAGCCGAGACTACACATTTGGGAAGATTACCAAAAATGATCATTTAGTAGATGACAGGTGTTGCAGCTGTATTCAAAATGAGAAGAAAAAAAGAGAGTTGCTTTGCACTTTGATAGTTGTGGTAACTCTATTACGTTTCTTTTTATTGTTCATTCCTAAGTGACCCAGACAGTTTTAGGCAAGTTCCTTGTGAATAAATACCTCTAGACCACCAGACATTTCTGTAATATACAGGGTGCGCCATAAATACCCGGACAGCTATTTATTCAATATATTTTTCCAAAATAGAACAGTTTTTTGTGTATGGTTTTAAAAATACTTAATTAGGTCCCTAACGAGTAAATTAAAATCAAACTCTCTTAACTTGGTCAATTCTACGAGTCGGGAGAACATGTAGAACTTCAGGGAAAATTTCATCACGGCACGCAGAACAATGAAAAAGTGGTCTCGCTATTTTTGGATGAAATTATTTTTATTGCGAAGGCTTCATTTGAGTTGTAAAATGTTTGAGGGGTTGTCAGAGAGTCCCAAGAAGCCAAGAAAAAGTATAACATTGTCCACCATGTCTCACACCAAGTTTGGGTGGAGATTTTTGGAACAGTCTGCTTCATTGGGAGAAATCATTGATCTCCATTGATTTTGGGGTCAAAATTGGGAGTAAAGTTGAAATAAATGTATTTCTGGACTAATATATGTACCTAAGAATGAAAATCAACCTCGATAACGAACATCAAGTGCTCCAGCCAATCACAGTACACAATAAAAGATAAAATCTCCCAAAATCGCTGTTGAGAAACAATTTTTTCGATTTGAGCAACGTTTTTAAATTGATGTTATTTTTGTCAGAAACGAACCCATTGCATAATTCCTTTCAAATTAGTTATTGGAAAGGTTCTAGGTAAACCTCCAATCATGTATTTAGACTATACAGAACCTAGTTTTCAAGTATTGGGACAATATGTCCAACAAATGGCAGCGTGCCAAGATGAAATTTTCCCCAAAGTTCTACAAGATTTCCCAACTCGTAGAATCGACCAAATTAAGAGAGTTTGATTGTAATTTACTCGTTAGGGGCCTAATTAAGTATTTTTAAAACCATACACAAAAAACTGTTCTATTTTGGAAAAATATATTGAATAAATAGCTGTCCGGGTATTTATGGCGCACCCTGTAATCACAGATGTGTGATTGCCCCTGTCTGTTGCACTACATGTATTCATTTATTTTACACAGTCTTTTATTAAGATTTTTCTTTTTTTATAAACAAAATTTCAAGTTACACGAACTCTCAAAAATATATAAAATTCCTCAAAATTTAATTAATGCTGATTAACGTTATTAAAATTTAATTAGAGACAACTTGAAATTGCGAGAGCCCAGAGAAAATCAGTTTTTTCTAATTTTCTGTATAGAATATGAAATTACTTCTTGTGACATTTTTTCAAATAAAATATTAATGATTTCTGATTTTTTTCCAATTTATCTAATTAGAAACTTCACGAGAAATGTTCCACTTTTATGAAAAATTTATAATGAAAAATATTTTTCTTGGATTTTCTTGTTTTGAGGCTTTAGGCACCCTTATCAAACTGTTTCTTCTTTTTTTTACAAAAAGTGTAAAGTGGATCGTTTCTCAAAACATTCCCTAGCTCTTTTTTATGATAAAAAGACACATTATTTTTGTTCCTTCAACTGCCAATTATTTTAATTCGATCAAATTTTCATGATTCTCAAAAACCAATATTTTTCCAGCAATTCACAAACAAACAATGTTCAGTCGCGCCAAAATGCGTAAGTTTTTCTTCCTGAATTATCTAATTGAAAAAAAATAAAATAAAATTCAGACGAAGCTGTCGATTTGATTGACAAAAGATTGGAACGTTTGCAAAACGAGATTGATTATTGGAAAGACACAAGATCGAAAATGGATATGACGAAATACACGCCGGTTCTGGAATATTTTGCGGGGCCGAGTCGCAACAATTTTGTTGCGACCAAGGAATTCATTGAGATTTCTGGTAGGCTAATTTTCAAGAGAACTTTTTCACTCACCAGTTAGGAAAGTGGATGAAATTAAGGTCACAAGTAGTTTTTTTGGATCAGAGAATTTTATTATGCTTCCAATTTCGCTCTTTGGAGCAAGTTTTGAGCCCTCAAGAAAAAACAGGTCATTGTAGATATTCTCAAAATAATTTTTTTCAAAACCAAATAGAAATTGGTCACGGTTTCATTGAAAATACATGTTACAAGCATACTTTTGAAATAATCTTTTGAATTGAGTTTCAGATTTTAGAAATCGAAACCCTTTCCTTTTCAAAAATTAAGGCTAAAACAAATCCACAATTAATTTTTCAGCCCGCCGAAGAAAGCCAGAAATGCTGATTATCCCAAAAAAAGAGAAGAAAACTGATTTTTCTCGGGATTTCGAGACGGAAAAAGAAGTTGGATATATAAGAACTCTTGTAGAAGCAGAGCAAGCGAAAACTAAACAAAAAGAGTTCGATTTCAATGACGTTGAAAAGTATGTTTTTTTGAACTTCTTGAAGAATCCATATCTCAAATTTATTTAGAATGGCAGAAAATCTGCAAAATCGTTGTTCAATGTCTGAACTCAAAATTAATGAGAAAACCGCTTTCACTGTTTTGCAAAAAATGGAACGTGCTGGAAAAATCGACCAAGATGAGTTGTATCAATCAATGCAAGTTCAATTGTGCACAAATTTTCTGTTTGCGAATAGTGAGACTTCGATCAGAGGTATAGGATAGCTTGAATTTTATCAAAATGAGATGAAAATTTTTTTTTAGAACTCATCTCTGAATCAACTCGAATTGTTGCAATTAGAAAGAAGCAACTTCTCGAGGTAAGATTATAATGATTTTTTAAAATTGAAAATATAAAAATTTAAATTCAAACAAAAAGTTTTCAGTTGTTCGATTCTTCTCAAAATATGGACTATTGTCTTCAACGCCGCGCTTGGATTAAATATGAGAAAAATTTGACTTTGCAAAAAATGATCTACATTTTGTACGGGCTCAAACAAGGGTGCACGTTTGAGGATTTGGAAAGAACTCAAAGCGAACTAAGCATCGAAAATCTCAAATGAAATGTTTGTTATAATTTTCTGCAAAAATAATTTTGATTTTATTGAAAATAAAATGTTTGTGTATGTGTTTATTCAACTTTCATTTCAAAAATCAGAGATTACAAGCAGTATATATCCTAGTTTATTGCTGGATATGCTGCTTGACGTCGCAACTTAACATGATGATAAACAGAAGCCAATCCAGCGAAAAATAAAACAATCAACGCAACTATCACCACTACAATAATAACAATCTTTTCAGTTGAAGAATGTCTATAAACATCGCGAGAACAAACATCAAATTCTGAAAAAAGACATTTCCTTCTGATTTTTTTCTCGATAACACAAACCTTGCTTTGAATGGGCGTTCAAGATAATTTTCGCATTTTTTATTTCGATTCTTGAATTGCCTTCAAGCTCAAGATTCACCGTTGAACACTGAGAAGCTTTTTTTCAAAAAACGTTCAGAACTATTAAAGAACTAACCTTGAAGTCATGGTTTTCAGAAGTAAAAATTTCATTGTGAGTTTTATTTTGTTGAAAAACCACAGATGTTGGGATTGTATTTGTAGGAGTCACGCTCAATGAATAATTCGCTAATGAATAAGTTTCGTTGTCTGGTTTATCAAAATAGAACCAAACTTTCCATGAAGAATCATTTTGATGATCCGTTGGTTCAAATTCAACGGATAAATAATTGAGATCTTCTCCACATTTTCCTGATACATATTTGATTTCTTGCATTGAAACATTATATTCTTTTGTTTCATTCTAAAAAAAAGAATGATTTCATTTTAATCTAAATGAATCACAGCTCTTCACTTACCATGTGAGTAATTTGCAAATAAAATTTAAAATCTCCATCCATAATCAAACATGTATCTCCTTTCTCATCTTGCACTGAAAAATGCTGTGAGGCAATTGACGCTGAAATTGCTAGGAAAAATATTAGGTAAAACATATCAGATTTTTCAGTTTGAAATTTATTTACAGATATTTAAAGATAATCTGATCCCGCCTTTTGTTTCGAAATTGGTACTGACTGACTGATTTAATATTTCAAAATGAATGAGTTCAATTTTGACAGTTACGAAAAGTTTTTGTTTGATTATGTAACAACATTTCGAAATCTCAAATTGTGAAAATTTTATTGTTCGAATTATCTTTGGTTATCATATAAAAGCACAAAATAAAATGGAAGTAGAAAAATGAATGATTTAAATTTCAAAAAAAAAATAAAGTCACAATGTTAAAGAGCGAGTCTACTACCACGTCAATTCGCTACACGTTAGAAAAAGGTGAGGATAAACATAAAAAAAATCGGTTCTGATCAGGGAGAAAAAAAGAAGAAAAATCATCAGTATTGTTGATAGAAAATTATGATGATTTAGACGCTAGCGTAACCTTGTCTCTTGGCGCGAGCACGTCCGATCAAATAGGCAACAAGGACAACGACGACGAGTCCAGCCAAACAAGCTCCAACAACAATTGGAACAACGTCGCTTGTACGAGAATCGAGGAAGCAAACATCGTAAGCTGCAAGAAAATTATTCATATTTGATTTTCAAACAAAAATAATAACAACTCACTTTGTTGAGCTGGGAATTCTGTGCCATTCAAGCTGGCGAAAGCGATAACATTGGCTCCAGAAACTTCGATGCTTCCACCTCCAACGAGTCCAAGAGTGGCGACCGAGCACTGAAAATATTTTAAGATGACTTCCTACTTCTTTATTTTTTGAAAATTTGAGTGTTACCTTGTATCCACTATTTCCAGTAGCAAAAACATCTCCAAGACTTTTTGGATCAGCTTTGAATGTAGCGAAGAGTGGAATAGTGTCAGTGATTTGCGATTTCAATGTGAAGTCCTTGATCTTGAAAGCTTCGTTGGTGGTTGATCCGAAAACAATTTCCAATTGCCAATCTTTGGAATGAATTGATGATTGCTGATCAGGATTGAAGTTGACGGTCAAAGTTTGAGCGGCTTGGCTTTCGATAACTGCGTTGCAATCACCATCAACTTCCAAGGTTTCATTGATCACAGCGGTGTATTTTTCGGTCGAGTTCTGAACATTTATTCATTTTTAATTGAGCTTGGCTGTGACTACTATCTAGAGTCAAAAAAATCGATAAAACTCACTGGGAACACAAGATTGAATTTGAATTCTCCATCAAAGATAACACAAGTCGATCCAGTATTGTTGTTCGAGACGTAAAAATGAGAAGCAGAAGCATTGACGGCTGCCAAAACAGCAAGAAGAACTACCAATTTTGACATCATTTTCTGCAAGAAAAAACAATAATCAATAGAAAAAATGAACAAGAATGAGAGAAAAAACGGGAAATTTGTTGTTGACTATTGTAGTTTTCTTTTCTGGTAAATAAATATTAACAAAGTATCTAGATATATTAACTAATGTGGGACAAAAAAGGCGAGACAAGAGACAAAAGGTGAATTTTGATAATGAGGAGAGCACAAAAAATGAAAGGGTACATATTTCTTATCAATTTTGAATGCTACTAATACTGATAACATCATTGATTGAGCCGAAACGATATATTTTTTGGTTGGGAAAACTTATCATGATTATATATATTTATGTTCAATTTGGACTTGGATTTTGAAAAAAACACATGTTGTTTTTGTGTCAATCACGGGTTATCCTTAAATTTCACTCCACATTCACTTAGAGTTAGCTTATATACATCTTGCTATTTATTAATAAATGAGAAATAAATAGAAATCCCCTAAAAACCTTATGAAATTTATGAAATATTTAAAAAATACAAGAAAAAATGAGAGCGACCACGAAAAATAAACGAACGAACACACGAATGAATGACTCAATGGCGTTGTTTTCCACAAAACTTGTGCGGTAAATGTGTTGTGTTGTCCGCAATTGCGGACCTGCACACTGTCACATGTGTTTGTGTGTGTTTATTTCAAAACACTGCATTTTTTGGCCGTTTATTGTTTTTGATGGAATGGGATGGGATGAGAAAGAGATTTGGAATTTGCAATGAAAGTACATACAGTTATTGCGAAATCTATACAATATTGTTCAACGCCAATTTCTTGTGCAAAAAAACTTTAAAAACAAAATAAATATAACAGATTTTTCTCCCAACAAACCAAACATTGCAAAATTTCTTGGAATGGTCTAAAAAAAAGAGAACTATACTAATAATAATTGTTATTCACTTTGCATGGGAATATTCAGCAGTACGAATAATAAATTTATTTATTTTATTTTGGTTCAGTCATTTTTTTGAAAAGCGAAACCCGAACGAAATATGATTATGTTTCAATAGGAAATATAAACAATCTAAAAACATATGATTCAATTATTTATATTTGTGATTGTTTATATTCTCGACGCAAACGTTCCAATCGAAGATCTTGATAGAGTTGAGGTGATGGATCTTGAACACTTAGAATATATCGATCTCTGAACATGTCATCGATTGGATTCTCATCACCAATATCATCGTCGTATTCAAGGAAAGACTGGAAAAAAAATTTTGAGATGAGGGAAATTGGGAGCTAAACTAACCGGGTATCTGACACATACTGGTTCCATTTCTCTTGGTGGGGCACGCCATTCACTATTTTCATCCAATCTGAAAAAATTAGGGTAAGCTCAGGTTCTTTTGAACTTCAGAGAAAAAGTATTTTCAGAAAGGTTTTTTTGTTTTTTTTTCCAGAATTTTAAGCTTTATTTTCATTTCTAGTTTAAAACTCACAATCTAATAGATGGCTCATAATATGTTTCAGTCCCCGGTTGACTTGAACTACTACTTCCATAAGTGAATTTTCCATATTCTCTAGAATCTGTGCTGCTTGGCTTCCTCTTCTTTTTCTTATTCTTATTCCGTTTCACAATGCATTTCCATACAAAAATAACAAGGATGAATAAAGCGAAAATTCCAAATACAGACATTAACATGATTAGTGGAAGTTTGATTTGTTCTGAAATATTTTTTTAAATTCAGAATCCCTAATCAAGTCTCACCAGATTGCCCAAAAGTGAGTTGATTACTCGGTTCACTTGGTGGATATGTCGGTCGAATACTTCGAATTCTGAACATTGTTGGTCGATTGGTTGGAAGTTTTTCATCCAATCTAAAATAGTTTTCAAAAACTTCTGCAACTTGTTGGAAATTCTTTGATGGTTCAGTTAGACTTTCGATTCGGTAAGATGATGCTCCTTCAGAATTCGACCAGCATATTTCATTATACCCGCAGAAATATACCTTGTCTGGAGGATGTAAGCTAGTGCAACCTGTGAGAAAACGAAAAATTAGGAAAAAATTATTAGAAATCAGACTCACTTCTCCGATTAAAAGTTGTAGAGTTTGTAGATCCTTTTACATTCGAGCTCTCAATCGTGATTTTATATGCAATAAAAGGTTCTAAATGATCCAAAACTGCGTCGGATCTTGATGTTTTGATAGTAGCCCATTGAGAATTCATCTCATTTTGAGCATGGATTGCAAATGTTTGATCGTATCCACCATTATAACCAGGAGTCCAGCTGATTTTCATTGTCGAACTTCCTTCACATGTGAATTTGACCATGGTGGAAGGTTGTGGTTTAGTGCTTTCAACTAATAACATCATTTTTGTGACTATTGTTTCTACTGAATTTGCCACTATACATTCGTATAATCCGTGATCGAAATGATCGATTGATTTGAAGTTTAGAGTTGAGTGGTTTATACGTTTCTAGAAAAAATAGGATGGGGAAAAATTCGAACATCTACAAAGAGTTAGGCTATCTTTGGATTAGTAAAAAAACATATTTTTTTCGAAATTTTTTTTGTTAAAAAATTTCAAACCTATAAACCTCAAGATGAAACAGATTTTTAAAAATTCTACGATTTTTCAAAAAATATTCCTTTAAAGTTAGAGTTTCCCTAACTTTGAAGAAAACTTTACCTTATTCCTAACCCAGTACACAATAGGCATAGGATCACCAAAACCTTGACACGGGATAGATAATTTTTCACCTTGTCGAACTTTCATCTCTGCTGGTGGATGAACAGAGAATATTGGTGGCTCTATAAAAAATTTCAATAAATTTTTCCGATTAATTTTCTAGTGTTCTGACCTGCCACAATAATATGTGTCTCAACAATTGGGCCTTTTCCAGCAATATTTTCAGCCTGACACCCATAAATTCCATTATCTCCGGGTTTCGCGTTGATGATTTTTATCGAATCTTCAGTTTTCGACGATAAAAAATGCCCATTTTTCGACCAAACATAAACAGAAGGTGGAGGATTTGCAGAAACATCACATGAAAGCGTCATATTTTTGCCAGATGCAATTGTTTGAACTGGTTGATGTGAAGCATTAGGCTCAGGAGAATCTAGAAAAAAAAACATCCCTATTTTCCGGAGAACAAAAAACTTTTGTTTTTTTTTTGAGAATATGTCAAAGTGAAAGTGTTTCGTTTTTTTGTACTACATGAAAGTACAACCTGACATAGAAAAAAAAAGTGGAAATACAACCAAATTCTTATCATCTTCTCACTCTCGTTTGAGTAATATGATAATCGGCAGAAAAAAAGTGAGAGTAAGGATTTGGAATCGGATTCGGATTCACTTTTTGGTTATCTCGGATAGTAACTAGTGATGATTGATGACTTACAAAGAACTTGTAAAAAAGCCATCGTGCTACTTGTTTCTCCGTCTTGATTACGCGCTTCACAACTATACCAACCAGTATCCGTTTTTCGAACATCTTGCAATGATAGATCGCCATTCTGAATTGAAAAACGGGTTTTGATTTTGAAAAAATATAAAAATTCAAAGAAGCCTTCAGGCCTTACCCGTATATTAGCTCTCAAACCAGCTGAAGTTGTTTTGATTGGTTTTTTATCATAAAGCCAGGAATAAACAATCGTTCCAGGTTGAGAATTTGCATGACAATGCCAGAAAACATTTGAGCCCTTGACGACTGTTTTATTTGTTGGAATTAGGTCCAAAGTTGTGGCTTCTGGAATTTTCATTTCAGAGATTTCCAACCCTAGAAAATCCACTCACTTGTAAATTTCAAATCAAAGGTTGATGTTGAATTTCCCTCGATGTTTACAGCAAGACATGTGTAAGGTCCTTTGTCTGACTCGGATAAATCGGATAATTTCAGAACTGGAGATGTGCTGATGATTTGATCGTTCTGAAAGTTTGAGGGATTATGAGAGATCAAGCTTGTGTCAAAAATTTGTATGATAAAATTTGTTTTTTTTGGAAAAGCCCTAGATTTTTTTGTTGAGGTCCGACCAGATTCTGAGACTCAAACTAACCCTGGACCATGTGATTTCTGGCGAAGGTGCACCTTCTGCACGACATTCCAAATTCAAATCACTCCCATGTTTTTTATAAATACTCTGCCGATGTTCCGGATATGTGATCGTTGGTGAAACTAAAAAAAACAACTATAGTCTAGTCACATGTTTTTTTCTCATATCTCATTACCATTAACAACAAGTTTGATAGATGTTCCCCGTTCTGGTTTCGTCGGTTGTTTTGAGAATTTTGTGACGACACATTGCCAAATTCCGGCATCTTCATTGTTCACCGAATGGATTGTCAAACCAAGTTTTTCATCTCGAGCTAGACGACCTGCAAGAATTGGCTAATAAACTGGAAAGGGTTACTTTTTTTTTGGTTTTCACTTCTGATAAAAAAAATGGTTTTGCAATGTTAGCCGAGAAATATCTTCTTTTCTATTTCTTTTTTTTTGTTGTTGGTATAAATCTGAAACTGGCTGGCTGTGTTTTACATGTATGAATGTATTAGTAATAATATCAATATCCTCTTTCAATCACTGATAAAACAATGTACATTGGAAAATGTACATAAAAAATAAATAAATACAAATAAAAATAATAACAATTGACCGTCCGCCCCAAACCATTCTACTACAAGATGATGAGAGAGAGAACAAATGAATAAGAAAAAAGAAGAAGATGAACGCAATTGACGGGCGGGCACCGCCGTTACTTTTTTGCCTGTATCGTATAATTCAACCGCCATTCATCCCACATTCATCCATTTTATTCGATTCTTTTTCTATTCGTCATAACACATCTTGATTAATATTGTTATTATAAATATTTTCATTTTTATTTTATTTTATCATATCAAAACAACATTCATGATTATATCTATATTCCTATTTTATTTTCTACTAATAATAATAATATGTTCCCATTTCGTTAATTGCTCACACATTCAATGTTGTCAGGAAGCTGGTGTTCCGCATCATTGTGCAAAATCGCTTTGTAATTTGAATGCCCCGCCAGGTGATCTTGAACGCTATTCATTGTTTGACGGGCGACGAACATGCGCAACATATTTACCGGAAATTTCGACATGTTTGGCAGATGGGAGAGATTCAACAGCGTGTTGTGTAAAAGAAGCCGAATCGCCGGATGATTCGGCTTGTTTTGGTATTTGTAATGGAACGATGGAATATGATACTACTAGGAATATTGCGTATTTTCAATCGTGTTTTTCTGTGAATACTGATGCTATTTATAAATGTATAAAATCGAGTCATAATTCAAGTCCATCAATGCCAAGGGATTTGGAATTAGAGGAACTTGGTGAAAATTCTGTGAGACTTAATTGGAAACAACCTTTGAAAAACGCTAGATATGTTACTTTTTATAAAGTTCATGTTGTTGAAAGTCGAAATATGAGAAATACACCAAGTGTTTATTCCACCAAAAATTTGGAATTCACAATAAACAACTTGAAAAGCGAATCAACCTATTCATTTTTCGTCATTGCTCATGGTAAAAGTTATCAAGGAAACGATGAATATTATAAATCTACACCATCTAATATTATTCATTTCACATTATCCAAAAATATTTTGGTTTTCGACAAAATCAAACGACTTCCAAAACAAGCAGACAGTGCAGAATTATCTTGCCATTTGAAAGTTCTTCATGGAACAAAACCGATTGTTGAGTGGGAAAAATCAACTATCGATGGAACTCAAATAATTGAAAATTCTCAAAATCGTTTTATAATTACACAATATTCATCAGATACTACGCCGCGATTTATGGTTTCATCTTTAGAAATCAGAAACCTTCAACCATCTGATTTCACAGTTTATCGATGTCATATCAAAGGACAATCTCAAGAATATGGACAAATTGAAATTCAAAGTCATTCATTTTCCGATTCTCCTCCAGAATCAAACCCACCACAAACAATCAACGAATGTTGTTTGGATTCAATAAGTCAACCTCATTGTAAATCAATGTGTAATATGAATCCACTTCGAAGATCGAATTTTGCACCAATGACAAGGTGTATGACTGAATTTCACAATTTATTCAGATGCACTTTAACACATATGAATAATGCTGCATGTTGCATCAAATCCAAGGTTAGTTAGCTATTTTTTTAATTTTTAGATTGGTAAGCAACTTTAAAAAAAATTCACTGTTTCAGATTCCATATCAATGCCTTGGATTATGTGAAGGCAGCTATGATCTTGACTTTTTTGAACTGGCCACATGCTTATCTTATGATGATAAGGTATGTAGAAAGACTAGCGATTTTTGATTTAATAGAACATTCAGATTGGACAATGTCAAGCTGAAACGCTGAATTTGCGACCTCAACCAGTTTCAGATGTTGAGAACTCCTATTCTGAAAATGATGGTACATTCACATTCACATGGGCTCCATCAATAGGTGCTAAGGTAAGTGGGAAGTTCTGGAAAATGCTGAAAATGGGAAGCTGAAGAGACCGAACTTCAGAACTACTAACTTCTCCAGAAATTCAAAAATTCTACAGAAGTTACTCTAACTTGATTCGCTCCTTAATCCTAACATTTTTTAAGATTTATCATATCTACAAAAGATTCAACGGAGAAAAATGGTCTTCTGAAACTTCAAATCTTACAAAATACACGACTGAAAATGTTGATGAGGTAAGCTTTTTCCCCAGACTTTTTTTTAGAAGGACTGCTCTCAAGATCAAAAATTTCCAGATCGTATTCCTGGCAGTAAATGATTACGGTGTGTCAAACCAGAATCGATTAATATTCATCGACGGGAAATGGATTACTCCTCGTTAACACAAAGTAAGTCGAACAAAAATCATTAATATTGTCACCTTGATCTTTTTTTCTACCAACACCTTTTTTTTTCAGATAACAAACATCGGTGTAAATAAATAATAAACAACGGGTGACAATTTTTTTCATTGTAAATTGATAATTTTTGGGGAATTCTTAACGGGTTAAAATGTCTGTTGCAATAAATATTTCTTACTCACCCTGTAGAGTTGGCGTAACATGTCCAGGTTCATTTGTAAAGGCACTTAGAACAAGTTGTCCATCTTTTCTCCAATCCAAGGAATAGGTTTCATTGGGATCTTGAATATTTATTGAGCATGGAAGAGTTGAAGGGGAATTTGTTTTCCCCCAAAATGTTTTCATCTGCAAAAAATAAAGTGTTCGAAAGAAAAAAAGTAGTTGTTATGAAGATGTCTCAAGAAAAGTTATTTGAAAATGAAAATGAGGCTAACCAATGTGTTTTTCTGTCTTTTCCGGATATTGAAATCAATCTTTGTTTACTCTTGAAATCTTCATATGAATAAAAATAATTTCTCAAGTTACATGAAATTAATTTGGAGGATTTGACATGAGAAATCAGAATACAATTTTTTTAAAAATATTTCGAAAAACAAATCAAAGCAAAAATGAATTTCTCGAACTTTTCCACAGCTGTTGTTGGTTGACCTCTAATTCTTATGCGCGCGCAGAAGCGGAAGAAGCCATACTAACTATGTAGTAAAGTATATGTTGCGACGGATATATGTATAAATTTTGAATGGCGAACAACACCAAAGGGTGAAGAAATGCACACAAATTATTTTATTATTATTATTTGGTGGAAGAAAAAGAGGGGGAGGAGAAAGACATATTTTCATTATTCATGATTTTTTTTTTGAAAAAATGTATTGTTTCAGTTTTGGAAAAAATGGGAAGTGGATAAGGGTAAAGTAGATGAAATTTGATATGTATAAAGAGCTTTTCAAAAAAAAATTCTGGATTTAGCTTGAAAGCTAATTCATATATTTTTTTGAAAAAGTGAGGAAATAAAAAACAACAAGAACTCTAGAAAATTGTGAGAAAAATACGTTTTTAAAAATTTTAAACATGAAAATCTAACACAAGGTGAATGAAGTAGAAATGTTTTGTTTAATTTATTTTTAAATTTGAAGATTCTAATCTTCAAACATTTCTGCTTCCTGAATTTTCAAGATTTATTTTGAAGAAAAAAATACTGGCTAATTTTATAAATGAAAATATTCAGAATTTATTTGATCACAAAAAATGTTTTGTGAAAATCAAGTTTTTAATCATTGAAAATTCAGAAGAATAAAATTTCAGATCAAATATTTGAAATTCTCATATTCAGAATTTAACCTAACTTACAAAATCTATAAAAAATGATGAGTTGGTTTATCAAGTGTGAAACCAGAATTATTTATGAACACAACATTTTCAAAGGTTTCCAAAAAAACAATTTTAAGAAAACCAAAATGAATCCTAGTTAATTATTTAAAAAATCTCACACTAGATTTTTCAATTTCATAAAAATCCTTATATTTATGAACTACAATAAAATTCAAATGCTCAAGTGATCCAAAACCACAAGCAGGTGTAATAAAAGAAGTTCTAAACATTGTTACACTTTACTCTACTCCTCAACCTATTCATCTTCCCACCAAACCTCTTCTAACAGGCCCACCCATTTGGTGTCCACCCTCAATCAACTCGTTTTCTCTTCCTACCAAATGATATATGATGCCGCCTTCCAACGAACATATGTAATTGTGCTCAAATATCCTATCTATGTATCTCTCTTTTGTCGGTCACACAATAGACGACAAATTTTCACTTTTTTGTGGTGGCAACAACTAGAAAAAATGTTCGAATCGCGTGTAGAGCAACATTTTTGCTAATTAGAAAATGTGTAGTATAATTAGGGTTTTTCTGAATTTTTTTTGGGTAGAACAAGGATAAAAAAGCGGCTAGGTTTATGTGGAAAAATGCAACATGAAATAAATCATAAAAAAATTTATTGTTTCTAGAGATTGGATTTTTTCCTAACAGCGGAGCCTTGATTTTCTTTGAAAAATGAGCCTGCGAGCCAAGTTAAAGAGCTCTTTTGAGCCAAGATGGCTCACAGGTTCATTTAAGGTAAATATATTTTTTTGGAAAAGATCCACATTGATATTTTTCTAACATAAAAAATAATGATCTAGATTTTTTTCCTAGAAAAAGACTAAAACTTCAAAAAATTAAGACAAAGTTGCCATAGAGAATGTTACAAAAAGAAAAAAAAACACAGAAACAAAAAAAAACTACGGATGAATAAATAAATTGTGTCAAAACGAATAATCGCAACTTTCACCGCATGAATATTTTTGTGATGGGTGAGAAAATTTTTGTTTCGAAAAAAAAACGAGCAGTAAAAAATGAGGTTTTTTTGCTGTGATCTATCTACATATATGTTGTGTGTGTGTGCTTTTTGAGCAAATTGCTGCACACACATCCGAGTACCCATAATACAATCACAATGCGGTTCCGACAAAAAAAAAGAAGAAGACACTAAACATTTTTTGCTGTTATGTGATGGGTATGGATTATGCGTTTTTTTGTTTTGTTTTCAGAATTAGTAGTATTTAACTATATTTGGAGCTTGTTAGAGAATTTTTTTTTAGAAATTTCGAGTGAATAAAACAGAGTCTGATTTTCAAAAAAAAAACGATTTTTTTTCACTGAAAGCCCCCTTCGGATGAAAATCAGAAGAAGAAAACGCGTTTTTAAAAAAAAATTGAAAAAAATTCTGGAAATCTGAAAAATATCTGAACTTTAAGCAAATTTCCCCTTCAAAAAAAGTCCAAAATTTGATCGGATTCAGAATTTAGCAATTTTTTGGATAACAAAAGTGTAGCCCAGATAAATTAGGCTAACTCTAACCTTCATATGAAAAACACGGCTTTCCAAAAAATAAGGTCGTCCAAAAATTTGAATATTTTCAAGTTCTTTATTTTTCAAGGAAATTAAATTCAGAAAATTCAAATAATTTTTTTTCAGAGTAAAAATGAATCATAAACCTCTGAAAAACAAATTTCAAAGTCTTCTCCCCACAAAAAAAATCTGAAAATTTCGAGTAAAAAAGTAAAAAAAAATCTCTAAAAGTTATAAATAGCTGGAATTATCAAAACCTTCTTTACTTCACATTTTCTTCTCAAAAAACCTTTTTTTTTCCAAACACAAAATGAAAATAAAAATAAAAATAAAATGTTGAATAAGTAAACATTTTTTTCTTATCCAAAAACATCGTGGGAATCCTATGTTTTCTCCAAGTTTTCCACAACAAAACCTACTGTAGCTTATTTCAAAACCAGAAAAAAAGACTCTTGAGATGTTCGGAAATCGGAACAACTATAAAAGAATATTGAAAGATTTTTGTGGGTCACGCGAACTTCTTGAGAATCACTAATCTAATTTTGGGAAAATTTATTACGATTTTGGTTCTAGCTTTTCATTTTTTTTCAAATTTTTAAGTGGAAAGGGGAGAAAAACCAACCTCTTGATCCATATTTGATGATATTTTTCGAATGAATTTATGACGATAGCGATTGTGGTTCATTTCTGGTGAAGCAGGAACTGAAAGGACAATAAATTTGAAAAAATGTACAAATATTCATGTGTGTAATTGGTATTACTATTATACACAAAAAATAAAAATGCACACAATTTATTACAACTCTATTATTATAAATGTTTAATCACACATTTTCAAATATGTACACAATTAACTTCTTTTCATATATACATATTTATATAAAATGAAAAAAAGAAGAAGAATACAAAATGGAAATAAGGTAGCAGATGTTATGACACTACTACTAATCTTAATTTACTTTTTTTGCTCGTTTCCCTTTGTTTTTCCGGACAACCGAACTAATTGAAATGTATATATCTGACTGCATAAATAAAGAGAAGGAGACACCAAAAAAATTAAGTGAACTGAAATGAATTCTCGTAAAATTTTGAATTTGAAAGAATACCTAAACATTGAAATGTAATAAAATATTGCGTGACTATCGTTTTTTATTTGAAAATTGAATGAAGAATTGAAGGTTTTTGGAGGAAGAACAAGAGAAGATGAAGAAGAAAAGCTGGCTGGAAATTTGAATTTCTAATTTTGTGATTGGCTCGGTTTTACGATTTTAGCAAAAAAAAAGAAAAGAAGTCTAGAAGTTTTTGGGTTTAGAGGAATTTTGAGGAAAAACATGGAGTTTGGTAGAAGAAAAATTATTATTTCTTCTTTCAGTTTCAAGATTTCGAAAATTCCTCTCAATTTTTGAATGTTCAAAAATCTGAAAACTCGGCTGGAACTGTTCCCTCGCATTTTATCTATGATTCAACCAATGGACTTCGGAGCCAAGTTCTGAAAATCCAACATTTTCAGAACAAAAAAGAATTCTTTTCGTGGAAACCTGATGACGATGAAAATGATATTTGAAAGTACTTCCTGAATTTTTTCAATTTTCAAAAAATTACGCGATTCTAAAATCCACCAAAATAAGTTGTAAAGAAAATATTTTTCTGAAGTTTTTAAATTATATCTTTATTATTCCAGTTTGAAAATTTGTGCAGCAAATAAAGAACTCAATTTGAAATTTTTAAAATTTTCCAGATCAAACATTTTGTCACCTTCAATCCAACAATTTGGGAAAACTCTCCAAAAACTCTGCACTTCCCATACATTTTTCCAACTTTTTGTTCTTTTTCAAAGCCTTTTTTGCTGTTGTGAGCCCTGCTGAAAAATACCCATAAAGCAAGAAGTACATATGTATGTAGAAGTATAATTTTTCCTCATGAGAACCAAAAATTGTCTCAATCTTTGATTCAACTTATGTTAATAATATATTATTTGAGATTTTTTTGTTTTTTGAAATGAATTATATACGTCAAAAAAAAAACTAAAAATCAACATGTTATTATTTTTTCCAATGAAACACGAGTTATTTTTTTCATCAAAAAAAAAAATC